TTCCTATATATTTCTGCGCGTAAACGGTGACGCAAATCCCAGCTATTTCGCGCGAGAACGACTATTCTCTCTCATTTTTTTTTTAATATTATATTTTCGAGACAGGAAAGAAGCTAAAACGACTCTCGACCGTCCGGGAAAAGATATTTTCGCCGAATCGGACGTACATATATACGTGTATATATTGGAAGTGGAAGTGCTGCCGGACGCCGGCCATGTGCTGCTGCTCCGTGATTGCGAGAGCTATCGATACACACACGCTAAACACCTTGAGAAATGCCTTCCATACACGGACCAGCTCGCGTGTCCGATTCGACTATTTGGGATACATAAATATATTACCTAGACCAGATACCAGGTAGACGGCTCGAAAGAGAAAAAGGAAAAAAAATACATTACGCGTGTCGCGGTGATTCATAATTAGCAGCAGTGCTGGCTGACTTTCGTTACCCAAGTCGCGATCCGACTGCGAGACGTGCGCGCGCGTGTGTCACATTATGCGCGCACACAGTGTGCGATTTCCGATATTACGAGCAGCTATAAATGTGCCAAGAGCCTCGTTATTTTTGATAAATCGCCGTCTTACGCCGATGTCGCGTGCGTATAACGCACGCGAATTGGCCGTTTGTCGGAGCGCGAGTAAAGTCGATTGGAGAAATGGCCGAATTTTCCAATTATTTCTCCTTGTCTTTCCCGTTGGAGCAGGCTCGGCCTTGAATCGCTCAAGTTGAGTCGGTCGGGGGAACACGTGCACAAACGTCTTTGGAAATATAAAAATGGAAAAAGAGGAGGGAGGAAAAAATTGTAGCTCCGTTTTGGTCGCGCGATTATACCATGCAAAAGATGCACGGCAAAAGTCCCAAGACGCGAGCTATTTATATTATATACGTATACAGCGTACGGCTAAAGAGTTTTTATTATTGCAAACCCGGAAGGGCGATTATATTGTTCATATGCCGCTATACGTACGTATGCATGACTCCGCAAAAGAAAGAGAGAGAATCTATAGGAACGAGTACAACACGAGTATACACAAGAGGAAGAAGAGGTGGAGGATGGTTAGGAAGTAAAATGTTACGCGATGGCTTCCATTAGCTATGCGCTCGGCATAGCATTATATAGTTGCACACACAAACGCACACGTACGTAGCATTACTCTACGCAGCGACTTGTAGTAACATAAGTAAGCATTGGTAGCAGTGAGCTATTGATGATGGCAGAAACACACACATGTATTTACGTACGTGTTGTATTCCGTTGCAGTTATAGTGGCAGTTCACCTCGTTATGCAATCGTACGTATAGTATATATAGGATGTGTATATAGCTGGATAGCAGCAGCGTGTACGCGGAGAAACGATAAGACAGGCGGCTCTCTGTGGTGGCTGCGGCGGCGTGTTACAACTTTTATTTTTTACATCTCTATATACCTATATACGTTAGGTTGCGAGGCGCGTTACGTAATTGTTGCAACTACGCGCGTATAATGACAAATTTTGCGCGACGATGCGTGCACGAGAACACGAGAGGGAAAGGAGTACGAAGGGAGTGAAAAAGAAATCCGAGTACAAGACGTGTTCGCTCGACGTCACCCCCACTTTGACGTTTTTCTACTTTTTGTTTATTTTTCTTTTTTCGGAGCTTCCAATAAGGTACGAACAAATAAAGTACGACAACGAGTCAAGTAGCTCGCGTTATGTCGCGAGGAATTATTTTTCTCTCCAAGGCGATGTTACACCGGGAGCACGTGCTAGATAGAAAGATTTTTGCAGGCTCTTTGTGCGAGTTGCAATGCTCTCGTCGAGCGTCGAGTACGAGCTGCGAGCTGCGAGCTGCGAGCTGCGAGCGCGACGATGATCAGCGTGTTTCGGGATGATACTTTTACGCAACGACCTATCAAGTATACGTAATTGAACTTAATTGCCCGCACTGCATGTACAGCGACGTATATAGCTGCGAGCGAGAAAGACTTATTTTCAAGTCCGACTGCATTGGCTTGGCACTCGCACGCATACACGGACGGACGCAGACAGAGATTGGCTGACCAGTCGGCGCTGCCAGTACACTTACGCTACTCCTCGCCGCCACCCGATTGAATAATACAATTTACGTAAATGTTCGGTGCCGGTTATATTATATTACTAGCGACTTGCCTTCCTCCTCCTCCTCCTCCTCCTTCTTACTCTTTCTGCTTGGCAAAATATAATCAGGTCACGCATTATAAAATGTATATTACGTATCGCATACACACACTTGTATCGGGAGAACTGCTACAACGTGCGTGCGTACGCGTGATATAATCTTTTATCGCGCAGAGGCATATAAAGCAAGTGGGTAGGAAGCTAGGCTAAGTAGAGAGAGAGAGAGAGACAAGAAAGTAGGCCGCTCAAGAGTTGCATTATATTATAGACTCGAGACGCACGTTGTCTCGCTGCAGCCGATCCAAGCACGAAGCTTTCGATTTTCTTCTTCTTCGCGACTCCCCAAGTGGACTCCCTTGGTGCGTATGCGAGGAGGCATAAAAAGAGCAGAGCCGGATGAGATAGCCCCACCTCGAGGCTTTAAAGAGACGTAACATACCATGTAGCTAGCTAGCTACCGCTTCATTTCTCGCGTATACCTAGGAATATTTGCGCGAGACTCGCTTTTCTTTTCCGTATTACGAATGCACATTTGCCACGAGCAAACTGCCGACTATATTATATCGTCTAGCACAGCTTTGAAAAATGCAACGACGCGTTAGCTGCGACTCTCTCGACGCTGCCTGACTGCGCGTTAAACTGCACACAAACACACACACCGGAATGCGTCGCGAGTAATAACTCAGCGCGACGTAATGTACAAGAGAGCTCCAAAGTTACCGAACTTCTCTCGAGCTATGGCAAAACAGTCTCTCTCTCCCTCTCGTCAATAAGACCATCTTCTCTCGTTCGACTTTCTCATTCCAGAAAATCCACACCCCTGGCAAAAGAGTCAGGCCGGCGAGAGAAGTGAAATTGAACTCGGAACCTCGACGGCGACGACGAGGTGGTGGCGGCGAACTTTCACCTTTTTCATCTTCGGCCTATACATATTATATACAATATATTGTATACCCGTATAGATAGGATCGAGATTTAACGGAACGAATAACGAGTAACGACTGTTGACGCGTTTATACGCGCGCGACATTATTAATAAGAAGCCGAGAAGATGACTGTAAATGCGAGCTCCGAAGGAACAACTAGACTCGGTGTGGGTATGTGTGTGTGTGCAGTCGTGGGAAAGATGTTTGCATTTCCGCCTTGTTGGGCTATATAAGAGACTTACTCAATATTCCAGCAGCAGCTAATACTTTAATTTACCTGCGCCGTTGCTGCTGCTGTTGCTGCTGCTGTTGCTGTTACTGCACAGCGAATCGAGCTCGGCTTCCTCTCCTATATAGCAGCATCGGCAACGGTAAAATGAGCTGCTGCTGCTGCAAGACAAGGGAATCGGTAGCTGCCCCGAGGGCCTTCCTGCGCGTCTCGCGGAGCTTTGGCGTTAACTCTAATTACGCGCGTGTGCATCTTTCGCCAACAACGGCAGCACCACCGACGTGAACAACAACAGCAGCAGCAGCAGCAGCAAAGAGACAAAAAGTCTCTCACATGTACACACACTAGCTAGGCAGAGAGAAAAGATCCGCTAGACAAGAGTAAATGTCGGCATTACGATTTTATATATATATTCTCAAAGTACTCGTGCGCGTCTATCCCGATTATGTTTGCGCTGGTGCACGCGCGGATAAAAAAGACGACGACGACGACGTCGCGCAAATACACACCAACACACATAGGCTCGCGCGCGTTTACTCGCTCACATGCGAAGGTCGATGTGCCGTTTTCTCGGCCTCGGCGGCATACAGCACATATATCTTTGCAGCTTGTACACACACGTGTGTAATATAAATATAGTTGAGTAAAATTACTGCCAGCTATAACTATATAGCTGCCGCATATTCTCCGTCCAGGAAATCCTTCTTCCTGCATCTGATTCTCACTATTTTCTGTATATATCTGTGCTGCTGCTGCTGCTGCTGCCGCTGCTGCTGTACGAGGCGCAGCTTCACGCGGCTACGCGCGATTGCACATATCCTACGACGTATGCCTCGTTCTCCTTCGCCTTTTTTTTCTGCCGCGTATTGTACGACACACGATCTACGCAGACGCTCGATGCGTTACAATAACGAGCGGTTACGAGAGCTTTTTATACGTTTCGTACTTATTATTATGCCTTTTTCATAACAACCTACGAGTCTGCCTGTCTTAGAAATATCACTGGTAATTAACTTTCCAATGGTAGGAACGAATCTTTGCTCCATAAATAAGTAGCGGCGCGGATCGTCGGATATCGTGTATCGAGACAAAAGCTTTCGAGATGCTGCCCAACGCGTGTCTGCGATTCATATACACATCTTTTATTTTTTTCAGCGCAACAAAAAAAAACGAGAGAGAACGAGAGCAACTTGTTACATCACGCGTATTTCATATATACTTTTCGATATATATGTATGCGGATATCTTCCAAACTTTCACAATTGCGCCGTATAGATACGCGAGACTTGACCAGCAGACACTTACGTATAATAAATATATAATATGTGTGTAGTCTTGCAAAAGAGGCAATATGTATGTATGTGTGTGTATTCGCAGCCTCGGAAGCGCCGCGCGCGTATGGAGTAACCGACGAAATTGCGCAAGTAGCGGAGATACTTACTTTGCCGGAGACGTGAAGAAATAACAAAAACAATGCCGCGTAAGAGAGCATCGCTCAAGAGAAGGACGAGTGTCCACGTGCCAAGCGACACAATATCATTGCGCGTCGTACAGGATTCAAAGCGACGACGTTTATTTCTGTCCATCCTCGACGGACATCCTCCTTCCTCCCTCGTGGCTCCCGATCGTCTCAATAACCGATATCGTATTACTCGATTTTACATACACTCGGCTAACGCATGGCTATTTTGTTTTTTGATTTCAGATCTGAACGCGACGTCGTGACGCGTCCGTCGTACACAGCATCATTTTGGCGCCCTATCCGTACCAGATGAAGCTGCTGCCGAACATCTCGCTGCCGCAGCTGCCGCCGGTCTCGGCCGCCGGTGCCAGCCTCGGCGGCATGACGGGCCTCGACTCGAGAATGGCCCCGGGCATCCCGCTGCCCTTCAGCCCGACCGACTTCCTCTGGCGCTACACCCCGGCCGCCATGACCTTCTCGCCGTCGGCCCAGCCGCCCGCCAATCCCTTCTTCGATTTCAAGACTCATCTTCCCAACAATTTGGGTAAGTAATTCTCGCTCTCTTAAAACGCGATATTTTTTGTAACATGTCGCTTTACACATGTGGCTTTTTGTACGATAGCTTCGGATCCGAGGATATGGTCGAGGGACGACGTGGCCAACTTCCTGCGCTGGTGCGAGCGGGAATTCGACCTGCCGACCTTCGACATGGACATGTTCCAGATGAACGGCAAGGCCCTCTGCCTGCTGACCAAGTCGGACCTGGGCGAGCGCAGCCCCGGCGCCGGCGACGTGCTCCACAACATCCTCAACATGCTGGCCCGGGACTTTAGCCAGCGCTGCCTGCCGGGCTCGCCGGTGACGCCGACCAGGCCCCAGGCCTCGTATCCGCTCTCGCCGCACTCGCATCCGCCGACCCCGACCTGGGTCGAGCACCCCTACACGGCCAACCTGGCCAGCCTCATGTCGGCCAACTCGGTCACCCTGTCGCCGGCCCCGTCGCTCGACAGCCAAGCCGGCTCGCCCGGACACACCACCGGCGGCGGCGGCGGCGGTCAGGAGGGCGGCTCCTCCTCGTCCTCGTCCCAGCAGAGCTCCACTAACAACAACAACAACAACAGTCACCACATCGGCATCGGCGCTGGCCCGACGAGTACCAACAGCGGCGCCGCCAGCACCAACACCAGCACCAATACCATGAGCAACGGCAGCAACAGCCACCACCACGCTCTGTCCAACGGAACGGCCAACATGGTCACTTCGCAGATCTACAAGAGCGACAGCGACGAGGACAATCAGCACGGAGGCGCCTCGAGCAGCAACAGCGCCAGTCCGCCCGCTACGCCCACGGCCCTCACGGCCCAGAGGCTCAGCGAGGTCTGCATGAAGGACGAGCGCAGCCCGACTCTGCCGCCCCATCACTTGTTGCCGCTCACCCCCGGAGCCTACAGAGCCGCTGGTACGCCCGGCGTGGGCGCCGACAGCCCCTACAAGCGCGACGCTTTCTTTCCCAGCGACTCGCCCGAACCAACCAGTGAGTGCTCTCCTGCTCCTACGTCTACTTTTCTTATTCGACCATTTTCCAGTCTGTTTTCTAACCGTTTGCTTTGCCTGCTGTGTTTCTTGTAGACGGACGATTGCTGTGGGACTTCTTGCAACAGTTGTTGAACGATCCGACTCAGCGTTACACCAACTACATTGCCTGGAAAAACCAAGAGACCGGTGTATTCAAGATCATCGACCCCGCCGGATTAGCCCGTCTTTGGGGCATTCAAAAGAATCATCTATCCATGAATTACGACAAAATGAGCCGAGCTCTGCGTTACTACTACCGAGTCAACATTTTGAGGAAGGTCCAGGGAGAACGTCATTGTTACCAGTAAGTTTTTCAGCGGACCTGCCGATTTTTTTTATCCTCCGAGCTCGCACGATTATTAACTTTTCTCAATTGTTTTTTGCAGATTTCTTCGCAAACAATCCGAGCTGAAGAACATTAAAAATATATCCTTATTACGTAATCAAACGCGTATCAAGCCTGAGCCGGGTGACGAAGAGCCCATGACTCCTACGACGATGGAACCGGATACAGACATGCCTACCGATTTATCCATGACCGGTGCCAATAGTCAAATGTCTACCAGTAATCACGACGCCCATAAAACGTCGCCCAACTCGGACATGCACGAGCACAAGTCGGCTTTTGAACACGCCAAACATACGTTCGAACGCATATCGGCGTTCGAGCCAAAATCGCCGTTCGAGCACAAAACGCTCTTCGAGCCCAAGTCACCCTACGAACATCCACATTCTCACATGCATAATAACTTTCACCATCAACAACAACAGTATGAACCCGCTCAACTTCAACCTCTATCTTTGTCGGATCCCCCGATGAAGTACCGAAGCCATTCTTTTAATTTGGTCAAAACAGATTCACAACAGACGCAACAAAGACAAGCGACGCCACCGTCTACGAGTCAATCGCAAACGTCTATGCTGCCGCCTCAACAACAACAGCAACAGCAGCAGCAATCTACGTCACAACCAATGGTCGAGGAAAGAAAGTAAACCCATCGCATCGTATTAAGATTAGTTATAAGAGGACAAAACATAAGACAAAGTGCAATGCTCAAGTAGCGCATCACCCGAGTTCTTCCATTTATCCAGTACAACAATGTTATACGCATATAACGTGAAAAAGTGAGTGACTGCCACCGATGGCTAGACAGTGCACGTAACACAATCTATAAAAACCTAATATAATATTGGATTTATTTCTTAAGTAATACACGTATAAGTAGCTATTGATAATAAATGTGAAACGAAACGCAGATACTCAATATATACAACGAAAAAAAGCGCGAGAGAATCGAGACTATTTGCATTCAATTTATTTTCTCATGGCATCATAATCTACGTGTATACCACTTATTATCATTATTATTAATATAATACTACGGTTATTATATTATATTAGATAATTTACCATTATAAGTTTTTGTACCCTGTCTTCTTAAACGCATACGTTTTTGATCGAGTTACGCTACGTACGTATAATGCGATTGCTCATCAATAGTAACACGATATTTATATTCTCGTTTATTGTAAAATAGCTTTAACAATTGCGCAAGGAAGATTTACAGCCATTGAAGTAACGATAAATGTAAAATGAACGCAAGTACTAGAAACGTGATTGATATTAGATAGAAACTTAATATTACGATTGTGCCAAGAATTAAACTGCGTTACTAATTTTATTTTAATATTTTCTTTTCGCGTAAAATAAGAGAAGAAAGTAGAATGGGAAATGAAAAGTTATTATTGTTATACGATACTATTTGATCGAACGACGTGCACTCAATTAAATTGAAAATCGAATGAAATCTCAATCACATGCTCTTTCATTTGTATCATGATTTTTTAAGTGTAATAATTATTGATACCTGAAAATTACATTAAAAAGAAAAATGTACATATTAAAATTAAGGTCGATAAAAAGGAGTTTTCGTTGAATATTTTTTGCCATTCTTGAGAGACAAAATTTGAAGACGAAAGTATACATTGTAGTTCGGCTACTCGATAAGAATAACATTAAAGTGGAATTTACAAAGGAAATATGGGGCCATAATATTGAAGTTTATACATGTTAAAAAAATTAATTATAAGGAAATAATTGCAGATCATTATTAATATATTTCATATGTAAAATGATGTGTACAAATATAGATATATATATTTTTATTACCAAAATTTATACTCAAAATTTCTATCGTATCGTATCTAGTTGTGATTGTAACTTGATACACAGGCGTTGGCTTACATTCCACGTCCAGACTTTATAATTGGTACTGGCTTTTCATTAACTAGTGCGATACGTTATGGAGTCGATTGAAAAGAAAATTTGTGAAATTCGTATGCTGACATCAATTTTAAAAATTAAAAAAATGTTACGAAATCATTTGCTTGATTTATCGCTACGAGTACAGATGAATTTGGTTTGACTATATGTAAAATTATCCGATGATTACATAAAGCTGAACTGACTTGTAACATCTTTGTACTTACTCAATCTTCTGAGCTAGTTCTATAAACATCAAACAAAATACAAATTGGTGATCAAGTTTTCAATCATCTTCATTATTTATTTACTTACCGCAAAATTGGGCAATAAATTGATTCTAATGCATTCAACTACGAAGTTTTTGGTTCACAATAGATAATGCGGTTGAAGCGAAAATTTCATCAAGAAGATATTCAATATTGAAAATTGATGTGTAGAAAAATAAGAAAGTGAAATTGTGTGATTATTCAATCCATTTAAAGAATATATTCAGTAATTGTGATAAATATAGAAAAAGGATATGTTCTCGGTTTTGGTCTATATAACTTAGACAATTTTTTGTAACAACAATCCATAGACGTTTTAATTGAAAAGCCTTATAAGTAATTATTGTAGAAATTTGAATTAATACCTGGCTACATTGTGTACTGTGATCTCTATAAGGTTAAAAAAGTGTAAATGTACATGGTACTATTTAGAAAGATATCAACTGATGAATAATTATGTCTATACTCTTTACATTAGTTATAATATAATGTTATTCAAATTTGAAATATTATAATATATAATGTTATTGCATACATTATAACATTATATATATTTAATAATTTCAGACGTTAGGGAGACATTTTTTGCATGTGTATATTTAATTATCATAAAATTTACATTTACTTTAAAGATAAACGGTGTAAATAGCTCATACTCAAAAAGCCAGTGTAAAAGGTACTTGATCACTGGTTATATATATATTATATATATATTAGATTTTAAATTACATGAAATGAGGAATGCAATTTAAAGAGTTTATGTTTTACATAAACGTAAGTGAGACATGTGTAAAAAATTGATGAATGTAAAATTTTAGATTAAGAATCATTTTATTATATTATATAAATTGTTATTGAAAAAATAAATATGAACGTTGTAAATATACTTATTTACTTACTGATAATTCAACTTGTTTTCTTTTCATAAAAATATTCTGTTCAAAATTTATTGAAAGTTAAAATAGTAGGTAACATTTAACATTTTATAATTATTCATGATTTTTTCATTACAAAATTAAAAACTTATTCCTGTTGAGAATATTCAACAATTACGTTGAAAAAATCCTAGTTTTCTTATTAAATAATTATCAACTCAATCAATACCATAAAAACTCACGAATTATTGGCTTGAAATTCTAAATTGTTTTTAGATCAATTCTAAATAAATCTAACATTTTTACTGGAAAAATATGATATCATCTGCTATAATTGACGTTGCCATCTTTGAAGTTCCCTCGTCACTTTTTATTTCTCCATAGCTTATCCTTCCATTCACCATAACTCGCTGTCCTTTTCTGAGGTAGTTGTAAGCAGTCTCTCTCAAATTTGGTTTGAATACACATACTCTATGCCAGTCTGTTTTTTGCATGATGTCATCTATAATTATAAATATATGATCGATGGTAAATATAAATTAATATTATTAGACAGCAAAATGTAGTAATGCTTACTTTTATCATATTTGTAATTCAAATGTGTAGCTAGTGAAAATACAACCACTGGATGTTCTTCATTACCACGTTTTTGAGGATCTGCTCCCACTCTACCCAGCAGCGTAACTTGATTTATAGCTTTTAATTTAAAAAAAAATCAACGATAATTGTAATTTCCAAGCTATAAAATGTGTTTCAACAATTTAAAGAGTATATTTGTTCTAAATTTAAATACAAACGATAAGACAATTGTGAAGTTTTAAAGCCAAATCGTAAAAATAATTAAAAAAAATAAATAAAAAATCACTTTAGTTTGTATAATAATAAAAAGCACATTAAGCTAACAAATGTGTGTCTTTAGACTAACTTTTTTCAATGTTGTTTGTTTCGATGTTTGAGGAGTGTCTAGCTGTCACGTAACTGAAGGATTTCATTTGTTTGCATGCATTGACAAGTAACTAAAACAAAAAAACAATAAAATTAAATGAACAACGTAACAAAGAAAATGTTATAACCTTAAAATTAAAACTTAGCGCTAGTCAACTTTATACTTACTCTATTGGAAAACATTTTTGAAGCTAAAAACTTGTAAAATTGTTCAACTATCGAGATTGTAACGCTACGAAGTGAGACAGAAATTAACAATGTCCGAAATATTTTGGTTAAGGTTTCTTTGTTGTGTTGAACCGGCACGCGGTAGAAAAACGTGCGCAAATTATCGCCGAACTACAATGCATGAATAGTACACTCATGCAATGCCGGTAAGTCATAATTATTCAGTCATAGAGTGAAAATGAATATTAGTAGATGCAAAATTGATTTATATCAATTAATTACACCTTGTATTTAACACGTACAAACATTTGCAATAATAAGTTCATTTTATTTTTACATCTACATGAATGGCCGTAAAAATACTTGATTCTTGTATCTTTTTATCTTCCAAATCATTAATAGCAAATTGGAAGCTCGTGCATAATTAATGGAGTACAGGACAAAGTTATGCGCTTCGTCAAGCTTCGTATATGTGAATTATTTAAAAAAGTGACCGCATAAACATTGTTTAAATCTCGCGCAGTTTCCTTATTGATATAAGTTTTGCTTGTCCTGCAGTTTTTCGCGAGTCACAAACCAAGTTTAACGACTGTTTTTGTCGCACCGCGCAACAATACATACATTATATGCCGCCCGCATGCTCAAGGGTCGAACTTCCTATAGATGTTTGCAATTTGCGTTTGCGAGCCGACATCCTATATTGTGCGTTTTTAGCAACAGATACATACAGCTATCGCGGTGTGCGAAAACAGGTTAGAGCAAGTTTCACCGTTCACATAACACAAGACTGAGTACGTCGTGGGCAGTCACGCTTACATACTTGCGGCAAATAAAGCTCGACACAACATACCCTCGGCCAAATCAATTCCGACAGTTTGTCAATTGTCGATCGATAGTTTAACTGTAGCTCGATTTAAGAGAGAAAAATGTCATCCCCGACGAAAACTGTCAACGATGACGATGTCGAGGATACCCGTGCGCTTTGCCGGTACGGCAAGGATTGCTATCAAAAAAATCCGGATCATCATAAAAAATTCAGACATCCCGATAAAAATGTAAGTCTGATTTTATTACATCTTTTTTCGCAATTTGGTTTCATTTGATTTATCTTTTAATTTTTTTATTGAAAGGAAAACTTGACGCGAGTGATGAACTTTGCTTGTACTTTTTATTGGATATAATTTTATTAATCTTGCACAATTTTACGTGTTTGAAACAGTATAATTGATCTTCACTTTTTCTTTAATGATGTCGTTTTTATTTACACAGTGTTCAATTAAATTTTTTTGTGTTGCATACTATTATGATTATCATATTATAACGTAGAAAAGAGGCATCTAATTTAAAAATCATCTATGCTTATTAGTATTTACACTTTTAAATAAGTTAATCATGCATTCATCACATAATCTAACTCAACTATATACAATTAAATTTTTTAGAATTCAAATGCCAAAAGAAAGAGTCCAGGGGATGATAATGAACAAAGTCTTGTGTCTAAGAAGCCACGATCAGAAGATTCTACTTGTGATGTGGTAGATGAAGAAGTATCTGAAGATGTAAAAAAGACTTCAGAGGTAAAAGATCAAAATAAACAAGATGATAGTAAGAATCTTCTTGAAAAAAACAATGTAATTGATGAAACAAATAAAAATCATGAGGACAAAAATGGAGAAGAAACAAAGGTTGTTAGTGAAAATGTTAATCACGAAACAATAAACAATCAAACAAAGAATGAGAAAACAAATAGCGAAAAATGCAGTATTACTAAAAAATCAGATGTTAAAGATAGTGTTACAATGGATAAAAATGGAAAAAAAAGTAGTACGAATAAATCAGATTGTGAACAGTTATCAATAACAAAAAATAAAGTAGCAGAGAATAAGAATAAGAATTCACCCAAAGCTGAATCGGTCAAAAATTCTCTTGAACAAACTCATCAGTTAATTCAAGATGTGTTCCTTTTTCCAATGCCTTCAGATTTTTATAAATTCTATGACATGTGTCAAAGATTAAAACCAAGTGATCCAACAAATGCATTAAGGTTGGTTGGCCTTATTCTAGTTGGTCCTTTTGATATTCTAGCTGGAAAAATCACAAAAGATACTCCAAATCTAGATTCCTTTTTAACACATTGGCGTTATTATTATGATCCTCCTGAATTTCAGGTTCGTACTATCATTATTGAAACAGAAGAATTTTATTTTTCAATCAAATTATTTTTTATTACAGACAGTACTTAAAGGTAATGATAAAGAAGGTTTACATTTTGGTTATTGGAGAGACAGGCCTAGTGGAGATCCAGCATTTGTAGCTGCAAACAGTTCCAACGTTAATCACAAAATTATACCTGTAGCAGAAAATATTTTTGGAGCTGTAATGTAAGTTGATTTTTTTAAAACTATCTATTCATTTTTTTTCTTTATATATTAAAATGGCATTTGTGTAATAAAATTTATTATATAGTAATTATTTAGAAGAAAAAATTAAAAAAGCCACTCCATTTGAGAGAACTAGTTTCACAAATCTCTTGGGCAGATTAAAAGCATCAGCAAAAGAATATGGTTTTCCTATTGAATCAAAAACTCCAAAAATGAAGTCAAGAGAAAAAAATGTTGTTGCTAGAACCATTCATGGTGCTGGTATTGTTTGCCCATTCAATAAAAAGACCCAACTTGGTTACCGTGAATTATCTGTTACAGATGGTATGTATCCAATAAAATTGTTTTTAAATCCTCAATGTGATTTTTAAAAATTTCTTTTCAATTTCCAGATGCTTTGTTAAAAATTGTTAAAAAAATTGAGGAAGCTAAAGACGATGACGAAAAAAATTCTGCTCGTGGGGAGCTTCAAGAAGTTGTGAGACTTGCCACAATAGCTGGTGATGAGTGTGACTTTGGTACATGTTTAGAATTAGGACACGATTTATTCAGTACTGGTTGTGCTGATGTACAAAACGCTGCTCTATCTGTACTATCTATAGCTTATAATCAACTTGAAAGACAGCCATTTCTTAAAATTGTAGAAGCACATATGAAAAATCGAAAAAAAGATTGCAATGTTAGTGCATTTCCAAAACAAAATTGATTCAAAACTTAACTGATAAATGTATAAATTGTCAATTAATAACTTATAATTTTTTAAACTAATGACTATGAAAATAAAGTCAAGAATTTTTCATGTACTATAATTTTTAGTGTAATTATTTGAATAATTACTTGAGATAATTCGTCATTTGCTCACGTATCAGCTTTTATAGTAATATTAAATTTTTTGCGCTGTGTTGACTGCTCTATACTTCAATATCAATGTCGTCCATTCTTTCATAATAAATATTATGATTTTTAAGAAAATTCATAACATACAAAATTTCATAAAATGTTATAAATTTTTATAAAATGTTATAAAATTCATTACAATTCGAAAGCATTTAGGTCAAAGTTGGACATGATAAATGGGACAATGACCTCGGGGTCGTAGTCGGTAAAACAAAATGACAACGAACATGAGTTCCAAAAAAAAAAAAGAAAAACAAACAAGTAAACACGTTCAAAATAACAGTTGATTCCTAAAATCTTTAATCGAGACGGATTCACGGAACTCGGAAAGACACCAAACGAATATTTGTATTTATATTTACAAATATAAACAAGACGCCGGAGCTAAGTTGGCAATTCCTTTTTCTCACTCGGTAGAATAATGTCCCGATATTTTTGATATAAATAACGTACGAATGTGATCAACAATAAAAATAAAAATTAAATATTATAAAATGAAATTAATTTCATGGCCGAAATGACTACAATTCGAGTAGTTTGAATTTACAAAATGTCTAAAAATGAGAAAAGTCGGAAAATAGGAATTTTAAATTTGGCGCGCCACAGCCTAGTCCAATCGAGGGCCATCTTACGTTGGCTTCGGTATGCTTTTTTAAGAATGGAGGAGAGGATGAGTTTTTGTTGACATGGCTTTATCTTGTGTTTCTTTCACGGCAGCTATTAAAAAAACATTAAACCGTTAGCGTTGGTCTAAGCAGCGGTGTTATCTCGCTTCGTTCTCCCTTTCTCTTGTGCAGAGCCAAGCTGCATATGGCTGGGTGCTGGGCTCGACGAATCGTAAAGCATTTCAAGTCGCTGTAAGTGTGCGTTACACACTTACATTCAATTCCAGCTGCAGGCGCGAGTCGCAGGCGCATAGGAACAATCGACTCCGATCAAAGTATCCAAGTGGTCCGTTATAAAAGGCTCGTGGAAACTTTCTCTAACGTGCGAGCTGCCTGCCGACGAGTGGCCATCTGGAAATTCGACTATTTTACCTTTTGCAGTCCAAGAACGGAGTCGTCCCTTCGTCATGAGGTGAGTCTCGCTCGTATTCATCCCTCCAACATTTGACGTTTGCTTACTTTCCGCGAGCTAGCTCGAGCCCCACTAGCGTATATGTATGTAAACAAATGAGACCTGTCGGACATATTGCCTTACACGTGTATGAGTGTGTCACGACTGTTTAGCTACATTGCAAACGTTAGCCTGCGGATATCGTTTCTATCATCTGTCACGTTAATTCCATTCCGACTCTCGTCAAATAAAGTCTATCGCGTAGATAAACGGTGATCCATTTTTTTACGCCATGCTTTACTCTTATAGTAGCAGACCGCAAGTAACGAACATGAATGGAAAAAGGCCTTGCCCGCAGCCTGTCAGGAGCCATAGGCCCCAGCAGCCACAGCCAATGGAGACAAATCAATCGAATCCCCAAAATCAACACAATCAGCAACACCATCATCAACAAAATCAGCATCAACAGCACCAACACCAGCAACACCAACACCAACAAAATCAACATCAACAAGAACCGGATCCAAATTCACAACACTTTGATTTGATCAAATACATCTGCGAATGTAAGTCTTTTACAGAGCTGTTTTTGTAGAATGTATTGTTTCAAATTATAATGTACTATTTTTTTTTATGTTTAGCTTGGAACTCTGTCCATAAAGAGTTACACAGTTATTCACATGGAAACTCTTCTAATAATTATAGACACCAGAGTAACGTGACGTATTATCAAGAACGTGAACCAAATCCACTTATGAAAGGTAAGCTGATGTATTGATTCTAAAAGAAATCTCTTTTATAAAAGCTAGTTGTTTTTAACGTTGATAAAATGCTAAAACAAGAAAATGTCTGAAATTACTACTAAATATATTTCTCTAAAATGCTTTGTAATGACCTAAAAAAAATTAGAACACGACCGATACTTTTGAAAGAATGATTTCTAGAAATTTCAAGAAACAAGTTTGAAGATTTCCATTTTTAATCGGTATTAGTTTATTCTCGATAAAACAAAAAAAACAGTATTAACATGTGATTTATAATTTAAAATTTTTCAGACTTTAAAGCGTTTAACTTGGATACATTATTCAATCAAAAAGGAACACAGGGTACCCAAAGAAATAAGAGTTCATAGTCGTGGATTTTAACAACTATCAACAGAAATTCATTATTTTTACATTTAGATTTTAAGTTTAAAAACTTAGTATAAAATTTATGATTTCAAAAAATTGACAAACTTAACTATGCGTTTTTCCATATTTTTTCTATATTTTGTAAAAAATTGTGCTTCGAATTTTGTCTTGAAGTAGCATACAAAAAAATTATTTTAAACATTCCGTTTATTCTTTGACAAAACTAAAGCATTTTAAGTAGAAAATAATAAGATGAGCGGGTAATACGAGGCAAGTTTGTTAGTATTACGTTGAAGAAACGATTAAAAGACTTGTGGTAGTATATTGCAATGAAATGAATTGAGCGCAAGCACATTCAATGAAATCAAATTGATTTAATATTTATGGACATGAAAATGTGTACAATCCAAAATAGAAGCCTTTTTGAACTTGCTTTGAAAACCGACTATCTTTGTTTTCTATAGCTGATGGTACCTGTCTTGTATGTTATTGTGAATTTGTTTTTTTGTGTAAGTCACATGATCAACAAAAGGATTGATTTATTTAATGGTAACAGAGATGTAGTGAGAATATACTAATTTTTTTACTAAGGACTAAGGCAATGTAAAATTTATATACATTATTATGATTAATGTAGCGAAATGTGTACATGATTGATACATATTTATGTGAACATTAAAATAAAACAAGTTGCAAATGTTGAGGCTAGGCCGAAAAAATGTAATTTTACATTTCTTAAAAAATAAATTCATATTTAAACTAGACAAACAAAATTTTTTCTTGAATTTCATTTTCGTTATTACACGTTGAGTGCCCGATTTCGTAATGATTCGTAGACAACGCTACGATGTACGAACTTGTTTGCTTTCCAAGGAATATGACTTTCTCTTCAAGTTTCTTGTTATTGTGTTGAGCTCGAGATGGAATCAAATTAAAAAAATATATATAAGGCAACGAATAGAAAATGTAAATAAAACAAAGGGTTGGAGTTTCAAATTCAAAGCCGATGTCGATAGTCGATCGAGGTGGGATCCCATCAGAGATGTGCAAGCGCAGACTCGGCATGCGCGCGACGGCTCGAATCCTACCACAGATCCTCAATGGGAAATCGCGCAGCGGTGGCCAGCTATAGACCGAAGTCGTTACAGGGTGACACATAGGCATATGCACTCATGGTGACGCTGAGGCGGGGGCGCGGTCGAGCGTCGAGAGAGAGAGAGAAAGAGATCGAAGGAGGGAGGAAGGAGAGGCTCCTCTCCATAACGCACGCGCCTCGCCTCGCCATATAGCGCCGTCTCTTTCTCCCTCTCGCCCCGTCTGCACCGATGTCTGTCGACGGCTCTCAGTAGCGAACTCGACGACGAGTCGGACGAAAGCTCGCTCGAGCTTTTTTTACCTCTATATCTTTCCTAGTAGTCCTGCGTCGGCGGTCGTTGGCCTTTCTGCTGCTGCTGCAAGCTCCTCGCGAAAATGGCAGTGTAGTGTGTAGAGTCTCCCATACCGCCGTGAACGATCCGGTTCTTGAGGCAACGAGTGCATTTCCGGCAGTTTCCAAAAAGCTCGGCGGTCTCTGATCCTCGGGAGGAGCCGAGAGCGGCTGCGTCGTCGGACAACGCATTTACTATAGGTAGGTGCAGGAATCCAACCAAATGTCAATTCGATGTTTTTCTCGACTTTTCTCGAGTCCGCGAGCTTCGTAGGAATTTCGAGAATTAATTCGTGACGTAGCCACCGCCGACCTTAGAATCTCTTTGTGCGGTGCTAATGTCATTGTACGTTAATTGAAGGATCGACTGCTTGAGTCGATTACAAGTGCGTGTACTGCGTCGAATCAATCGATCTATACATACAATACACGCATATCGAAAACAGTTTGACTTGGCTCAGTTCCAAAGCTCCAAAGCTCGAGAATCGTGTAGCAAATCCTACAGGTACTCGTTTCCAAATCTACATCTTGAGGCTGATTCAACGTCGAAAGGGCGTTGACGTCGTTTTTAGCCGACAATTTGGTTCCGCAGTGCGATCGCGCGACTCGACGCGGCCCTTCCAAATTACATTGTGCCTTTTAAAGAAAATTGCCAGCGAGAGTAGACAAAAAAAACGCTCCACGACCTTGATTAATTTCATTATGTTTTTCCGCTTCGATTAAATTTCTTGCAACTTTGTCGTCATTGACCTTTGGAGCGAGAATATAAGCGTCTGCTGCTGCTGCTGCTGCGAAGAGACTCAAATTGTTCTCGACGCGGCGCTACGAAATTATTATGCATCTTGAATAATTTAATTTACCTGACTTTTCTGTTTAATTAAGTCGGCTTTTCTTGGGTACTCGAGCAATTATTGTTCTTGCGCGAGATGATTAGTCGCGGAACGTCAGAGACGCGCGTATACACTTCATACTAATGAGTTCATTCATTTCCTTGACGTTTTGTTCTCGACGTTGTTGACGGTTATTAAAAAACTTTGTTTTCCGCAAGCTCACCAATTTTAAGAATAAACTTGAAGATACCGTTCGGCAAAATGAAAAATAAAAATCATGAAATTAAATATCGTCGAGACAACAGTGACATCGAAAGATTTCTTTGTTTTGTTCTTCGCAAGCCCAGCCGTTGTGGGGCGTTGAACCGTTTCAAAAAGGTTTCGTCGGAAAAATTTATTCGAGGATCGACAAACGGGTTGGCTTCATCGAGGCGAGTCGAGCTCGGCCGAACGAGCATTTGCCCGCGTCATAAGTTTATTCATGGAATATTCGAGGGTCGATTAAATTAAATTAACCAATTGATCGATTTCACAAAGTTTCAAAGAACAAAAGATACCCTACGGAGTGATTTTTCAAGTAACCAATATGCAATATGCATTATCGTCCGATTATTGAAATTTAAAAGCCTACATGAGATCAGTCTCTCGATATTTAAAAGAGAAATTCGATACGTGGAAAATTTAAAATAATCAAGAGTTTTGTAATAGTCGGAAGACAAACGTATTCATTGTAATATGTCGATTATATGTAGTATCAAAGTCGAACGTAACAAAGGAATGCACTAGGCTATGTGAAAGGTATTTTTAATTTAATCAAAACTCGCCGGTGGAAAAAATTTTACGAGACAATAAAAATTTTGACAGAAAACGACTCGAAAGGGCTTTCTCTTCTCTCTCCGAGCGCGTCAAAGACAATTTCCGATAGTTGGGCGTCATCTTGGCTATAAAGTGACGATTTCCCGATACACTATGGCAGTTACCGTCATCGCCTTTAAAAGCCGAAACAGCAGCAGCAGCAGCAGCAGCAATTGGAACGCACCAATAAACCAATAGCCACTATATATGTTGCATAACGTTCAGGCCTATATGGAGCAGCGCGGGGCTATATAATAGCGGTTTTCGACCACTCGACCGATCGAAAATGGTTTTATCGATTTTTGTCGCGGGCACGAAATAAATATTTGCTCGTAATTAATTAGGAATTTGGACGCTTCGTTTTGTTGCAGGATATATAGTCTCTGATCGCAGGGTGCAAGCTCACATTGGTGTAGCACATTGGTGCACATTCGGGAGGGCGCAAGGATGGCACTGGGCCAGTCGGAGTCCAGTACTAGGCAGCGATCGAAGGACGCAACTGCAACGATCCGAACGCGCTGCGACTCGTGCCGGCAACGATTGACTCTCTGCAGCAACTCTTTGTTCGCTCGACGCTCTCGATTCAGTCGCAGGTAATTACTTGGTTCACGAGGATAATATGACAAATTCTGTGCATCAATTTTTATCGTCAACTCTTTTATCGAGTAGCGCAGAATAAGTGCATAATTATCCTTAACTCAAAGAATTAGCACACGTATAAAATTATTCTCCCGTAGTTGGCGATTCGCGATTGCTTATTCGCAACGACGAAGTTGGCCAAACTGTTTTCTTAAGCCAGCCTCTCTCGTTCGACGCGATAAAACTCGTCGCGCAAACATTCTCGGTTGACTTGCGTTAGCTGTCAGTTGCCATATCTCGCCGGCGCGGCACTCCTTGCGTAGCGTAGCAGCAGACGAAAGAACCTCGTTGCACACGTTAATGGACGTCGCTGAGAGCAAAAGTTTCCTCGGCAGCAGCCGATATCTCGGTCGTCCAAAGTTTCGAGCGTAATCGCGATCCCTGCTGCAGTTATGGCTGCGAACGAAGCGAACGCGGATCTAGACTCGGCTCTGTCGAGGGCCTTGGGCAAGCCCACGAGAGTCGAGTCTTTCGAGATAGTGGTTCGCGCGGGCCAACGTCGCGGCATCATGAGCGATCACTACAGCCTCGTGGTGAGATACAAATGCTCCTCCTCCGGCGAGACGAAGAGCCTCGGGTTCTTCGCGAAGGAGCCACCGGCCCGAGAGGAGCTTCGCGCCTGCCTCGTCGACGACTCGGTGAGCCAGGAGGAAACCTACTTCTTCCGCTCGGTCTATCCGCTTCTGCTCGAGGAGAGCACAGCCGTCAAGTGGTCGCCGGCCTGTTATCACGCGAGCCCGCGCAAGCTCGTCTTCGAGGACGTCCGGGAGCAGGGCTACGCCGTCCGCGCCGACAGCATGTACGACCTGGCCTCGATGAGGGCGGCCCTCGAGGCGCTGGCCGGCTTCCACGCGAGCTCGCTCCGGCTCGAGACGAGACTGGCCACGAGGCTCCACCTGCTTAACAGCGATAACGAGGCTTTCCTGCGCGAGAAGGTGTTTACGCGCGAGGGCAAGGCCGGCCGCGGCAACGAGCTCGGATTCGAGACTCTGCGCCTCCTCGCCGAGGCCAGATTCGGACTCGAGGACGGATCCCTCGTGGCCAAGATTCACGAGCTCGTGCGCGACCGAGTCAAGCCCAGCCCCGGTAAGTATATATATTATGCATTTTCATAACTGTGCTTTGTGATTTGAATTTCCCGGGCCTACTACGATTTTCTCCAACTTTCTCAACTCTACTTTTTCAATATCTATCGCGAACGAGATAAGTTGCATCTTATTACACGATTCGCGTCATTTCTTGGCAATTACAACGGGAACGTGCGTACGATAGGCTTGGGGAGGAACGTCATCTGCCACGGCGATCTGTGGCGCGGCAACATCATGTTCAAGGACGACGACGACGAGCAACGACCCAAGTGCCTCCTGGTGGACTTTCAAATGCTGAGGTACGGCCCGCCGAGTTTGGACCTGGCCATGCTGCTGCACGTGCACAGCCCGAGGAGCTTTCGCGAGGCTCACGAGCCCCACCTGCTGAGGCATTACTACGCCAAGCTGAGCGAGTACTTCCGGGACGGCAGTGGAGGATCCGAGCTCGGCTTCGGCTACGACGAGCTGGCCAGGGACTACGAGTCGAGGAGGATCGTCGGCATGGCTTACGCGGCCATGAGGTGGCCGGCCTGCGTCACGTCGCGGCTCGACGACGCCGAGGCCCTGCGCGACTGGTACTTCGGCGCTCGGATCGATGGATATCTCGCGCAAATCGACGCTGATCCGGTCTTCGAGCGCCTCATGAGGAGTTGCGTCGAGGAGCTCATCGAGCACGGACAAAAGCTCTTGAACTCTTGATTTATCTCGCAAAATTTGTATTGCTCTGTATGTAATTGTAATAAAAATAATTGACATTTTTCACTTACGACCTGCCTATACCTGTTTATTTCTCCATTTCAAATTTCAGAAAACTCTCCTGTAAAATATTCAGATACATTTTTCACTCATAAAATTTAATAACAATGTTTTTTTCTTTTTAAACCAATTTCAACGTTCAATCAAGTGGTATTCGCCACGTTGAATAGGCCTATAAAAAAGTTTTGCCGACCATTTAAACTTTAACCAAGTTTATTCGTGATGGTTGTACGTACAATATCGATTTTTAGTTGAATCGAAACTATCACAAATATGATGTCTGATAAATATAGAGCACGGGTTTCGTCGCTTTATCGCTACACAAATGCGCAGCGATGTTTGATTTTTCCGCATTTCCGCGTTTTTGTTCTTTATCCAAGCCGATCCGATCGAGATTGTCAATATTAATGCACCTTCGTTTCAAGTGCATATTTTAACGCGGACACATCGATTTGGCAAAACCTCATGTACTTTGAATTGTTGTACGTTCGAATAATTACCGACTATTTTGAGTCTTGCTCACATTTATGTATCCGATCGCGTTCAATTGGTGGTAAGATCTTATTTTGGCATCAGTTTCTCAAGCTCAACAGTAAACGTAGATGCGATTTGCGCGTGAAAACTTCATTATGTAAACTCGAGAGCATTTTACGAATTAAAAATATAAATCATTCGGTTGTTTGCGAATTGCAGATCGATCGACTAAGCGGCCCGCAGTCACCCATCCACGTAAAAAATGACAAGCCGTAGCGGCGCCAAGTCGAAGAGGCCGCGAGCGAATCCGCTGCTCGTCTCGTTGCTGTCGTTGCTGCTGTTGTTGAGCCAGCAGCTGCAGCAGTGTTCGGCGGACGGGCCGGGCTTGCTCGACGGCTCGGTCCAGCGCACGCCCAGCAGCATAAAGATCGGCAAGTCGAGCCGCAGCCACGCCAGCGGTGGAGGCCAAGGCGGCTCGTCGGGGCCGGTGCGCGGCAATTCCAGCATCAAGATCGGCAAGGGCAACAGTCTGCTCAACACGACGCGCATGAGCCGGCCGGTCCTCACCACCTCCATGACCAGCACCAGCATACCGCTGGCCTATGTCACCTCGGCCTCGACCACGCCCCAGGCCGCCGACATGAGCTTGAGCTCGTCCGGCGTCGAGTACACCGGCTCCAACAACGGCACCGACATCAAAAAGCTCAAGGTATGTCGTGTAACAATGGCCCTTGAATTTAATAATAATTAAAGTCAAGTTATTCGAGTTATTTCAAATAGTTATTTTTCTCGCTGAATGTAATGATACAGGAAAACCATTTATTTAGCATAATTAAGCAGTAGCAAAAGTTCCAAGCGTAATTAAGCGCGGAAGTAGTTAATTTACCCTGCGCTCACCCATCGCCCGAATGCAAAAGTGTAATGTCAATTCGACGTTCTGACGTCCGTCAATTTAAACTTTATGCAATTAAATTAATATAATTCATGTGTCGGTATTCGTGATAAACAGTACAATGTATGTGAGGGCGTGTAATAAAATTTAAAGGCAGTTAAAATCAAAGCAAATTAATGAATTTATTTATTCCAGATCAATTTATCCGAATGATATGGAAATTTCTGATACATTTAACAAAACTAGGCTTAAAAAATGTCGCGAATATGTTCATCGACACGATGAAATTTGTCTCATTCTTGCCAAACAAATATGATACAAATCTCTGTTGGATAGCCACTCGGTGATCATATCGCAGCATAAGATGGGCAGCCGGTGGTGCACCAGTTGTTGCAAAGGATACACCGTGGAGCGTTGGAAAAATCTCGTCACGAGTTTCTCGCAGAGGTGCCGAACACAGGCCTTTCTGTGGCTTTCGGAGAGATTGCCCTGCAATTCACCCGAGGCCCAGAGCTTGAAATAGTCCTCGCATTTGAGCAGTCTTGCCGCCCGCTCGGATCGCATCTGGATCAGATCCAAGAGCGACAGGTCCGCCTTCAACATTATCTTCGTTGCTTGGCTCGCAAAGTCCTCGTCGTCGTACCAAGCTCGTTCGTCGGGATGGCCAAACACCTCGTTCTCGTCGAATAATTTCATGATCTGCAAGGCGTCGTCTAGGTTCAGTTCGTATCCTCCATCCTTGAGACGTTCGACGACCATCAGCATCGAGGATGCGAATACCAATTTATCCTCGGGATTTTTGCATTCGAACGCCTTGGCGTCGAAGCGAGTCAAAGAGGGGAAAGCGAAGCCAGACACATCGGCGCCGTTACGTATCAAAGCACCGACGGTTTCCGGCAAAAGACTAGCCACGGCCCATTGCAGAGGCGTCCGGCCCCGACCGTCCTGGGAGTCGAGCAGCAGCCGCCGATCGACTCGTCCGCAAATCTCGAAGAACGTCTGCATCAAGTTATCGTCGAACACGAACGATCCCCTCTGGCAAATGATATGCAGAGGTGTCGATCCGTTGGCGTTGGCCAAGTTCGGATCGGCGCCGTTCGTCAACAGAAACTCGACGAGCTTCTCGTGGCTGTGGCGCAGAGCCAAGTGCAAAGGTGTGTTGCCCTGGTTGTCGCGGGCGTCGACCTGCCGCGCCCACGAGTCGACTCCTTCCTCGTTGATCTTGGAGAATATGACCTTGGCCGATTGGTCGTCGTCGTCGTAGCCCTGGCAGAGGACGTGCAGAGCCGTCCGTCCCTGGGCGTCGACCAGTCTCGGATCGGCGCCTCTCGTCACGAGCAGCCGAGCCACCTTCTTGTTGGCGCAGCGCAGAGCCAAGAGCAGCGGCGTCTCGCTTGAGTCGTTCCGGGCCTCGAGCTCGATCGGCGGATCGAGTTGGTCGGTGAGCCCGAGGAACAGCTCCGCCAAGCCGTCGTCGTCCGCTTCTTTCTGGCAGAGGACGTGCAAAGCCGTATTGCCCACTGCGTTGCGCAGTCTCGGATCGGCGCCGTTGCTCAGCAGCGACCGGAGCATATGTCTTCGGGCGTAGGCCAGTGCGTAGTGCAACGGCGTGTTTCCCCGCACGGTGTCCCGGATATCGATGCGCAACCGACGCTTATCCTTGTCGACCTCGAGGAAAACATCCAGCAAGCCATCGTCGTATCTTTTGCACATCGTGTGCAGAGCCGCGAATCCGTCCTCGTCGATGAAATTCGGGTTGGCGCCGTTTCTCAGCAGCAGTTCGACCATGCCCTTGGAGCAGTGCTCCACGGCCAGGGACAGCAGCGGAGTACCGAGGACGGCGAAGTTGACTTGCACGAAGCGACCTATGTCCTTGCTGATCTCGAAGAACGTCCTTGCCAAGTCCTCGTCGTTTCTGTCGCAAATCAAGAACAGCGGCCTCGTTCCCATCGGACCCGTCAAATTTGGATTGGCCCCTCTCCTCAGCAGCAGCTCGATCAGCTCCTTGCAGCTTCGTCGGCGCAGAGCCAAGATTAGCGGCGAGTCGCCCCACTCGTTGAGTGGATCGATCTTCACGGGCCGCCGCTTTTCGTCGCCGATCTCGAAAAATATCCGCATCGCCTCGTGATCGTCGCGATAACTCTCGCAAAACTTGTGCAAAGGAGTCTGTCTTTTTTTATTAGGTAAGTTCGGCTCGGCGTCTCCTCGCATCAGCAGCTCGATCACCCTCTTGTGGCCGTGCTCCATGGCCATGTGAAGCGGCGAGTCGCCCGTTTTCGTCCAGAGGCAATCGGGGTCCTGGCCTCGCTCGAGAAATCTCTCGACGACGCTCGCGCAGCCGAACTTGCAGGCCACATGGAAATGCGTCAATCCATCCTCGTCGATGTAGTTCGCGTCAAATCTGTCGTAAATCCGAAAAAGCTCGCTCAACAAGAGGCTGTTGGCGTCGCTGTGAAAGTTCTCGATCGAACGATGCAGCGCCGTCGGACGGAGCAAGAGCGGCTTGCCGTCCGCGCCGAGCTCCGCCACGTCCTTGTATCCGCACTCGATCACGAAGCCGAGTACGCTCTCGGATTGTCGGCACTCGACGAGCAGCCAATCCATATCCTCGCGACTAAACAGTTTCCGGAGATTCGGATATTGACCCTGCCAGTTTTCGATCAAGGAATGCATCGTGGCGACGATGTCGTGGTTTGCGTTATTTCGCTTCCTCACCGTAACAACCGCTGCACGCATAACCTTCAACTTTCGCAAGTTTTCCGCTACCTGAAGGTGATTCGCGATTTGTAAGTCAAAGTCGTACTGGCCGGTATGGGCTTCGCCATCGCCAAAGTACACGTCGAACTCGCCCTTGGACGTGGCCATTTTTCTCACTCACGCTCACACACGACACATGCACGACACTCGATGCAGTAGATGTAAAATTTTACCTCGGCTGCTCTGGCCTTGTAACGTCTACTGACACGTACACCATGAGATCTATATTTAGAATATATTTTAGAAAGTGAAAAACACGCGATCGAAGCCCGTGTAAGAGATATTGGTACAAGCTGTGCTACGTCATGGAGCGGAGAACGTATAAAACTAGCATTGATAAGAGCCACCCGCATAACATGTGTGGCAATAATAACAATGGTATTTCCGGTTCGGAATTCAATCACTCGGACTGTATGAGTCGTTCTACAAGAACAAACGCACATGACGCAAGGAGACACGGATGCACGACGCCACGTAAACGTTAAAAAATTAAATACTTAGCGTAGTATATTAGTTTTAGTTTGACTTTCAGACATTAGACAACTTGAACTACCTACTTTCATAATTTAATTAATAATAATATTTTATCTTTTATTTATTTTTACTCTTAAAAAAAGATGACTCGACTGTGTCATTGAAATGAACGTGTTGTGATTGCAGTCGTTGAATTTGACTAGGTGGCTCGCGATGCATCGAGAGCGAGTTTTTAAATTCTTGAAAGCGTGATCGAGAAAAGGCGTGCGGTTTTGGATAAAGGGCCACCTCCACGCGGACTTTCATTTGCCGTTCATGCATATCAAAAATAATTATAAGAGCTTGCAGCAATTTTGGCGAAACCTATAAAAAAATGTTTGCTTTCAATTAAATTATTAAGAACATATTGTTATTACCGATCACGGTATTCGTAGAAAAATAATCAGTTTGTCAATTCAGGATCGCGTGTCATTTCACCGGGTTTATCAAAAATTTGGTAGCCAACTAAATGCTCGATCCGTTCGCAGTTCCAAACAAGAAGTGACAAAAATTTTCAGCTGATCCGTGCATGAGCCAAACATTGTACTAAGAGTAGTGGTCGTTTGGTTTAAAAATAAAGCACCAACCACAGCAGTGAACAAATTTATGATGACACCATTTTTATTGACCTTTCAGGAAAACTAATCTATTCTTATAATTATTTATATATATTTAAAATTGACAAGCAAAAATGAAAGTTTGTTGTTATTTCATTGATGAGATATACGCTATTTTCAGATAAATTATTCCAAGCCTATGGCTACAATGAGTTCAAAAATTTCGTATAAGCAACAAATTATTCGTTCATTTCCAATTATGAGAAATGAACGTATTTATCACATACGTAATCTTAAGAAACTTTGAGAATTGTCCGATAGGTATAGTTTCTGCGAATTATGTAGCTAGCTCAAATTCGATGGAGGTTTATAAAATCTTAATTATCTTCAAGGACTCTCTTTTGGTGGAAGAGCAAAAGCCATTTTTATCCGAATTTCTTCTCGCACTTGTCACATGCAAAATTTTTACAACCTTCGTGGACTGTCTTTTGGTGTTTGAGCAAATGTTCTTTTCGTCCAAATACCTTCTCGCATTTGTCGCATGCGAAATCTTTCTGACCTTCGTGAACTGTCCTTTGGTGCCTAAGCAAATGTTCTTTTCGTCCAAATACCTTCTCGCAATTCTCGCATGTAAAATCTTTGCGACCATCGTGTACTATTTTTTGGTGGGTGAGCAAATTCGATTTTTGTCCATATTTTTTTTCACATTTGTCGCATGCATAGTCTTTGCGACCTTCGTGGATTGTCTTCAAGTGGATTTGCAAATGTGATTTTCGTCCAAATACCTTCTCGCACTTGTTGCATCGATAATTTTTACGTTTTTCATGCACAGTATTTTGGTGAACGAGCAAACTCGGCTTTCGTGTAAATTTCTTCTCGCACTTGTTACATGCGAAATCTTTTCGACTTTCATGAACTGTTCTTTGATGCTTCAACAAATCCAATTGTTTTCCAAATTTCTTCCCGCGATTGTTACATGAGCAATCTTTGGAGTTTTTGAAGGCTAAGTCTTTCCGACCATCGTGTACTGTCCTTATATGCACGAGCAAACTATGTTTAGTATCAAATCTTTTCGCACACATTTCACATAAGTAGTTCTTGAATACTTCATGGAATATTTTTATGTGCTTAAGTAAAGTTGGTTTATTTTTAAATTCTTTCTCGCACTTGTTGCATGTAAAATCCTCGCGATCTTTATGGACTAATTTTTGGTGCGTAATCAAACTCGATTTTTTCACAAATTTTTTCTCGCACCTGTCACATGAAAAATCATTGCAGCCTTTGTGTTCTGATATTCGATGTCTACTCAAATGACTTCGGAACTGAAATGTATTTTCGCACTTGTCGCATGCGAAATCTTTTCTTGCATTGATTTTTTCTCGGTGATTTGCCATGTTCGATTTTAGTAAAAATGACTCCTGGCAAATATCACACATATATTTTTTGTCTTCTGAAACAACAATGTCTTGTTTACTTAAATGATCCTTTAAAAAAACTTCCTCGGATATCTTTTCACTTTTATCCATTTTGGTGCTTAAAACGAGCTTTAGATCCTTCTATTTAACGCCTCGAAAATGAAATGAATCAAATTTATATTTTGGTTTGATGCCTTGTTTCATCAGAAAAGACAACATTCAAACGAATTTGTTTCTACTCTAAATACGATCAGTATGTCGAGGGACGATATCAAAATCGTTTATGATCATAATGTTTACAATTAAGTTACCGATTTATCTATTTACATATTATCCTTACAATATTTGAACGAATTTAAAATTTTAACTTAGGGACGATTGCTTCGAAGAATATTTTGGACGTTTAAAACTAAATATTTCCAAATAAACTTCCGACAGACAAAATCGAATACACGAAAAAAACACCGAATAAATAGATACTTTTGTACATGTATAATAAAAAATATTTTGACATTCATTTCAAAATGTGCCACCTCCACACCATGTTGTAAATAGCGTGCTTCATAAGCCGCCACTACACGAATAGCTAACTGAAAAGAGTTAATATATAATTTACAAGCTAGTGTGTACAAGATAAAAAGTTTTAACACTAACCATACTGTTTCTATACGAGCGATGTAAGGAAGATCCAGTTTCAAAATAATTCAATACTGCAATATGCATTAAGTCTACCTAAAATCTCGACATTGGTAAATATGTTGGGTTTACCCGAGTTTCTAATCGATTCCGAGCTTGCTGACCGATGTAACGAGAATGCGAAACTCTCGTTCAAAAGCTCGACTCTGTACGTAGAGCGTCAATGATGGACATTGGACACGCATCGAAAGCTTCGAGGGTTGGAATGGATTTAGCGCGGACAATTTTCCCATTACAGACGTGAATCTTGATAATTCGATTCATCGCGAGCTCTCATCTGCATGCGAATTGCGTGGCTACACTATCGGATGCTACTGTATCAATGCTACCCCTAAGAATTGACTTAAAATTCAAACAAGCGTAGCATTGAAATGTAAAAATGTAAGCTTTGTCAAAGAAATTGTTAATGAACCGACAAGAAAGGCATTTTTGCATCTCGAGCTTTCATGACAGAGCTTTTAACAAAGCCGAATCTGAATTTGACACCGAAGGAGAGCGGCTCGTTTTCACTCGTTCTCTCTCTCTCTCTCTCTCTTTCTCTGTGTCATACGGCGTGCGTGAAAAACAAAGAATCTATCATACACACACAGCGGGGCTAGATGCAGGATCAAATTGCCTCGCTCGAGGCAATCGAAATATCGCTGGGCGCGTCGCGGGCGAATATTCAAATAAAATTCAAATGCACGAGCGAGGATATTACACCTACTTCGTTTCGGGCTCAAATGATGCAATAAAGCGACAAGGCTGGTCGTTTTTCCATTCAAAATTTGAATTTCATCTCCGGTGCACGGGCTTATTTCGTCATAGATATAAATTGCATTTAAAGAATTCACATCAAACGAAATCTCATTCGGATAGATATTCGAGCCGGTAAAATAAAAATTTTTTGATGACCTTTCCCTTTTTGAATTCTTTTGGAGGTTTTCACCTAGACAAATATCACAGGAGAAATCACTCGAAAACTATGAACATAATTTTGAAAAAATCCAATTACTATTTGATAATCGAATGACCATGATGTACGATGACGCAGGTCGGCCTGGCGGTGCCCTACAAGTCGTTCGGCTCGCGCGAGTACACCCGGGCCGTCATCCGAGCCGTCTCGGCCATGCAGAAGACCAGTCGGCACAAGAACCTCAGCCTCTTCCAGCACTACGACATCCACGTGAAGGTCGCCATGCAGGAATTGACTCCGAGCCCCATGAGTGAGTAGGATAATTTTGCATGCATCGCTGGTACATGGCTTCGAATAATCATTTCCAATGCTCTCTACACAATGCTACGTACGCAAAGACATCTTGAACTCGCTGTGCAAAGACATCTTATCTAACAACGTATCGGCCATCCTATACCTGTTGAATTACGAGCAGTACGGGCGTAGCACGGCGAGCGCCCAATACTTCCTGCAGCTGGCCGGCTACTTGGGCATACCCGTGATCGCCTGGAACGCCGACAATTCTGGACTCGAGAGGGTGAGATTGAATATGGCAACTTTATTTGCTCGCTTAATCGAGCTTTTCGATTAAAAATTCAATCAAACGGGATTACAAAGCTCTTTGATAAAGATAGAAATTGAGAATGAAAGAAATGGGAATTGGAAAATTTGTAGCGGTCGTCGCAGAGCTCGCTGCACCTGCAGCTGGCGCCGTCGATCGAGCACCAGGCCGCGGCGATGATGTCGATCCTCGAGCGCTACAAGTGGCACCAGTTCAGCGTGGTGACGTCGCAGATAGCCGGCCACGCGGACTTTGTCCAGGCGGTGCGCGAGCGCATAAGCGAGATGCAGGAGCGCTTCAAGTTCACCCTGCTGCAGGCCGTCCTGTTCACGGGCAAGCAGGACCTGCGCGTCCTGAAGAAGAGCGAGTCGCGGGTCATGCTGCTCTACTCGACCAAGGACGAGGCCACGGCCATCTTTCGCGACGCCCAGGAGCTCAACATCACCGGCGAGAACTACGTCTGGATCGTGACCCAGAGCGTGATCGAGAACAGGCAGCCCGGCTACAGCTTCCCCGTGGGCAGCATCGGGGTGCACTTCGACACGAGCAGCACCAGCATCGTCAACAACATCGCCACGGCCATCAAGGCCTACGCCTACGCCGTCGAGGACTTTATGAACGACCCGAGCAACGCCCAGCACAGCCTCAACACCCAGCTGAGCTGCGACGGCGCCGAGGGCGGCGAGTCCCGATGGAGCATCGGCGATTACTTCTTCAAGTACTTGAAGAACGTCTCGGTCGACTCGGACACGCCGGGCAAGCCGCCCCTCGAGTTCACTCAGGACGGCGCGCCCAAATCGGCCGAGTTGAAAATCATGAACCTAAGGCCCAGCGTCAGTATGCATCTGGCCTGGGAGGAGGTAATTATGGCTTTTTCTCTGGATAAATTCGCGCAAACTATATTTGACGATTATAATGCGTTAGATCGGCACGTGGAAATCCTGGGAAAGACGCGGCCTCGACATCAAGGACATCGTCTGGCCGGGTAATCAGCACTCGCCGCCCCAAGGCGTGCCCGAGAAATTCTTCGTCACCATCTCGTTCCTCGAGGAGCCGCCCTACATCAATCTCGCTCCGCCCGATCCCGTCAGCGGCAAGTGCCTCATGGAGCGAGGCGTGCACTGCCGAGTCTCTCGAGATCCCGAGAGCGTCGAGTGAGTTTGGCTGCTTTTCTTTTTCTTACACCTCGTGCCTATACGAGAATTTCAATTTTGTGATTTTTTTCTTCTTCTCTCAAAGTGTCGCGGCAACGACCGAATCGAGCAACGGGCCCGGAAGCTCGACGACGGCTCAGCCGCAGCAGAACGGCAGCACGTACCAGTGCTGCAGCGGATTCTGCATAGATCTGCTTCAGAAATTTTCCGAGGATCTCGGCTTTACCTACGAGCTGGTCAGAGTCCAGGACGGCAAATGGGGCACTATCGAGGTAAATAAATATCGATATAGTTTTCTTCCTGTTCAAAATGACGTCGATGTTTTTGGTCTTTCTCGCAGAACGGCAAGTGGAACGGGCTCATAGCCGATCTGGTCAATCGGAAAACCGAAATGGTGCTGACGTCGCTGAAGATAAATTCGGAGCGCGAGGCGGCGGTGGACTTTACCGTGCCCTTCATGGAGACCGGCACCGCCATAGTCGTGGCCAAACGTACCGGCATCATTTCGCCCACGGCATTTTTAGGTACGACAACAACGACAACGAGCGATGTTTGAATGCGTCCATTAAAAATGCACGACACGTTTCAGAGCCGTTCGACATGCCGTCGTGGATGCTCGTGGGATTCGTTGCCATTCACTCGGCCACCCTCATGATTTTCCTCTTCGAGTGGCTGTCGCCTACGTCCGGCTTTCGCGGACTCGACTCGAGATCTCATCATCATCGTCACCACCACCATCATCACCATCATCATCACCACCATCATCATCATCATCAACACAATCATCACGTGGTGAGCATATTAGACATTTTTCAAACTTGTCTCGTTGAAATTCATATGGCGAATGATTGGTTGCAGGCCGGCACAACGAATCTGTCGTCGTCGCAGCGACATCGCTTCTCGCTCTGCCGAGTCTATTGGCTGGTGTGGGCGGTACTTTTCCAAGCCGCTGTTCACGTCGATTCTCCTCGTGGCTTTACCTCCAGGTGCGTTAAAATAATTGACGATTTGCGTCGATTAGCAGTTGGTTAACGTCCGTTCGACTGCGCGCACACAGATTCATGACCAACATCTGGGCCATGTTCGCCGTCGTGTTCCTGGCCATCTACACGGCCAATCTGGCCGCGTTCATGATCACGCGCGAGGAGTTCTGGGACTTTAGCGGGGTCGACGATCACAGGCTGGCCCGGCCCATGTCCCACAAGCCCATGATCAAGTTCGGCACGGTGCCCTGGACCCACACCGACAGCACCCTGTCCAAGTACTTCCGGGAGATGTACGCCTACATGAAGACCTACAACAAGAACAACGTGGCCGAGGGCGTCGAGGCCGTTGTCAATGGGTATTTATCATCGTACCAATTCGAAAGTTCAGTGGCGGATTAGAAAAAGTGACCGATTTTAAAGAAATTTAGAGGAGAAAATTTTATTTTCTATTAAATTATTAAATTGTTTTCATGTAGGATTTTTATCAAATGGAAATTCATCAAAATCTTTGACAAATGTGCGTTTGATCAATTCGGGCTCTCGTGTCATTTCGTGAAGTTTATCGAAAATTCCGTAACTAACTAAAAAGTCGCTCCATTCAAAAACATCTCATCTGATCGTTGTATGAAGAGCTGCACGAACCAATGAGCCATCAAAAAATACATCCAGATGTATATTAATTATTAGTGCGCGAAAACTGAAAACACCTCGACGTCGGTGTGTACAGGCGTGTAATGGTAGTTGAACCTCCGAGTTTCAGTTAATACACAATCATTTCAGAACACTTTTTATTGGAATTTAGAAAAATATATGTAAGAGTATCTATACATATTTACAAAATTGTCAATCATTATTTCTTCTCGCAATTGTTGTGCACGCGACCTTGATTATCTACGTGTACTGTATTTTGTTGCAAGATCAAATGCGGCTTTAATTCAAATTTCTTCTCGATTTATGGCATGCAACATTTTTTTGATTTTCGTGTATTGTCTTTAAGTGAATTTGCAAATTTGATTTTTGGCCCAATTTTTTCTCGCACTTGTCGCATGGATAATCTTTACGTCCCTCATGAACAGTATTTTGGTGGGAAAGCAAAAGCCATTTATATCCAAATTTTTTCTCGCATTTATCGCATGCGTAATCTTTCTGACCTTCGTGGACTGTTTTTTTGTGCCTGATCAAAGTGCTTTGAACCCCAAATTTCTTCTTGCACCTATCGCATGTGTAATCTTTGCGACCCTCGTGGACTGTTTTATGGTGGGAGAGCAAAAGCCATTTTTCTCCATATTTTTTATCGCATTTATCACATGCGTAATCTTTGCGACCATCGTGGGTTGTTTTTTGGTGGCGCATCAAGATCGATTTTCGTCGAAATTTCTTCTCGCATTGATCGCATGCATAATCTTTGCGACCTTCATGTAGTGTCTTTTGGTGCCTCAACAAATCTAATTTTGATCCAAATTTTTTCTCACACTTGTCACAGACAAAATTTTTACGACCCTCGTGTACTATTTTTTTATGCTTTATCAAATTGCTTTGAACCCCAAATTTTTTCTCGCATTTGTCACATGTGTAATCTTTTCGACCTTCATGAAATGTTCTTAGATGGATGAACAAAAGCGATTTATACCCAAATTTCTTCTCGCAATTGTCGCATGCGAAATCTTTGCGACCATCATGTACCGTCCTTTGATGCCTCAACAATTCTGTGTTTCTTCCAAATTTCTTCTCGCAATTATTACATGAGTAATTTTTTGAGACTTTGGTGGCTGAATCTTTCCAATCATCGTGTACTCTCTTTAGATGGAAAAGCAAATGAGATTTCTTTTCATATTTCTCTCCGCAATTGTCGCACGAATAATCATTGCGACCTTCGTGGACTGTTTTTACATGTCTAAGCCAACTCCATTTATCTCCGAATCTCTTCGCGCACATTTCACATAAATAATCTTTGAAAACTTCGTGGAATATTTTTTTATGCTTTAGTAAAGTTAATTTATCTTCAAATTTTTTTTCGCACTTGTTGCATGAGAAATCTTCGCCATCTTTGTGTACTGATTTTTGGTAAGTAGAGAAACTCGATTTATTTACAAATTTTTTCTCGCATTTGTCGGGTGCAAAATCTTTGCAGCGTTTGTGTGCCAATGTTTGGTGTCTACTCAAATGACTTTGGAATTCAAATTTTTTCTGATCATTGTGAATTTTGACTCGATGTGTTATCATGCTTGATTCGAGTATAAATTCTTCCTGACAAATATCACAAACGTATTTTTTGTTTTCTGAAACTACAATGTCCTGTTCACTTGAATTATTTTTAGAGACAATTTGTTCGGATTCCTCATCACTTTTATGCATTTTGATTCTTAAAATGAGCGTTGGATCTTTCTATTTAATGCCACGGAAATTAAATTTTTAAATAGTATATTTCTCAACGGGTGCACATATGGTTTTTTAGCAAAACGAGGGATTATAGCACGAGCCGAAGGCGAGTGCTGTAACGAGTTTTGTTAAAAAACCATATCTGCACCAGTTTGAGATACTATTTTTTCCTACGAGAGCCTAAAATTAGCGGCAAAGTTGCGTATTTTAGGTTAGAGTGGGAAAAATTTATTTTCTAATATTATGGCTTGTTTCAACGGGACAGTCAACATTGAGACTAATTTGTTTTTACTACAAACATGATCAATTTGTCAGGGAAATATGTGATCATATTGATTACAATGAAGGTAGCCTACCGATTTATCTGCTTATAAATTGTTCTTACGACGTTTGAAACAAGTCAAAATTCCGTGGCGACGATTCTTCGAGGAATTTAGATCGATTAAATAGATGCTTATACGCATGTATAATAAAAAATACCGATATTCATTCCAAAAGTGGACCGTCCCCATGTCGTGATTCGCGCTCTCCATAACTCACCACTGCAAACGAAATTCAAACGAAATTTCCACGAGCGATTGACTACAAGCTTGCGTCTAATTTTTTTTGTGCAGCGACCTCGACGCGTTCATTTACGATGGCACGGTGCTCGATTATTTGGTCTCGCAGGACGAGGATTGTCGACTGCTGACCGTCGGCTCCTGGTACTCCATGACCGGCTACGGCCTGGCCTTTCCTCGCAATTCCAAATTCCTCAAGATGTTTAACCAACGGCTGCTCGAGTATCGCGACAACGGTTGGTCTCGCTCGATAAAAATTTATTCGTCATTTTTACCGATCGTTCGTGTTGTGCCTTTCCACAGGTGACCTAGAGAGGTTGCGGCGCTACTGGATGACGGGCACCTGTCGGCCCGACAAAGAAGTGCAGAAGAGCAGCGATCCTCTGGCCCTCGAGCAGTTCTTGAGTGCTTTCCTCATGCTCATGGTCGGCATACTCATAGCGGCCATTTTGCTCTTCTTCGAGTACATCTACTTCAAGTACGTGAGACGTCATCTTGCTAAAGACAGTCGCACCGCCAAATGTTGCGCCCTCCTTAGCGTCGTAAGTGCAGACATGACAAGACTTACAAATTATAAGCACGAATAAACCATATCTACTCGCTTCTATTCTGTTTTTACTCTTTACAGCGAGAGATGTTCATGAATCCCGAAATGGAAGTTCCTAACTAGAGATCCTGAGCTTGCCCCCAAGCTCGAGTGAGTCATACAACCTGGCGGTACATGCACAGGAGCCATCATCCGCGGGGAGCTTTTTGTTTTTTGTTTTTTTTTTTTTTTAAGGAAATGGATTTGCTAATCAAAAGAGCAACTTTGACGGCGATAGTCTTCCACTTAGATGTATATCGTAGTTGAACACCAACACTGACTCAATAACAACCAAGTAATTGAAACGAATCGATCGACGAGGAGATTCAAAAGCTTGAGAGAACGAAAAAAAATCATTGCCAACAACGCCAAGGTTTTGTGTATAAATGTTTGTAAAATAATATATAAGATTACCTTGTTATATCAAATGTCATTTATTCAAAAAACGAAAAATCGTGTGCGATTAAAACATGTTTACGAATATTAATTGCCAAGTTTTGCAGTTTTTTAAAAACCTCATACATATGAAAAATATAATAAGAAAATGTTTTGCTCGCATCGCTGAAACATCTCTTTCACTTATCTTGGTCGTAAACGACACCGATTTGCCGTCGCAGCTCATCCTCGATCTCGGCAATGAGCAACGAATGCGCGTGAGTCACCTTGGGGCTCTCTTTGAGGCCTGAAAAACGAAACGCGACGTGACCGATGGTTATTCCATAATAATCTCGCAGTCGGGCGAGGTAATCTGTACCGACCTTTTTTCAGACATTCTCGCACTTCCATCGCTTCGTAATGAAGACCGGCGCTGTTGATGTGAAAAAGTGGCAGCTTGGTCTCGGGCAGGGTGACCCTCTGGTGGACTCCGCCCGGCAAAACGATCTCGGTCGGCGCCCAGAAGAGCGGCAGGCTTATCCAGCCCTTGGTGCCGATGATGCTGGCGTCGTTGGGCGCGAGGCAGGTCGTCTGCGTGGCGATGCTGGCCGTGCGTCCGTCCTTGTAGACGAGCGAGGCCGACATGGACAGGTCGACGCCCTCCTCGTTGAGGTAGCCCGCGGCTTTGATCTCGACCGGCCGCTCGTGATCGAAGACCAGACAAGCCAGCTGAATCACGTACACGCCCAGGTCCAGAATCGATCCTCCGCCCAGAGCTTTCATTCTGCAAAAAGATTCGAACACGATGTCGATCGCATTAATCGCAATTAGCTCTTGTACTCGGTTGGAAATACTTACTTCAATCGATCGACGGCGCTGATGTCGTGCCCGAAGGTGACGCTCAGCTGCCTAACCTGGCCTATGGTACCCTTGGCTAATTCCTGGCGCAGAGTCTCGTAAGCCGGAAAACAGCGACTCCAAATGGCCTCCATGAGAAAGAGACCCTTGGCCCTGGCCAGCTCGATCAACTTTTTCGTCTGCTCGAGGTTCATCGTCAGAGGCTTCTCGCACAACACGTGCTTGCCGGCGTTCAGCATCATTTGGCCGATCTCGAAGTGGGACGTGTTCAGCGTGCCGATGTAAACGATCTCTGTCGACGTCAATTTCGTCAAAATACTTTCGCCGATGTAAGTGAATTTCGAGAGCTCCAAAGCTTACCGACGTTTTTGTCCCGGGCGAGCTCCTCGTAGCTGCCGTGGGAGCTCTCTACGCCGTGGCTCTTGGCGAACTCTTGGGCGCGTTTCGGGTCTCGCGCCGCCACGGCCACGAGCCGATGCTCCGATTTTGGCAGTACGTTGACGGAGGCCGCGAAATCGTGTGATATTCTGCCCGCCCCGGCGATGCCCCAGCGCGTGGCCATCTATACAACGATATCGTCCCTTCGTTTTAGTTTCTATCTCAAAATAGATGACGAGAGCAAAAACCCACGTGAAAAATTTCACGTTTTACGGTATTCTATATGGTATCTCTCATAATTACAGAAAAATAATCAGTAGAAATATGGGGGTTAGAGTGTATCAGAGGGCTACGATAGCACGAGAGACATTAATGTCCAGGATGAATCTGACTTGGGTTACTAATACAATTATTTTGACTCTGACACTTGCAGATTTACACAGAAAAAGTATTCGCCATCTAGCGGTGAAGTTTTTCATAAGTGTACTTTTCTATCGTTAAAAACTTTGAAGCGCGACGAATACCTTTCAAAGACTAATAAAAAATGAAATCCAACAAATGAAAATTGAAACAAAGGAAATTCCAAAGTACAGTACTTGAAAGCAAGCGAGATCGCTTGAGTTTCGATCAAAATAGTCGTATCGGTTGCGAGAAACTGCTTGCCATCCGTCTCTTGCGCAATATATCGCGACGAGTAACGCGAAAAAAAGCTCAGCTGTTTCGATCTCGAGTACTTCCAGTGCGACGGATAGTTTAGTTATCTCGCTTAGATTACAGACAAGTGCACTTGGCAGATTATTGTAAACGAAAAAATTTATCTCGTTATCTGTTGCAAAAATTTTCCATTTGCACGATTACTTTATCAAATTTTTATTCATTCTCTTTTTCAGTTTTTTTTTTGTATCAGCAATCTAACAATTAATAAGAAGAAAAAAATAAACAACTGAAAACCGCTGATGGTCGAGGGCTTATTTTTATCGAAACACGCGAGGTTCTAATAAAACAAACGTTTTGACGTACATGTTTAAAGCCGTTGAATTTAAAAATAAAACGAAATAGATGAATTCAAAAAAATATCATTAAACATTTTATTTTTTAGTATTCACATACAAAATTTACATTGAGTGAGATTAATTTTATAATTCATAGGACGATTTTATTTTTTGTTAGAAAACTGAACAAATGTGAAGCCTTTATAAAATTTTTAAATCATGTTCAACTTTGTAAAGAAATTAAAAGATGACTCGATAATCTGTGTCAATTTTATCGATACTTTGTTCAGCTTTGTTTAGTATTATCGTAATTTAATTAATTATGGAATAAACTCGAACTAAAGAAACAAATAATTATAATATGTATAAATTTCATTAGTATTCTGCTGTACATATTATAACTTTAATTCAATTCTCTATTATAAAAAAGACATAATCTTACTGCAATACTTACAGTAAAATACCGTATGGGTGCCGATTAATTAAGATTCAAATTCTCATAAAGATGGATGCAAAATCAATTTTCAATTAACCGTCTGTAAGCCTGAAATGCGAAAATTCAGTCTTCCTAGCTGAAAAGTGACACTAGCAGAGCGAATAGCAGACAGAGGCTTGGAATTTATGTACTCCACTACGGAGGGCACTTGGATGCATGAGAACTCGAGAGAGAGAGAGAGAGAGAGTAAACGGGCCAGCGGTGCTTGACACAAGTGCAGTCCGGGGGGAAGGCGGTAATTTCAAAATGGTGAAATCGAAGAAGTTATTGCATTGGCCAAAGTATTTGGGGGCTGAATTTACTACAAGAGTTTGGGAAAAGAAACATGAGATTCGCCAAAGTTGATAATTTGCGAGGGTTTTTGTAAAATCATGTACTTCTTCGCATTTGTTTTGTATACTATTATAATTACCATTGAATAGGTTCACCATATTAAAAGTAATAAAATTATGAAACTCATAATAATTCAATAAGTTATTTAATCATGGTTAATTTATAAATATTTCTAAATTTTATTTCAACATAATATTTAAAAAAACGTTTAAAAAATTTCCTCGAACGTACATTGAAATATTTTCCTTATTTTCTAGTGGAACTTTGTTAATGCACGAATCGAACGAGTTGAACGTGAATCCGATTATTTATTAATCGTGAACAAACTCCAGCACGTTTTCAATAAAAATTTTATACTTTTTCGTGTATATATTCGAAAATATGGACGCAATCTTTCTCGATCATTTTGAAAAAAAAAAATTTGATCAATAATAATCGAGTAAGTATAAAAGATTTCAAATACAACATGAGGCTCGTATTAATCCTGTTTCTCGTTTCTTTTGCCTGCGTAAGTTTTTGAGAATTTTTATGAGGCAAATATTGACACCTTCATCCGACAGACTTTACGTTGAATTTTCCAGACCGTCCATGGATTCAGTCTGAGCAAATTCACGCACAAAATTTGGAACGAAACGAAGAAAAAAGTGACCTCGCTGGCTGAGTCTGCCAAGAAATACGTAATCGAAGCTGGACAAGCCCTGAGCGACGTGCACGATCTCGAAGAAAAGGCTATCAAAGCTATCAGTGGACTGCTCAGTAAATCTTTGCTCGAGGTAAGCCATTCGAAACGGAAAATGGGAATTTGTCTGACGCAAATCGTTGGCTGTTGCAGGCCGAAGAAAGTTTGTCGGGTTCCTTCGAATACGCCAGCAAGTTCAAGGTCGACTTCGAGCACTGCAAGAAAAAATCCGAGAGCGACGTTCACGCGGCGTTGGAGGAAATTCTGCACGACGTCACCGCCAAGGTCAAGGAAGTATACCGCGAGCTGAAGACCGAAGCGAAGGAAGTGATACACCGCGCCGAGACGGGTATCAACGAGGCCAAAAAGAGTTTCTGGGAAGGCGCGAAGTCGATTTTTGAGGCGGGCAAGAGCGCGGGCTCGTTCGTCCTCGAAGGCATTACGCTGCCCGCTACGATCGAGGTCCTCGTCAAGAACACGCAGAAGAAGGTCGCGTCGAGGACGGCGAGCATCGTGAGAGACGCCCAGTGGTGCGTCATTGAGGCCGTCAAAGCGGCCGGCGTAGATGCCTCGGGCTTGGAAGGCAACGAAGTCAATGTGGAGCTCGCCGAGGGTAACGATATCGGCCCTGGCTATCATACTGTCCAGGTTCCCGAATAATTCCATAGTATCGTGCTGAATTCGACAATTGTAAATTATTGAAAATAATAAAATGTTGTAGTCAATGATTTTTATTACAAAAATTAGCTTTCTATATTTTACAATCGCCAATCGTTTTATTAGCTATAATTTGGTATTAATATTTTTTCATTAGGTGATAGCTGGAGATGGGGCAAAAAGCTTTTTACAGCGAGCTTATTAGTTTAATAAATGTTGAGTAGGCAACGATTCGTAGCGCACAATAAAAACGTATGAAAAATGCAAACGAACGCGAACGATAAAAACGTAATAATCATGCATTTGCTGTGCATATAAATGTAGGAAGATTTTCATTAGAAAATGTGGTAGTAGCAAAATGATCATTTTTCTATTCTTTTCGTTTCTATATTCCTGGTAGAAATGCTCAAAATTGATAATGGCCTTACAACCTAAAAATAAGCATTAAAAATGGTTTATAATACATTATCATTAATTATCTTGCTTCTAGCGATTTTTTGTTAAAATTTTCTTAAAAATATCAAGCGCATTTTGCGAAGCCTGAAAATGACAATGCAATCGTTCCAAAACGCTCAGACCAGTTTTGCAACCACTTTGAATACGACAATAATAGTTCAGGTCTCAACAGCTAGATGGCGAGTACCTTTGTCAGTAAATCTGCCAGTGGCAAAGTAAAAAATATAAGTGAAAGCACGGTTTTGAAAGAATACTGTGAAAAATGTAGTCACTTCTTCAGGTAAACAAAGTAAAAGAGAAACAGCTTATAGTAGTGTTATGGCGTTTCCAAAATCAAACGAAATAGTATATTTAGCACCTAGGGAGTGAAAAACTGGAAAGTCTCAGAGCACGTGTAATTTATCATTCGAGGCGAGGCCGAGATTGATAATCACGTGCTCTGAAACTTTCTTTTTTCGTTACATAGGTGCAAATACAGTTTTTTTGTGAATCCCCCAGCCTAAAGTAACATTTTGGTTTTGCTCAGCCGGAGTAAAATGTTACTTTAGGTTGGGGTGGCACAAAAAATAATAAAATTTCAATTTACAGTTAAAAATGGGCCATCAAACGGAAAAAGAACGTGGAGCGTTGCGTGGTCGTAATACGTTGAGAAAAAACGTTTGGTTAGTGCATTTCCAGTTCTTTGGCTCTTTTTTAGCCAAGAAACTTTTTCTCTGGCCAAAAACTTTCTATAAATTGTTGAATGTTTCTACCACGAATGCTTTATATTCTTAAAAAAGACTTGAATTTTTTTAATTTATTTCCGTCAAAGGGATTTATTTCCCCCTCTGTGAAGTAAGCTTATGTAAAGAGAAGAATCATTAATCTATAATATGAACGACAGCTTAGAGATAAAAAATCCGGAAGAATGTTAAAATTAGTTAAACTATAATTAACTGTTGCCACGCTCTCAACGATCAATTATGCCTGTCTTATACGGGAGATGCGATGTGCGATCGAAATTGATATGATTTAATAATTCAAACACTGGAGGGGCGAAAAATCAGGCGGTGACGCGTCGATCGATCGGACACAGTTGCTTTACATTCATTTTACATTCGCAGTACAAGAATCGTGAAAAATCCGAAGAAAGCCTCAGTAGAGCTGGATACATGTAAGAGGAAGCACGAGGAGAATGCAGTGGGCAGCGGCGGAGACGCGTCCGGCGTGACTTTTCCTCGACAGGCCCTGCTGGTTGGGCTCGTCGATGTTGTTGCCACCGAAGCTCCCGGCGGCTGGATAGACCTCTTCGGTGGTCGGGTCCTGAGCACCAAAAAAAAAGAGTCGAGATCAGCGAACGAGGTCGAATAACAAGGCCGCGCAACGTAACGATCGCAATGGCTTACGTATCGAAGGGTGAACCAAGTGTTGGTGGCCCAGTCGGGTATCTCGGAGGTCGAGGCCATGAGGACCGAGCGCGAAGTGGGCGTCGTCGTCGTCGTCGTGGAAGTCGTGCTGGTCGTCTTGGAGGTGGTCGGCGCCGCACTGCTCCAGGATATGCCCCGAGCGAAGCCCGGCGATCGGACGGTCGAGCTGGCGCCGCTCACTGCGACAAAACGACATCGACAATTATTATTAGCTGGCATATTATAGTATAGGCTGCGGCAAGTAGTTAATCGAGCGACTGACTGGAATTTTCGGCGAGCGACGAGTAGCGAAGATCGTTGTCCCGCTGCTTGGAGCTGCTAGCGTCCGGATCTCTTCGATCGGCGCCGCTCGGCCAGACGACGGAGCGCGAGGCCGTACTACTGGCTTGCCGAGGCGTCGTCGTGACCGACGACTGAGGCTCCAGGCTCGTCGTGCTTCGGGCTTCTGCGCAACGATAATCGATCATTGATCGTTAATCGTCAGAGAAAGGGAAAAATAATGGACCTACTGGATGGACCGTAGGACTTGTAGGGGTACATGGTGGCGTGGGGCATGGTCGAGGCGTGGACCTCGCGGGCGCTGCTCTGGACGGCTCCGCTCGTCACCGAGTCGTAAAAGTCGCTGGCCTTGGCCCTATACACGTCCTGCTGCTGCTGTCTGGATTGGCCACGAGTGGCGGTGACGCTTCGGGCCTCGCCGAGTCGACCCGAGGCTGCTGTCGCTGCTTTGGCCGTCGTCGAGACCCAACTCCTCATGCCGTGGGGTATCATCGACGAGCACTTGCCCGTGTCGGGACTGCGTATAATTTTTACTCGTCAAGGAATGTTTACAAGTATATCAAGGAGCTTCTTACATGTGACTGGCGCACTGGTCCTGGAGAAAATGGAAGGCCTTGTCGAGGACCTGTCGAGAGAATCGGGCGGCCACGCCCTCGACCTTGTTGCCGTCGCATCTCATTCGGGTTTTCAGGATGACGCACGATCGGAAGTTGTGGTAGGCGCTGTTCGAAAATGAGTTATTGAAACAAAAAACGACAATCCATGGAGGGTCGCGTACTCACCAGCAGAGATTGGGTTTGCGGACGGACTCGCGCGACACCTCCGACACGAGGAAGGAGTAATGGGAGCCACAGTGCTCCGGCTCGATGACCGTCGCCTTGATGCAGCTTGCGTACTGCAGGTACTCTGTATGGACGACGAAGAAGAAGAAGAAAAAAAGGAATAATTTGCGTAAGATTTTCGCGCGCAGTTCGCGTAATACCTGCTTGATAGGAAGACTTGGAGCACATCTGGTGGACCGAATTGATGGGCGGCTCGACGGCCGAATTGAACTGGTCCTTCCTGACTTTGGAGAAGCACTTGTCGATGTAGCGCTTTATGCAGTCGACGAAATTCGACCAGGTTCTGGTTTTAACCGACGGATTAATCAAAATGCAACCGATTCTGAACTGAAATGATAATGCTCGTTTACCTGCAAACGTTATTGATGTCGTTCATGTTGTCGGGAAAGATGAGGTGAGGATCCTTGAGCATGGGCTCGGCCACGGCTATGCACTTGCGTATTCGGTCCTCGGCGCAGTTCTGGCCGTTGACCGCCCACAGCGACCAGCCTGTTATAAAACGAGTGCGTAAGAGTCGAGGATAATCCGTCGCTTTATGCAATTACAATGCGTAAAAAGCGTGGACGCGCTTGCGAATCGCAGCAACGACAGAAGCCGACGTCACTGCTTCCGATGAAAGTCGCGCGGCCTCAGCGACGCGTGTCGCCTATTATTATCGCCTAACGCCGTTCATTGTGTACTTGTATACGCAGCAGGTTCGTCGTCGTCGTCTGCGATTCGCAAGCGCATTCGTACCATATATCGTACGTACCGAGCAACAAAGCTGCGGAAACAAAGATCCGGAACATGATCTGCAATTACAACAAAAAAATTATTAGCCTCGTTTCCACCTTTCGCCCGAGTGAATTTCGACGCGTATACGTGTAATGGATTAAAGCTCGAGTCGAGTCTCGATCTTTTCGGCAGAATACAAATCGTAACTGTCAAGAGTCATTTGATTCTCGAAAATTACCATTAAAATTTGCCCATGTCTGATCGCAGACGAGCTTTTGCCAGCTCGCGAGCGAAAGCTCCAAAATTACTGCAAACAAAAAACGGACCAAATTTCACCGGTCGTCGGCTTGGTGCAAAATGATAGGCCGCTGAGCGCAGGATACGAGTGTCCCATTACAATATATTAGGCCCCCCAGTAGCCGAAATCGATAAATCCTTTATAATAAAGATTCGGTATTGCGCATTCAACGTGTCTTTTCCCCCCGTATCCTACATTCGAAATCGTGTCGGGTCGTCGGTCGCCTGTGTGCAAGCATAACAAGGTGTTACAACATTATTACGGGTACACAGACGTGTCTCGAAACTGAATAAATATGTAGCCTCCTACAAGTTGGCAGTTGCGTGCGACGTAATCGGCGGGGGGTTTGTTTTTCAATGGTCGCTTGTCGAGTAAGCCGAAGGGGCGAATATCGTGTAGGAACAGGTGCGTGCGTCAATGTACACATTATCGGCGCCAGTCCGATGTATCCTTGTGGTACGCGCTTACGTCCTAGCTGATATCCTGCCACACGTGCATGAAATGATGGACTGTCGTATAATAAAATCCTCGTGCGACTAGTGCATGTGTATTATGTACATGGAATCGGCGCGCCAACGGCTCGTGAACGAGCGCTGACACCTGATTTATATTCATTTATGCCTCCAACTTATCGCATACACATACACACATAGGAGGGTTACCGTGTAAGCTGTATGCAGACAGAGAGAGGACTATATACTATAGTCGCCTGCCGCGACCGAGTCGCTGACCCGAAACGCCACTATTATATATAAGTTTTATATACAGTCGCTGCGCTCAGGTGGAAAGCACCCGACATTCTATCACTTGCCGACGTAATGCATAAACATTTGCGACAATTTACAACTGACAAAACTGAAAGTAACAAGAGCATCGAATGTATAAGTTCGATGCTACACGGAACTAAAAATATCGCTCGATGTCGAAAGCCCAATTTTTTTTGTCCACCGATCGTTGAACCGGCAAACTTCCGCTCGAAGGAAAGAGTTCGGCGATCCAAAAAAAAAAGACTTACCTGACTGTATCGTTGACTACGACCACCACGAAGAGTTTTGCACTCGCGATCTCGTTAATCGACTCTCGACGATTTCCTTGCCACGCTATGCCCGCGCTCGCTCTGATGTCCAGTCAAAGCTCCGCTCACTGTCATGCTCGGATCGGCTTTTTTTCTCCCACCTCGGCTGCGCCGCTATATAATATGTGTTTTTCTCTTATTATCCTCTTATTGACTCTTTTTTTTTGTTCACGTATCATGCACTATTAGCTCGGTTTATCATAACACTTTGGCTGCACTGCGTACGTACAAGAACGTTGAAGAATGAACGAGCAGCGATGGACTTGGCGACGGAAGCGATCGGATTTCTATTATATGATCGTCCTGCGCTTTATTTATACTCGATTGTTTAGCTCGATGAATGGTGGCGCGTCGCACAAAGGCACGATGTAGAAAAAGACTCGATCGAGACTCGCGAGTCCAAAAGGAAAACTAAACTCTCGACTCTTGGAGTAGAGTAAGAATTGGATCGAGTCGACCGGTAAGGAGGATAGAGAGGAGCTGCTACGGGCTCGAGGCTCGAAAGTCGACTGGCGATGCTCGCAAGCGCACGACCAACATACGCTTTGCGCCCTGCCGCTGCCGACTACTACACTACTACACAGTCGAGCTCTTAAATGCCCTTCCGTGCGCGCGCCACAGTCCGTAGTCCGTACACGGGCACGCAATGGTCAGCTTTTGCGCGTTTCGCTCTACACACGGGGGGCTATGGCTGTAAAACGCGACCTACCGTGTGCCGTACAAAGAGTCCGAGTATATTAGCGGCTGTGCTTTTGAGTATCCTAGCACGCGATCCGTCGACCAAAGCGAGGTGACAACGCCGAACGCTTCACGCTTCGATGCGCTCCTTTTATCCTCCGCATATTTATTTTATCGTCTATTCGTCTATTCTATATGTATAAAAATTTGCCTCGATCAAACTGACCACGGATAGAATTTTCAATCGTTTTCTTTCTTTCTTTTTTCTTTTATTAATGAATTTTACTTCTCGAGGAGTATATTCGGACGGTATCGCTAATTGCATCTTTCTCCGCAGCGTTGAAACCGTTAAGCTCGTTATTATATTTATTAGCTCGTTCTCGTCGCTCGCCTACGATTCTAGGACGACACTTGTCGCCGTGCACCGGATGCCGCTCTTTTTCTTTTTTTTTTCATTATTCGCTTATAACCAAAGTACTTAACTGCACTTTGACGCCCCGCTCCGTACTTATCATTGCGTTTCGCTTGGCTCAAAAATTGGACTCTTTGCGCGGAGACGCGAGCTTGCGGACAAAAGGTGGCCTCTTTTTCTTTCGTTTTCTTAGCGCTCGAGCCTATGCAGCTGTCCGAGCAAACTATATTACACGTATATGTACGAGCTTTCGGCCCGTCGCATAGAGTCGATAAGAAGCTCCTCGCGTGCGAGTCGAGCGCCGGACTCGCGTGAGCGGGGGCTATTGGCCGACTACGACTATACTCTTCCTCCTTTCTCTCCCTCGAGCGGCTACTCGAAACCGGCCCCCTACACACCATTATGTGCTCGATACTATCGCGATACACCTGTGCGCTCTTATGCCCGTAGCACAGCCGACCCACCATCATCTGACTTTATTTTACTTCTTGCCAATTCGACGACTGCTTCTCGATCGCTCCGCTATACATACCGATACTCCTTTGCTTACTTACTACTCCTTGGCTCCATCTATTATATATTATGTACGCGAGAAATGGGTCATTCGTGCCCGATCGATCTCGCCGGAGCGACGACTTAATGTGGGCCATTATTTGCCCATTCTTTCTCTGCGTTTATCATTTTTCAAACGCGTTGACCGAAAGTCGAATTTTCTCTCTGCTGCTGCCGCCGCCAGCCGCGCGACTATTGATCCTCTCCCAAGGCGCTGCAAAATTATTCAAATCTGATAATAATTCATTGTCTTGGTGTTTTGCATGCCTGTGTAATAATAACACGATGCTCCGCCGGCTTCCTTGACGCCTCTTTTTTTTCTATTATCACTGCGGCCGCCGACCTATGGAGCTATTTTAAATCGAGTTTTTTTTTTCCAACTCCTACATGCAAACGAATAATAACCACGTAAAAGCATAGATTTTACATTTAATGTTTTTTAATCACTTTATTAAAGATTTAATGTCGTACAGAACAATAAGCTCACTCATAAATAAGCAATTTTGTTTGCCAGATACTTCAATTTTAATCAATATATTTACACCAGTTTTTCATTTCTGGGCTAAAAACGTAACTGCTACATCATCGTTCAAGACAAGAGTATTACGAATTTTTTTCTCATTTTAATACGTGCTATGTATTTTAATGCAATTAACATATTGTTTAAACGCTGTCTTAAGCAACTGAACGAGTTGACCCGAAACTAACTTATCGTTCTCGAGATAAGTCCCGCGAATTCAACGTGATTAAAATACACAAAAATAGTATTGACTGTTACGTCACTTTTTTTCTTCTTCTTTTTCTTCTTCCTCCGTTTCTGCACTTTATCATAACTTAAGCATGGGGATTGCGGAATTTCTCGCCAGCGTACTTGGCACCAGCGCCAAGCTCCTCTTCGATACGAAGAATTTGATTGTATTTGGCCAAGCGCTCGGAGCGGCATGGCGCACCAGTCTTGATTTGACCGGTGGACAGACCAACTACGAGGTCAGCGATGAACGTATCCTCGGTTTCACCCGATCGATGAGACACCATTGTACCCCATCCTGCGCTCTTTGCCAATTTGTGGGCGTTGATCGATTCGGTTACGCTACCGATCTGGTTGACTTTCAACAAAAGGCAATTGCAAGCCTTCTTCTCAATAGCTGTCTTAATTCTGCGCGAATAAAACAAATATAAATTCATAAGTATTTGGATATTTGAAAATACTAGTCTAACGGCTTGAAAAAAAAAATATCTATTCATAATACCTTTCTGGATTGGTAACAGTAAGATCATCACCAACAATTTGGATTGGAGTGGCGGCTGTGATGCTAGTCCACGAATCCCAGCCATCTTGGTCGAAGGGATCTTCAATGGAAACAATTGGGAATTCTTTAACCCATCCCAAATACAGGTCTTGCAGAGCCTTAGGCTCCAAGTATTCACTTGGGTTGGAGTTGGGGTTCTTGAAGTCCAAGTCGTACTTGCCGTCTTTGTGGAATTCGGAAGCGGCAACGTCCATACCGATCTTGATTTTACCTTCATAACCAGCAGCCTTGAATTAATAAAGTTTTTCATTATTATGGGAATAATTCACATGCTCGTTATCAAGTTGTCACTAGAGTTGGTTTAATACCATACATAATATGCTAATATATAGCAAAATTTAAATAATCTCTAGTTTTCAAAGAGGCAGGCACCTTAAGTAACGAATTGGGTAAAGTATATAAATTTGAACATGAAATTTTAAATATATGTAAACAAAATTTTACTTGTATAAAAGTAAAAAAGCTATATTATTTCTTTGAAATATTTTTTTAAAAATTCATTTCTAAACTTTAAGACCATAAACTTTTATGTATGACAAACTTAGTTTTAATTAGAAAATAAACAAAACAAAAAAAAAAAAGAGTTTAATTTAAAAATTCACCTTGATAGCATCAATGATCAAGAGTAAACCCTCTTTGTTGTCCAAAATGTTGGGAGCAAAACCACCCTCATCGCCGACAGCCGTGGCATCAAGACCAAACTTCTTCTTGATTCCATTTTTCAAATGATGGTAAACTTCACTACCCATTTTCATGGCTTCAGTGAAGTTCTTAGCTCCAGTTGGGAGGATCATGAATTCCTGCATGGCCAATTTGTTGCCAGCGTGTGAACCACCATTGATGACATTGAAAGCTGGGGTTGGTAGAATGATTTCAGTGTTTCCAGCTAGTTCAGCAATGTATCTATGATAAAATGATTATCTCGTTAGTATGTTTTGATATAAATTTGAATGAAGAGAAGAATAAATCAAGTTTACTTGTATAGAGGGAGGCCCTTTTTGGCAGCACCAGCTTTGCACACAGCAAGAGAGACACCCAAAATAGCATTGGCTCCCAACTTAGCCTTGTTTGGTGTTCCGTCAAGTTTCAGCAATAAGTTGTCAATCTCTGTTTGCTGAGTTACTTCCAATCCACACTAGAGTAAAATTTAATTATTGCAATTAATATTTACCATAGGCTTAAGATTAAATTTTGGTTTTAAACTGTGAATTACTAACTTTCAACAATTCACCAGCAATGATGTTGTTGATGTTATCAACAGCCTTGAAGACCGACTTGCCATGGTACTGTGATTTGTCATTATCTCTCAGTTCCAAAGCTTCGTGCACTCCAGTTGATGCTCCCGATGGAACTGCAGCACGGAAGAGTCCATTCTCCGTTACAAGGTCAACCTGTATTAAGTTAAAAAATTAATTATTGAAGCATGAGAAAATTCTTAATATGACTATTCTGCTAAATTAATAAGTTCAAAATTGTTCAGTAATGAACTGATTCAAGTTTTCAGTGAATTAAAAGTAAAATAGCATACCTCGACAGTGGGGTTACCACGTGAGTCGTAGATCTGACGAGCTTTAACACTGACAATTGGCATATTGGTGCTGTATCGTCGCAAGCTTAATACTGTCAAACTTCTGCAAGAATAAAACGTGAAGCTTCGATTAGATGAAATTCGGCTGTGTGCAACGAGCGAGCGGATCGATGACGAACAATGCCAAGGTTCCGACCACGACCACGACCCGCTATTTCGTTCTCGTTATAGCGCGACAAGGCCATTGCGAGGAGTTTATAAAAAAAAAGCCCACGAAAATCTCTGCTCTCGAGCTGAGCGTGCTTGTGACGCGCGATGGCTCGCTCGCGCACGTAATCTTATGTAACGAAATCAATGAGCGCGAGTCTCGTTGCGCTGCGAAGAAAGTCAATTTGCATTTCTATGTTAGGTGTAAGTGTGAATGGAATTTTTAGGCTCGGAGAAAGCCATTAGCCAAAGACTCGGCACTCGTTACAAACATTCGAGAAATCATCGCTTGCCACGAAATCAGCTCGGACCTATCAAACGATTTGACTTACGTTAAGCTTGATAAGATTGACCTTGTCAAGGTCATGAGCGAATGGAAGCTCGACTTGGCTTTGCAAACTTGCAATTTAAACGGAAAAAGTCCCCGATTCGGTACAGCGTAAGAAGTAATTTTTCGCGATAGCCAGTAGTGCCTACTACGAGGATTGCAATAAAAATTTGCTCTCTAGGCGTTAAAACGGCACGAGACGTTCGCACGATGACACGTGTTTCCACGCATGTCACGCACAACTGCCTACGTATTAGACGACTGCGATAAGATTTTTTGCACGCGGATTTCGAGTTTAGAGGAGCAAAACGCGAAAGAGCGAGAGAGCAACGTTCTCTGGGTGACCGATAACACTCGGCACCTGCTTATTGAATAGAAATAGCACGGCTAATATCTAGTGTATGTGTGCAACTCACCAATCACTGACTGAGATCGATTCTTTCTGCTCGAGACTATGTGCCGGCTACGTGTACAAGTCGCGACTGCCCGAGAGTATGTACGAAGAACGCGAGCTAACTGCGCCAACTTCTGTCCTCCTCCTGCCTGTATTATAGACTGGCTGCTATAAAGCAAGCGCGAACTGCAGCGCGGGGAGTCGCGCGACGTCGCGAGCGGATAACTATTGTAGTCTTTAACATACACGAGCTATTATTATAGGCTGAACATTTTCAGCTGTTCTCACGTGTGCATTATCATTATCTTTATAACGAATTACGGCGCGCTCGTTAATTGTCTATTCTGATGTTTAATGCGATTTTCACGACTCTGTCGATGTGGTATACGCGTTGCGGAGCTATTTGAGAGTGCGTTTTGAAGCGAGCGCACGAATGGGGTGCACGAGAAATAATCGATGATGCTTCGAGAATGATGCAATTTTTTTTTCTCTGAAACGTTCTGCGTACAACTGATTGCTCTAGAATCGGTCTCGTCGATAACAATTTCCATTATTTTATTAATTTTCTACGATCATTTTTATAAGACAACATTTTCATCTACCAAATGTAAGAAAACAGTAAGATCGTTTCCCCTTATTCGTCGGATCAAGAATTTAAAATTATTTAGATACAATTTTTATAAATATATTTACGAAAAAAGTAGTTTATTGTTAAAACAGAAATACACAATAACAATTTAATTAAATATGTACAAATCATCAAATGATACACGAAAATTATCAGCTCAAACAGAGCTCAGATGATATCATTACCAATGATGTTTTTTTTTTACCATTCTGGAATTCCAAACTTATCAATTCTCTTAACTTGTGCATCAAGATCAATTTGAACCTTCTTCCTCATGTAAAAGATTGGACAATCGCGACTGTAAAAATTATTTTAAAAATTCATTCATCTTGCTTTTATGAATTTCATCGTGTATTGAGTTGAAAATAATTATACCTTGAACAAATAACTTCTTGGTGAAGACTTCCTTGACATCTTTGGCACTCTGACCACAATCTACAGAATTTTTCTTCGAGCTTTCTCCCGTTATAAATTTCACTTTGAATAATTTCCGCCTCTCTTTCCTCGCAATAACTGCATAGAGCTTTATCAGCTCTGTCACTTGTCAATACAGCCTTGCATCCAATACAAGTTTCCTTCTTTTTGGTAAAGGCAAACAGAGCGCCAACTTTAGAGGTAGCCACTGATTTTGTCCTCGTATGTTCGCCTTTAAGTAATAACGATTCGGCTTTGTCACCGAGAATAGGCTCGAAAATACGAACCAATGGCTTGGACAACTGATTTTCCAAGTAATAATTTGTATCGATGGGTATGTTATTTTCTAAAACGTAGATGGGATCTTCAGCTTTTTGGTACGCCGGCATACCTTTTGAACCGCTGATAAAGACATAAGGAATTCGATCGCCGAGTTTGGGTGCAGTACCCGCATCGCGTTTCTTCATTTTAGCAGCAAGTTCGACATGAGCTTGTTTAGCGGCATACTCGGTTTTAGTTAGTTCTTTTGTAACAACTAATTGCGAAATATCAATTCGATTGCAAAGAAGATCGCTAATGACTTGTTTTGCATAATCAATAGCATCGTCTGGATTTCTAAAAAATATCATTTTAACAAATATTTTAATATAATGATAAATTACGTTTTAGTTATATGAAAATTATTACCTGTCAATGAGTAGTTTTTGTAAGCAAGTATTCATCATATTTGCCACTAATGGGCAATTGTCTCTTCTTACTGTTTCTAATCCTTTACAGTCCATTTTATCATACTTATCAGGTCTTGTAAAATATAGGCCAGCATATCGCTTTTTATTGATAAGCAAGTACGGAAAATAAACTTTTTCAAATTCCAATTTAATTGGTTTAATGAATTTCGATGTGACATAATCTGCAGCTTCTTTTCCCAGTTTCATTGCATCTTCTATGGTTTTTACACCGAACTTCACCATAACGGAATCGGTATCACCGTAAATGACAATAGCATCGTGTTCATAACCATTTTCTTTCTTATAATGAGCTTCGACTTCTTGTTTTGTTTTTTCAATCATGGTACGGCCATAAGCTGTTACACTCTAATAAAAGAAATAATGAAATTCATAATATCCATCAATGATATTTGTAATATAAATATTCAATTCATTTATTTACCCCTGATATTTCTAAACATGGTAGTTTTCCTTGCTGAGCACCAGTAAAACCATAAACAGAGTTGGCTGACACTTTCAAAGCATATTGTCGACCGTCAAGAACTTTTTGTTTCAGTGGATCCGTTTCCTTTTTTAGTTCAGCTTTAGCAGCTTTCCTAGCTGATAACAAATGTTCCAAAATTTCGGGTAAAATTCCTTTCCTTACATTTGCTTTTACAAAACAGGAATTAGCTGGTGTTTTACTAACGTCATCAGGATCTAGTTTATATGCATTTTGCGCTGCTGGACTTAAAAGAGTTGTATAGCAAATGTTATGAGCCATGATTATACTAGGATATAGAGAACTAAAATCCAATGTGGCAATTGGGTCATTGTAGTAACCACGAAGTGGTTCAATAACTGTTGCTCCTTCGAATTGTTCATCTGAACCTTGACCATGATGTACTGGTATCAAGTATCCTCTTTCAATAGTCTAAAAAAATAATAAAAACAATATTAATTTAAAAATTTAGGTGTCAATTCAAAAGTAGAACTGCTTTACCTTTCTTAGTAATTGTGAAACAACTTTGATCTGTTGACCTCTGGTTAATAAACTAGTGAGTGAAACACCTGTCACTCTTGCCATTTCCATGTAGATGATAATGCACATAAGTTTATCTAACAGTCTTAGTGGTAAATAAGCATCTTTTAAACAGTACACTGCTAAACGTCTTCTAGTTTGTGCATTACCATTTTGTAAATCTGTGATAATACTGTGATGAACGTCTTCTTTTTGTTCTCCCAAAAAATGATAAGAAACAGCGTTTAGAGTGTAAGATCGTAATTTATAATCTCTTACTAATACTAATAACAAGTCAAATGGTACACGCCCTTCAAAATTGACAGATTTATTTTCTCTTCTACCCATTTGTTTGCTTTGCAGTACCGTATTTTTGATCACTGATTTAATATTTTTTATTCTACCCAAGTAACTAAAATCTCTCACGTTAAGATGCTGAGCTCTATTGATGAGATATGGAAAATCAAAATTATTGATGTTATATCCAGTAAAAATATCAGGATCCAATTGCCTAATGAAGTCAGCCCATTTCTAAATTAATAAATTTGATTTTCAAATATTAGATTGATTGGACATATTATTTAATTTATCTAACTTTTATTTGTGTTTTATTACCTCTAATAATTTTTCTTCTGTATCAAAGCTTAAGACTTGACATCCAACGATTGGAGCACAAGTGTTTAATGTAAAAATATTTCTTACAAATGGTTCTGTTTCACCTTGTAATATAACCATGTTAGCTATTTGAATAACAGGATCATGCTCAGGTTCAGGAAAAATTCCTTTGATCAAAAAATATAAGCAAGTATTAATAAAAATATAATGATGAAATACAATCTACGTGATTTTAATAGCACACCTTTACGGCCAGCACATTCAATATCAAAACTGAGAATTCTGAAAGGTGCTACTTTGGACCATTCTCCTTCAGGTGCATGAGCAATCAACTGATCCCAAGCTACATCAACTTCCATTTGACATCTTGTAACAGTAGGTAAATTGTGCCCATTTTTTCCTCTCAACTTCCATTTTCCTGGAACTAATTCAATCCAAGAACACCCAAGCATATGGGTATCTGCCATAAACCTAAACATAATAAATAATATCATTATTTTTCTATCATTATGCCAGTCTAAAGATTTTTGGTGTTTTACCTGATATCAAAATCTATGTTGCTTTCATAAGCAACATATTTATGATCTAATTCTCGATAGACAATTTGAGTTTCTAACAATCTTTTGCAAGGTGCAATCAATTTTGGCAATGCAACAGTAATTTTCAAAAATAACGATTTTTTCTCTCCAGTATATCCATAAACTGTTTGTTTTTCAACTATTTCAACAGCTAAGACAAAGTCTTGAATATTTTCATAATTATTTTTTATATCATTTTTGATAGCGTTGTTTAAAGCTTCCTGCAAAAATAGAAACAAAGAGAAATAAGTACATTGTGCAATAGTTAACTTTTGTTACAATTTATTTATCAACTTACTTTAAAAGGTTTGCAATGAGCATTTGTGAATGAAGGGTGGCAAGAAACAAAAAAGTATGGACTGAATCCATGGACATAACAGCAAACTGAATTTCCTAATTCTGTGACACCATACATTCTCATAACAGGTACTGGTCCTATTCTACTTCCAGGCATACCTGGCTGTGGTTTATCTGAATAACACATTAGTTTATTCAATAACTTTTGGTGAAATGTAAGTTATTGAAATATTAGAAATGTACCTGTGAAGTGGTCTATATCAATTTGCTGAAAGCACAATCCATCTTTTAATGGATCTAATGCAGGTGGTGCAGGTCTACTCCACTTGGAAGATGTATTTTCTTGTTCTGGTCCCTGAACAAAATATAACATAAGTTCCAAATGAAACCAAACGGATCATTAAAAGTAATACTTTAAATAATATGTCTCATACTTCGCCAAGAACTTGAGTTCCTTCGGTATTGACATCATCATCAAAGTCATCCATACTTGCAAGCTCAGACACAAATGTTGATGGTTCATCATCGTCGGCTCTTTAAAAATAAAGAAAAAATTGATGATCAATGCAACTTTAAATAAAATTAGGTTACAAGTAACCAGCGCTTTTTGTAAATATACAACAGTAGAAGAAAATGTAGTTACTTACGCAACTTTTGTCTTTTTGCTTGCAGATGAAGCAGAGTACGGCGGCCTTTTGCTCATTTTGGCGAGAAATTGTGAAAAGCGTGAGTTTTTCGATGACAGTAAAAACTGAAGGAAAGGAACAAATCACAAAGAACTGCTACTACCACTGCCGTAAGGACGGAGCAATATCATAATAGTCAACTCCGAATTCCCGCGCAATTTTAGGGTTGGAAAACGGATTCAAGCGAAGGTTGCGAATCTGTCTGCTACGGAATGCAACTTTATGACAGTTATGACCACTAGTTTATGACTGCAACGAATAAATTAAGTAACGCGTTCAATTAGAAAATAAATTTTGAAACTCTTGTAAACGTCATCACACTTTTTACTTATAATCAACTATTTTACTTATAAATAACCAATGAATTACTTCATAATTTGTTTTCATAATAATCTCAATCTCTTTTATATAACGATAGATTTGTGCATCAATGATGGATGTAAAATTTTTCTGTGACTTTAATGAGTTTACGTTATTTTTCCTCGAGTTATAACACCTGATAAGAAATCGTTTGATATGAGCTTTGGGAGTTATTGAAGTGTCGTCCGTCACTTGTTTTGTTTACAAAACTGACATGGCCAGCAGCTGTCAGTGTGTTTGTATTATATTACTCGCGCTCCAAAGCAAAATTTTTAAATGGCCAACTCTCTCCCGCCACGGTCACCTGCACAATTGTAGTCTTTGGGGGCATGCAGCCACATTTGTAGCGTAAGACGGCACCGACCGAAAACAATAATAAATACAACGTAAATTAAGGCGAACGAAGGTGTGGCATTAGTTATGCATAATTTTCATAGATAACGGCGCATTATAAATCGCGTCACAAGTGAGATTAAGTTTGAATGATTTCTGCTGATGTTTCATCTTTAATATTTGAAAACTATAAAATCGAATAATCCTGCAGGAACAAGGACCAGGCGGACTGCGGTAAGCGGAAAATTCATCGTCGGATTTCATTTCCCAGCGGCAAGGACTGAAATACGAAATAGAATTTAGAAAGGCAGATACGGGCTCGCGACTGCGTACACGAAAAGCCTCTCTCTCTCGCTTCCTCCCTCTATTGCGGAGCTGCTTCTAATAGGCTAGTGGCACGTATGTATACTGCTGTTAGCTACGTATAATATAGCTGTATATAAAACCGTCGAAGACGCGCACACACTCGCACACGTATATATACGGAACGAGAGAGAAAAAGAGACGAGCATATATACACAGAGGAGGCAGAGTTTGGTGCAGCCAGCGCAGTCACATAGTCTCCGCGACTGATCGCATTTATAATATACGAAAAACTCGTCTCTCGACACTTGTCATCTCTGTCGTAGTCGTCGTCGCAGCAGCAGAAGCAATTACCGTGTAATAAGCCGAGAGAGAGAGAGTCGAGAACTGACAATTGAACGTTGCTGCGAGGAGAGGATCGTATACGTATTGGCAAAAGTGACAGCTGCGCCTGCACAGCACGACAGATTCGCTTATCGCGCCGTGTATATCTCTGGGCCGAGAGCGTAACGTCGTCCAAGAGTTGCATCGGACTCGACGTGAGTACTCCTTTTCCTACATGAGAGATATGTCTTGTCGTTTGAACGAAACTTATGGCCGCCAGCTTGTGTAAATTGTGTCCTTACTGCTGCCGTTGTGTGTAAATAACATCGATGATATATGTAGCACGATCGCGACATTGCTCCGTGTGCATGCATGTGTAAGTGTTTCTCGCATACTATCGTACAAGTCACAGGTGTGTGTGTGTGTTTTAACGAACGGATATAGCATTTGTGGAGTGTGGCGGTGCATCGTTGCAGCGCGGCGCACGAAACGGCTCTCGGCTGGCAGCCTCTCGACCCGCACCGATCCTATATAATACTACTTTTCCCCTGCATCCCGACTCGATGATTAAAAACTCCGACGTATATTACGACTCGATCACGAGGACGAGCTGCGTCGATTTCAGGCAAGACTGAAAATTCGCTTCGAACGAAACGCGGCCGAGTGTCGAATTTTCTCGCTGCGGTGATTTAAAAAGCTTATTCCTTGGAAAGTCGAGTTACACAGCTGCTGTATTATCAAATAATAATACAGAGGATACTTGGTCTACTACTAGGCTGTCTGTAATTCTTTTTTATCGCTCGCCATGGCAGCTCCACTTCCCTTTCTTGTTCCGTGCATAAGAGCCCATCGAATTGTCCGGATCCTGCAGGCCACGTATTACGGTATATACTCCATGACTTGATGATTTTTCGGATAATCTAACACACGCAGCAGTATAGATATGGCTGAAGTAGGAAATAGTCTTTGATCATCGCTTTTAATATCAAGTGGCAGCGGAGTATATGCGATTGGTCGTCCTATATAGGCGTTTGAGATAGTCTCAAGTTCGTTGGCACTTGGCGCCTTGGAGAAAATGAGGCCCTTAATCGAGGCGACCGCTTCACTCGACATTCGACAACGCTCTATACGTCACATAGGATCTGCAATCCAAGTGCATAAAAAGAACATCGATAAAGTGCCCCATTATAATGGGGCCATACGACGACCATTGAAAGATATATTTTCGAAAAAAGCGAAAAAGAGCCCGGTCGAAATTTGTCGTGCACCGTTGCTCGCGTTTTACATCATTATGGTCAAAAAAATCATTTGCTTTTACTCGCAGTTCCATTGCAAATAACCAACTCGAGAGCTGAGTCGTATTATAATTGCTGCACGACTTTGAGCACTCTTATCTCGAGTGTGTTATGGCTGCAGCAGAACTCGATTCTCCGATACGATGATTCTTTATCTCGACTGACAGCAGCTGTCAAGCGGTGTACACATTGCATACGTACAAGAGAGTCGGAAACTCACGGCCGTATAATAACGATACGGTGCTGTATACAACTCGTGCCGAATCAAATGTCCGTGTATGGTATTCTCTTCTGCGGCTCGTTGCGCGCTCATCGTAGATACGTTGCCTACCGATCCGACTATCGAGCGAATCTCGAATCGGCTCACTCCGAGTTAAGATTCGTACCCGAAAAATCTGATTCTCGTTCGATCGAGCAGGTCGTTCGGAAGAGCGTTTCCGATTGCCCTTACGACGATCGAGCCTTTTATCGATAGCCAAAGACTCGCGGCTATGTTATTACGTTAAGCTGTCGATTCTGGACTGTCGCAGGCATGCACTCGAACGTGTAGCGTGCACTTACGTAATTTAAAAATAACAACAATTGCTCGAGCTTTTTCCGCCGCCGCCGCTGCATTTCCTCCACCGAGAAGCGATAAAAATTCGTGGAGCCCCACGTATTAGCATTATTACTTGCAATGTTCGCTGTGTGTATGCGCGCGCTCGAATTTAAGTGTGTTTGTGTCGTGCACCTATAACAGGTGTCCACGTCGAATGCTCGATGTTTGTTTTGCGATCGCCGACTCGTTTGTGTGCCGTCGCCGCCGTTGGTACATAGAACAGCTGTTTAACTATAAACGCAATTCTCATGTAAGATCGAATTTTTATCCTCGTCTTCTTTTCAAGCTCGCTGTCCATTTTTTTGAGGGATCATCCCAACGACTCGACGGGAAATCGCCAATTTCACGACTGCGCAATTCGAATTAGCGACATGTCGGACGACGGTAACGGAGGTATGGATCCATGCGCCTGCATCTGGAGTCAGGATCTGGTGATGCAGCGATTACTCTCCTTCGTAAGTCTATCGTCTCTCGAATCTTGACGAAATTATACTTTTTCATGAACCATGCTCATACGTTAATTCTCGCTCATGGCATCTCTTTTCGTGATTGCAAAAAATGTGTCGCCGTTATTTTGATGATGTGATCGGCTCGAATCAGTTCGAGCCGCTTATGTATCGAAATCGTTTTCTCCAAGAGAGACGAAAGGCTTTCATACATTTGCGCAAACTTTACCGAAAGATTTTTTCCATATTTTACCGAGTCCATAATAGTTTTAGCCTTTAAAATATTCACGAGCACTACGAAGCCATTAAATGCACAATTTGTTTTTTAACGACGCAATCGTGATTTTCTTTTTACAGCTGAGACAGTCACAAGATTACTGCTCCGATACCGAATGTTGGTCTCTCTCAAGACGTAAGAATCACTTTTTTCGCACACATATTTTATAGCCGTCCACCGTATGTTTTTAATCATTATGATCTTCCGATCGCAGTGCCAGGGCCAGCAGTCGACTCCGATAACAGCGAGAGCAACGACTTCTTCATGCTTTGCTTTTTTACCATTATAGGTCTACTGTTATACGCTTTCCGCCCACAAAGTGCTAGGAAATTGGACAAGGAATTCGCCAATAGGAATTCGGTAAGACACGGCAAACGTAATTTGCAAATTTTAAAAAGTTTCTGTTTTTAATGAAATCTATTTTTTTTTCTCACAGGATTTCGATGGAGAACCTCCAGTACCTCCCCCGAGCGTTAATTAATTCGAGGCCTCGGGAAAATAATACACAAATGGCTTGAGGCTGGCTCTGTCAAGCCACCGCGTTTTTTTATAAACCACAAGCTATCATTGTAAACTACTGTGCAAAGTATTGTAAATCGCCCTGAACACATTCCATTTTTCATATGCTGCAGTTTACTTATTCGATGCTGCATGCGAGATATTTGTGAAAATATCGAGACATATGATTATCAAGTGCACAGGGTACATAGAACTATGTTGAAATTATAATTTGTTAAACTACGATATTAATGTCTTTAGAGATATATTTACTCGAAATTGGTTGTTGAAAATATTCGGTTTAATCTTATTGGTCGGAAGATTTAATTTATCGCTTGTTGAAAATTTTTTACAGCAATCTTTTTAAATAAGTATTCAATACCATCATTACTTTGTGCAATTAATTGTTCAAATAAACAAATTTATTTGAACATTGTAAGTAATTTGTAATCTTTAAGTGAAAATATAGATTGATTAATCTCAGCTAAATATTGATGTACGCGTTTTTATGAAAAAGTATTCGGTATAAACTTTTGATTTCAATAAATATATTCATTGTGTAAAAAATTTTATAGTCATATTATACAGACGCTTATTCAAAGAATTATACCTAAATTTAGATCCAAGTAAACATGTAAGAAAACCTGATTTTAGATATTTATATAATATACACCTAAATGCTGATACTGAATGGAAAAATTTAATTAAATATAGATAATGAAAACTATTAATACGTTCTTTATTACAATTTTTAAAATAATTTCATGTTATATTTTTAAATTTTAGCTGCATAATTGGTTGTAATAAAATCAGCCAGTTTTTACATTATCAATGTATCTTATTTTATTAATCTTACACTAAAAGAACTACACATTCGATCATATTTCAAGTCCTTTAACTAATAGTGACTAAACTTAATTAGCATTACACATTATTAAAAAACAACACTTATTTACAAGAGTCAGAAGAATCACTTTTGAGCTTTTTTGAAACAGTTTCACCATCATCTAAGCTTTCGGATGATTTCTGTAATCTGGGTATTCTTTTCGTTTTTAAATATGTCATTGGATCCACCGAAGTTCTGGAACAAAAACAAGTGAAATTAATAATTTGATTTATCTTTTGCAAAATATTTTGCCTTCTCTTACTTTACTGTGTTACTTGTGGTAGCTTCAATTGATTTTTTTTGTTGATTTACAGTATCAGCTGTCGTAGAAGCGGTTTTTGAACTTGTAACAGGAATGGTTAATTTTGTTGCAATAGTTTTATTTTCATTATCGGTACTATTGCAGTTGATATTGTTCGTACTTTCAGTTTCCTCGGTACCTGGAGTTGTTTCTATCTTCTCAGTAGCTTTTTTTTTATCTACTTCCACTTTTACTAATTTTGCCTCAGCTTGACTCTCAGATTTTGGCTTTAGAATCCCATCTTGAGTTGGAAAAGTCAAGGTAGGTAAAGTGACTGCAGTTTTTGAAGAATCTTTACTGACTATCTCTGTGAGTAACTTTGCTATTTCCTCTCTTTTGCGAGTAACAGTAATTTCTTCGAACCAATTTTTTAAAGTTTTAATTGGTAAAGTGTAGTTATCGATCGGGGTCTGCAATAATTGTTTCCCATATAAATGTGTGTAATTTAATTTAAAATTAATAAAAAATGATTTAATAATTTTCACAAACCTGGAAAAAAGCCTCGACATACTGAAGTACATATAAACCGCAATCGGTGAAATTTGATTGCTGAGGAACTTTAGGTACAGCTCCTTTTATAGTGTCTTTAGTAAAAAGTTGTTCTGCACCCATTTTAGCCCGATATTCACAACTAAGATAATCTCTTAGTGTAGCCACAACTCTTGACCGGTTTGCTCCAGCCAGTGAATCAAATATTAAAATACAAGGACTGCAACAGATAAATTTTTTTTAAACATGAACTTTATATAATTGTGATGAATTGATTTTCAACTTACACTTTTGTTATGTCTTTTTTTTCGATGTTTGGGTTATCTTTTGGAGTAGTTTTATCTACTTCAGACTTGGTCTCAGATTCATCCTAAAAAATATAAAAAAAAATAGAATGTCAGAGTTTAAAAAATTTAACATTCTTGTAGAACTTTCATTAAAAAACTTACATCGATATCACTTTCTGTTTCCAATTCATCATCGTCACCTTCTGCCTCATCTCTTTCTGAACCATCGTCGTGGGTGTCTATCGTTATTGTGTTAGCCGATGTAGCGCTGTTTCCAGCAACTTTTGCTTTTGCTTCTTTTTTCTTTTTTTCTTCGAGTTTTTGACTTTCAGATTTTTCTTCAACTTTGGGTATTATTTTTCCAACTAATCCCGGGAAACAAATAATTGCCAAGAACCAATGAGCACTAAAATTTTTTATATATTATAATTATTAACCGATTGAAAAAATTGAAAAAATTGATGAATTACAAGTATTAACTTACTGTTCATTGATAGGGATAACAATAAAATCTTTTTTAAATATATTAACATTTTTAGTCCACTTCTTAACTCTAGCGTGACGCTTGGCAGCAGGGGATAAATTCTCAACGTTACCAATAGATTGAGTATGCGGACTCGTCAATCGTTTATAAAAATAGGTACTAAAAACGTGTGTCCTCTGGTTATCTACTTCAGAAAGTACTTGAAGAGTTAAATATTTTAAATAAAAGTCAATAATAACATCATTAAGAAACTGATCTTCAGCAAGGCAAAAGAAATCTTCAGTATTAATAGCTATGCCTCCTTTGGCCGGTGGTGGCGGATATACAGTTATACTAAAAAATCGGAAAAATCTGTGTAATTTATGCATTTCTGGCTTAATAATTTAATTTAAAAACATTGCACATACGTTTGAATAACTCCATTAGAAGCAGAAGCCGTGCTTGTTGTTTGAATAGGTTTTTTAACTGGAGATGGAGCTGGAACTTGAACTGCTCTAGGAGAAGCTTGAACAAGAATATCGTTAGCTTCTTTCCCATTTAATTCACTCATAATGGGCCTAAATATTTCTTTCAGTGTTAACTTCGCATCATCCGTAATTCTTTCAGGAAGTAATGTAATTCGTTTATGTGTTTGATCTACGAGGAAAAAATTGTAAATAGTTATGCAATTACACTGCAGCAATAACTGTAAAAAGGTATACCTTTACTAGCTGGATCATAATATGGCCCCTTGGGATCCTGCATACCTAATATATCTCTTATTCTCGAACCAGTCGGTATGTTTGTGTAAAAAAATAGAACTGGCATAGACTTGGAAAAATGTATTAAAAGTGCCAACATTTCTCCATATTTAATTTTTAATGATATGGATTTTCTCTCTGTTAAATATAAAACAATAAATTTAATTGGATTAATAAAAAATTAATTGTTTCTTAATATCTTACCATCTTCCAGTAAAGGTACATCGATTTGCAAATTATCCGAAGTTATTGTAACGGCACAGTCTGGAACGAATTTATATGATCCAATTCTAACTGTACGACATTTCAGAGTAACTAACAGATTGCTAGTAGGTGGTATAAGTGGAGCAGTGTCTTTGCTACTACTTACACCTAAAAGTAAAATTTCAGAATAATAAATTTTGCATGTATAACGGATACTGTTACTAGTCTTAAACTAACCTGAAACTTGACCATCAAAACCCGCACGGAAGTTTGATTTCAAAGTATTTGTGATTACAGGTTCCTTTTCATTGATCGTCTCTGCTTTTTCTTTTGGTTCAGAAACTTGAACTTTAGGCATTTCAATAGAATTATTGAGTGACGTTTTCACTTTATTATCATCTTCTTCATCAGAAGATATAGTTAAACATTCTGGTTCTTTGAATTGTTTAGCTTTTAATAAACCGCGATTTCTACACCCTCCTCTACCTCTTTTTGAAACTGTTTCTGCCCTTTGTAACAATCCAGAATCTTGTTTCTTGACCAATGATGGATGCTGATAGAAAAAAATTCATAATAATTTTAATAATATTATCAAAATCGATCAGATTTTGATATCATCAACAATAAAAATAATCAGTAGTTAAATGTAAGAAAAATTGAAAAAATAATAGACTTACATCAGAAGATGAGTTATCTCTTTTTGTCATAACACCCGTAGATATAGGTATTGACTTGACATCATCAGGTAGTTTTCTTTTACATCTCATGCAGTAATTGAAGTCTGCTGCACTCATTCCACAGAATGGACAAACTGCCAGCATACCTTTAATATATTTTGCAACCTAAAGTAAAATTGCACAATTAACATTATTTTATAATAATACATCATTTTTAAAATTAAAATTCTTTTAAACCCAAATTCTATTACTACTATTTATCAAAATAGAAGTTTTGGGACTAAAAAAAATTATGAAAATCACACAACTAAAAAAAGATTCGTTTTTCAGATTCAATTTCTATATGGGTAAAAAATAAAAAAATTAAATAAAAAATTTTTAATAAATAATATACCTTTGCATTTGAGCCTGTCGAACCTGTTGACGAAGCAGTTCTACCACTTTTGACTCTGTAAATATGAAAATTTTATTACAACACTTATACGATCAATTTTTTTTCTTAATTGTTTTAAATGAACTCACGGGCTTCTCGATTTTACTGAGGATTCTTTATCACTTTCATCATAATTCATCTTTGCAGTGACATCAACAATGTAGTTTATGTGCAGAGTTGGATCTGATACCAACGAAACACGGGGCTCTTGGGAAGCCTGTATATTTGCCTAAAAGTTGATTAAACATAAGATCCATTTATCACTCCCCTTCAAACATGTAGCAACAAATAATAATATTTCAAAAATTTATGAGGTGAAAAAAATGAAACAGAAGAAGAAGGTATTAACTCACAACTCACAAGTACTAAGATACTAGAAAACAAGATAACAATTAAAATGATACATAATATTAATTAAATAATCAAAATAGTTACTTGTTCCAATAAATCAGCAACTGTGCAATCATCCTTAGGCACCTCAAATGTAATGAGCCTCTGTTCTCCGTTCTCCAAGATGACAAGCATTTTGGCCTCATTCCCTTTGACTTGATGCTGAACTATGGTCTTTGCTGGATCTTCAATGTCCTGTTGTAAATAGGCAATACTCTCACTGGAATTTTCTTCAGGATCAGATTTTGTAGAAGTACTCTGACTGTCGGATTGCTCCATACTACCACTTTCCTCTACTTCCATTGGTTCACTCTTATCTTTAATTTGTTGGGACCCTGCATTTGCTTGCTTCACTGCTGCATGTTGTTGTGCTTGCTGCTGTTGAAGTAGTGCGAGCTGCTGCTCCTGCTGCTGCTGCTGCTGCTGCTGCTGCTGTTGTAGTTGTTGCTGCTGTCTGTGACCATGACCCATTAGTTGACCCATTACTTGACCCATCGGACCTCGCTGCTTAAGCGGGGCCTGGGAAGATGAAATAGACCTTGGCGTTGGATGTACTGCTAGTATTGGTTGATGTTTGGATAATTTTGGCTTTACTGTAGTTTGTTGATCAGCCTTAATGCGTTCACTAAGTTGACAAAACCCTGCTGCGGCTGTTGGTATTGTTCCTTGAAGATTATGGCTTACAGCTACAACTTCAGAATTATTAGCTATCCTAGTTGGTGTATGTTGTGAAGTTTTAGCAGCAAGTTGATTTGTACGGATAAATCCTGTAGTACTTCTTGGTTGAACTAATGATACATTAGCATTACCTCCAGCAATAGAAGCACGCTTCATTTTCCCACCAGGAGCAATTTTTCGAATAGTTTGGCTTGGCAAATTTGATCTCACGGGTGTACCAGTACCAACAGAATGCCGTTTGTTGATTTGTACAATTCGAGTAGTATTTAAATTTGAACCAGGTTGTACAACAACATTTGGTGCGGCAAGTGGAGGCTAAAATGATGAAAAATAAATAAAAAAAGAATAAAAGAAGAATTTAAAGGTATAAACTAGTGAATACCGACCAATACACTTGATTGAAGAGTTCTAGTTCCAGTAGAAATGAAGGTTTTAGGCAATTTTCCAACTTGTAATTCAATGGTTTTTGGTATATTGGCATAACGTATCAGCTCATCTGAATTATCTTTGAACATAAATAAAATAATTAATTCAACGCAAGTGCAATATTCTAATTTAATTATAATTAACTACCTTTGTTGACAACTTTTGAATTTGATACAGATCTAGTAAATGCCTCCGATTGAACACCTGGTTCATTGGTTTTAATTAAAATAACACTTTGTCTGAAAAAAAATGTTTAAATTCAATGTAACCATAAATAAAAAAGATAAGTAATAAAAAATTAGATTGGATTATTAAAATGAATTGTACAGTTTATCAAAAAATATTTAAAAAATGCAATTACCTCTGCTCCAATGAAGATCCAATAGTAATTGGCTGCGAAACAAGGGTGGCTGGAGTATTTCCTGTGGATGGGGCAATTAATAAAGTCTGTCCACCGTTGTCCTCAACAACAATTTGATAGCTCTGTCCATCAACATCGCACAATTGTGGAAAGTCTTTTAGAACAAAAGTATTATTATCTGAATTTGTGATAACATCATAATAGTCTGCCATAGTATTTGAAACTTCCAGAAAGACAAAAAGTTTTCTTTCAGAGAGTTTGATGGTTTTTGATGAGAATCTTTCCTATTTCCTTGAGAGATTGCTACGATACCGAATTCCATTTAAACCATTATCATGTATTACAGATTCCAAAATAATAGCTTATTTGACCTGTGGAATCAAATAATTCATGTCTACATTCCTAGCAAAGTCACAAGAATCAGGAACTATGTGAAATGAAATGAGATGGGCAATCAGTAAAGAAAATGATTATTGACTCACCAAATGAAGTCTTGATCATAGGCACATAGACACCGAGCTAATGCTGTATCGCCGTCGAAAAAAGCAGTGCATCGAGGGTTCAGGGAGTCTTGGCAGCTCGAAAATAGCAGAGCAAACTTGAATAATGTGGAAAAGGCAAATGAAAAAGGCTAACTCCGATTCCGTTGACAAACTAAGAGGATTATTTTAAAGATGAGAAACTAGGTAAGAAACAAGTCATCAGCTATCGAACGGCGGCATAACCTGTAGCAGTGTGAACTTGTCTCGCCTATAATGACGCTATAAGTCGCGTCTCTGAAATGGTTTCGAGTCCGTCTTAAGAAGCACGAGGAGTCGCAAAGACACAGGCGAGAGAGCCCACGAGCAAACACCTGCGCAACTCCGCAAGCCAATACTCCGGAGTCCGGGCTAGGTTTGAAATTGCGAACTTTTTAGGCGCACGCTTGATTATCACTCTGTTACGCGCTGCACCAACACATGCTATACATATATATCGAACACAGTGGTATAATAATAATAGACGTGCAGTATTATAAATGCAGAGGAGCCGCCGAAAAGACTGGCAGTCAAATCGACGCATACATATAAGCAACGCGATCAGCGACGTGCAACAGGAGTCGCATATATACGCGAACGCCGTCCGTTTGGCCGTATAAAAAATAAGAAATTTGGAGCGAACGTAAAAGGAGGCGGTATACTGGTGGCTCGCTGAGCGCGCGCCAAAGTGGCTCCGTCGAGCAGCGGAGGCTCTGTATCAAAACGTTACAACGGAGACGGGGACGTGTATAGGTACGGCTGCTGCTGCTGCTATTCGCGACGATTCTTGCCTGCGCCTTGTGCAGCGGTGCTCCCTCTCTCTCTCTCTCTCGCTCGTTCGTGCAGTACCCATTACATTGGTAGCGTACATTATTCTAAGGATTGCAATTTTTTGCACATTGGATAACGTTAATATGTGCCTGTTAGAGTAGACGGGGCGCCCTCAGCAGTCTTTTTGAGGTCGTTGCCGTGTCAAGTTTTATGGGGGGACTCACGTAGTTCGAGCGGACACCGCTGTCACATATATATACATCATCCTCTCACTCTGTGCACCGGCAGTAGTAGCGAATAGTGTACGGCATTTTCACTGATTGAAGTTTCGCAAAAGAACCCGATGCAGTCAGTAACGAGCTCGGTCCGAGAGTACATTCACGCCTATGATTGTGAATTCACTGCGCGAATTTTGGAGCTGTTGTTACAGCGCGAGAGTAATCTTTATAGGAATGTAGTGGCTTTTAACTATACCGTTGGCCCTTTAACTAAATTATTAACAAGCCGCGCTGCGTCACATTTTTTCTATTTATTTTTGCTTCGTTTTTATTTTGGCTGCTCAGCGCGTGTATTAAATCTGAGTAACTCGTACGGTTTCTGAAGTTAAATGAACGGTATAACAGCATTCCATCCAGATTATGCCAATCTTTTGAAGCGTTATAGATTTAAGAAAAAGGAATTTTCTTCCCTTCAAAAATATTTTCATCATTTATGAACACCATTACGTTCATGGAAAGTCGATAGAGATATTATACCTTCAATTTTTTTTCTCTTGTCAAGTTTTAATGCGTGGGTAGGGTCTTTTTACAGAGCTTTCAGTTCTCCAATATTTACGAATCGTGCAGTGACAGCCGGCTTTCCAATTTTAAATTCTCCCGCTCCAGATGCTCGCAGCGCACCATCCGTTTATAGGCTTCAATTATTTCAATGAAACACGTGTTATGCATGAACTGTCAGTGTATGTAAGCTTATTATTGTTTTGAAAACACAAATCATTATGAGCCGTAATAAAGTTGACGATACAAGTTCGTAAGGATGATGGAAAAGGTGTTAAAAGGACGACCAAGAGCTACAAATAATGACGAAAAGATTTGTTAGTCATTACAAAAGTACAGTCTTTGTTTAAAAGAATGATTAAGTACATCGAATAAATTCAATTTTAGTATAAAAAATAAATTTTTATTCAACAACATTAATAACTATCTAAAACAAAAACACCTTATTTTATTGTCAATAATGGATGATGATAAACTAAAATCAATAAAAATTTTGATCCTTGAAATATTTGTATTTATAAGGAGCTCAGATTCTCATACCTTAACAATAATCAAAGAAAAAGTAGTCAAAATAAAGAAAAATATTTGTATCACAAGACCGCTTGAAAAAGAATGTTTGTGGCTTGTTCCCAACTTAATTCATTCATAATAGGTTTAAATATTTCTTTCAGCATTAATTCCACTTTGTCTGTAATTTTTTCAGGAAGAATTGTAATTCGTTTATGTGTTTGATCTACATAAAAAAATTCTTAATAACCATATATTTTAACTATAGCAATAAATGGAAAGAGTCATACCTTTACTAGCTGGATCAAAATATGGACCTTTGGGATTCTGCATACCTAATAAATCTCTTATTCTCAGTCCAGTTGACAAATTTGTGTCCAAAAATAAAACTGGCATAGACTTTGAAAAATTTATTGAAAGAGCTAACATTTCTTCATAATGAATTTTTAATGATATGGAGTGTGTCTCTATTAAATATAACATGATAAATTGAAGAGAATAGATAAAAAATTAATTACTTCATTAAAATCTTACCATCTTGGAGTAAAGGTACTTTTAATAGTAAATAATCTGAAGTTATGGTAACTTCACTGTCTGGAATGAATCTATAAGATCCTATTCTCACTGTATTACATTTGATTGTAACTAACAAATTGACAGTGGTTGGTATAACTGTGTCAGCGTCTTTACCATTACTTGTGCCTATAAGTAAAATAGCTTAATAATCAATTTTGGATGGACTGTAATAGATACTGTGGCTAGTGGATATATAGTAGATATTATTGCTAGTCTCAAACTCACCTGAAACTGGGATATCGAAATCCACAGGCAAGTTTGATTTTAAAGTATTTGTGATTACAGGTTCCTTCTCATTGATTGTCGCTGCTTTTTCTTTTGGTTCAAGAACTTGAACTTTAAACATTTGAATAAAATTATTATGGGATTTTTTCTTTTTCTTATTTTTTTCTTTGTCACAAGTTGAACATTTCATTTTTTTTGTTCTTGTTGATCTGCGAGGTTTTTTAACTAGAGATGGAGCTGGAACTTGGACTGCTCTAGGAGAAGCTTTTACAAGAATATCATTAGCTTCTTTCCCATTTAATTCACTCATAATGGGCCTAAATATTTCTTTCAGTGTTAACTTCGCATCATCCGTAATTCTTTCAGGAAGTAATGTAATTCGTTTATGTGTTTGATCTATGAGGAAAAAATTGTAAATAGTCATACAATTACACTGCAGCAATAACTGTAAAAAGGTATACCTTTACTAGCTGGATCATAATATGGTCCCTTGGGATCCTGCATACCTAATATATCTCTTATTCTCGAACCAGTCGGTATGTTTGTGTAAAAAAATAGAACTGGCATAGACTTGGAAAAATGTATTAAAAGTGCCAACATTTCTCCATATTTAATTTTTAATGATATGGATTTTCTCTCTGTTAAATATAAAACAATAAATTTAATTGAATTAATAAAAATTTAACTGTTTCTTATTAACTTACCATCTTCCAATGAAGGTACTTGGATTAGCAAAATATCTGAAGTTATTGTAATTTCACAGTCTGGAAAAAATTTGTAAGATCCAATTATCACAGTACGACATTTAAGAGTAACTAACAAATTGGTAGTAGGTGGTATAACTGGGTCAGTGTCTCTACCTCTACCTATAATTAAAATTGCAGAATAAACAATTTATATATACCATGAATTACTTTTTTTATTCTTTAACGTACCTGAAACTTGCCCATCGAATCCTACACAGAAATTTGATTTTAAATTATTTGGGATTTCAGACTTCACGTCGTTGATCATCTTTACTTTTTCTTTAGACTCAGGAACTTCAACTTTAGACATTTCAATGGAATTATTATGGAATTTTTTCATTTTATCCTTTTGTTTATCAGTGACCCATCCTTTTCTACTTCTTTTAGAAATGGTTTCTGCCCTTTGTAACGATCTAGAATCTTGTTTCTTGACAAATGATGAATAGAAATTCTGAATCTTGTTTCTTGAATGCTGATAGGAAAAAATTCATAATAATTTTATATTATCAAAATAGCTCAGATTTCGATATCCTCAACAATAAAAATAATCAGTAGTTAAAAGTAAGGAAAATCAAAAATAATAGACTTACATCAGACGATGAGTTATCTCTTTTTGTCATAGTACCCGTAGATATAGGTATTGACTTTATATCATCAGGTAGTTTTCTTTTACATCTCATACAATAATTAAAGTCTGATGCACTCATTCCACAGAATGGACAAACTGCCAGCATACCTTTGATGTATTTTGCAACCTATAGTAAAATTTTACAATTAACATTATTTAATAATAATACAATATCACTTCTAAAATTAAAATTCTTTTGAACTCCAATTCCATTACTACTATTGATCAAAATGGAAGTTTTGGGACTAAAAAAACTTATGAAAATCATACAACTAAAAGACGTTTCATTTTTCTGACTTAATTTTTATTTAGGGTAGAAAATAAAAAAATAAATAAAAAATGTTCAATAAATAATATACCTTTGCATTTGAGCCTGTTGAACCCGTTAACAAAGCAGTTCTACCACTTTTGACTCTATGAATATAAAAATGTTATTACAGTACTTCTACATTCAATTTTTTTTCCCAATTGTTTTAAATGACTCACAGGCTTCCAGACTCGATGGAGGATTCTCTATCACTTTCATCATAATTCGTCTTTGCCGTGACATCAACAATGTAGTTTATGTGTAGAGTTGGATCTGATACCAACGAAACACGGGGCTCTTGGGAAGCCTGTATATTTGCCTAGAAGTTGATTAAACATAAGAAACAAATAATAATATTTCGAAAATTAATGAGGTGAAAAAAAATGAAACAAAAGAAGAAGGTATTAACTCACAACTCCCAAGTACTAAGATACTAGAAAACAAGATAACAATGAAAATGATACATAATATTAATTAAATAATCAAAAAAGTTACTTGTTCCAATAAATCAGCAACTGTGCAATCATCCTCAGGCACCCCAAATGAAATGAGCCTCTGTTCTCCGTTCTCCAAGATGACAACAATTTTTGCCTCATTCCCTTTGACTTGATGTTGAACTATTGTCTTTGCTGGATCCTTAATGTCCTGTTTAAAACAGGGAATAATCTCACTGGAATTATCTTCCGAATCAGACTCAGTCACCTGATCGGTTGAAGAACTGAGTCTAAGTTTTATACTTGAATCTGAATCGGATATCTCCATATCGATATTTGCTTTGTTTACGTCATCTACGTTCATCGGTTCACCCTTGTTTTTAATCCGTTCGGTTCCTGTGTTTACCTCCATCACTGATGATTTTTGATGTCCTTGCTGAAGAAAATCGACAAGATATAAAGAAATGTGACAAAAAAGATTCTGAACTAAGTTTAACGAACTGGAATATATTATCTTAACACACATACATCGTTGGTTTTAACTAATTTTAAATAATCAAACAAAATAAGACGATTCGGTGTATTGAATTTGTCACATCCGTTATGCATTTTTTCTTCATTGCGTGATTCGATAAAGACAACGGTTGAAGTCGAGAAAAAGATAGCTGTCGAACGTGTTTCATTGTTTGAATTTTGGCGACGGAACTGATGGATTTTGCCAGCGCCACCTAAAAGGCTAAAAGCTCAAAACGGCCTACATGAGTACTAGAGTTTATCAAGCCGGAGTTGCGCTGCTCCTACGTTTTCAGCTGCACAATCTCTTTATCTCTCTCGCTCTCGCCCAATCTGTATACGTATAGCTTTTTACGTCATATCCGCCAAGCGCCATTGAAAAGTGAGACGAAGCGGGTATTGACTGTATAGTCGCTGACGAGTAGCGTCCACAAGTGCCGGCTCAAGCCAGTATAGTTTCACCCTTTCGACGGCTGATAACACGAGACCAAAAACAATTACATTTCAATTGCACGTCCGATAGGACGTTGTGCTCCTCGTCTCAGAGGAATATCATTCATCTCACGCGTCTAGATTTAGATCAACATCTTCATCATGACTGATCAGCGTGAGTACATGAAAGTTTACACCAAAATCGTCGCTAGTCGTGCTATGTCGCCGCCATTTGGACGCCAACACAACCCGAGCATTGATTACCCTCAATGTTTTTGTAAACGATGCGTCCCTTTAACTTATGCTTTTATATGCTTTTCCTATAGAATACGCTCAGTACCAACAATATCAACAATACAACCAACCGCCACCATCGTCTGGCGGAGCACCACTCCAAGACACGTCATACCCACCCCCTAGCAGTGGTGGCGGTGGGTCCTCCAATGCCCAGTCGGCCCAAGGAGGTTATAATCAATATAGTCAACCACCCCCTAATTATCAGAATTATCAGAATTATGGACAAGATAGTGATCCACAGAGTGGATCCGGTCAAGGCAATCAAGATTATGGTGGTTATGGTGCCAATGGCTCCAGTAATAACTACAGCAGTGGAAGTTATGGCGGTCAGAGTGCTGGTAGCCAAGAGGGTGGTTATGGAGGCCAAGGTGGCGGTGGTGGCAACAGTGGTGGATATGGAAGTCAAAGCAGTGGTGGTTATGGAGGACAAGGAGGTCGCAGTGGTGGCTTCAATAGAGGAGGATCTGGAGGATATGGAAGCGGTAGGCATATTTTCTTTTACTTTTTAAATAACTTTTATTTCTGATGAGGGTTTGATTCGTTATAAATGAATTCATGCTCATCAGGAGGTGGTGGAGGAGGCAGTGGTGGAGGCCGATATGGCAGCAGTGGGGGTGGAAGCGGAGATGACCGCAGGTCTGGTGGATATGGTGGAGACCGAGGTGGCAATTACAAGTAAGTTCCAATGAATAAATTGCTATGATTTTGAGCAACTTTCTTAAATTTTAAGTTAATGCAAAAAAACGTACACATGCAACGATCACTTGTTTATTTCTAAGAGAGTAAAGGATTATTACTTTAATGAGTCTAAGAGATCACTAAATCTCTTGATGTTATCTTCAAAACGTAGTCAGTCACCAAAATATTGTGTTGCAAAAGTAATGTTTTATTATTTGTGCATACCTTAATGCCCTGTGGGTCTTTTTCTATTTAAAGCGTGTCTACAGGTTTAACACATGTATACTAAATCAAAAAAATCAGGTAAAATGACAGGTTGTATAAGACTATTTGACATAGTATCAAAAAATTTGTCTATGATTATCAAATTTCATTTAAATTCAAGTCAATACATAAAATCAGTTACTATAAATGTTCAATGATTTTTACTTCATTACTTATACCTTTTTATATAATATCATTTGAAAAAGAAATTACCATTTGTAATTTTTGATATGTATTGCATTAATTATCATTTCATTAATAATTCAAATGCTACAATAAATCTTTTATTTATTGACTTGAAATGATCTATAAAATTTTTGTATCATGTTATTTTAATTTTTATAATTTTATTCAATTTTACGTTAATAACATTTCATTAAATATCTTGCATGATAAACCCTTTGTCGGACTGTCACAAGACTATTAAAAAACTCATAGACTATGTTATATATATGGTATTAAAGACTTTAGACAGTAGGAACAACAAGAAGAATATGATAATGAAGTGGTGGCGAAGCAGGATTTGAAAACTGAGTAGCCACTCATCAAATGAATTCTATCCATGTCTGTCTCGACTCATTGGTATTATTTCTGCTTCTGTGTTTTAGCAGTGGCGGTGGCCGTGGTGGTTTTAACAAAGGTAAATGCACCAGACTGTCTGTAACAAGTCTGGTGCTTATTCATGCATTCACTCTATTTAATTATTGACTTGAAAAAAAAAAAAAATACCCAGTTGCTCTAATGTATATGAAAGGGCTGTTTGAATATCAAAAAATAAGTTTCTTATCCCTAAAGTAAATTAATATAGTAATAATCAAAATTTATAACTACTTGAATCACTGATTGTAATTCCATTTCTACTATTTAAATTTGGTACATTAATACATGAAAGGTTCTATTTGATAATTTAAATTTAAATTAGTAAAAAGAATAAAAAGAACTAGTGAATGATGTATATGAAATTATAAGAGGTTGAAATTGGTGAAAAATTGATTGAATCATCAGTGGTAATGGTAAATGATCACTTGAAAGAGATATTAAAATTACATGCATAGTTGATAAGCAAAAGGTTTCCCCCCTTATTTAACAATGTTGAAAACTACTGTTTGGGTATGCAAAACAAATTTCTACTTTTACCTCAACAAGTATTATTAGGTATACATGTGAAATAATGTAACATTCAACGGTATTAGCTCACTTGAGCTTTGAATGTCTTCCATAAAGCAAGGTTATAAATAATCAATATAAAGTGTCTACATTAGTACAGTTATGTTTATTATGACATTGTTGAAACAATGCATAAACCAAACAATAAATAAACCAATTGAAATATAGAAAAACTTAAATTAATGGTACATTTAGATGTCTAAGGGTATCGGTTACAAACAGTTGCAACAATAATAGTGGTTTAAATCTGACAAGCAGCATATCTGGTAAAGTCCAAAGCTTGACTAGAATATTGAATATTCAAAGATCCTCCAGGTTTACATGTGATAAATAGGGTTTTATATATTTTATATATAAATAAGAGATTTATCCAGTTAGGCAAAGGGCTAAGGGGAAGATTAGTAATTATGTGTGCTTACCATTTGTTACCAGAAGTTATCATTTATTGAAAAAATTGGTTTGAAGATGAAAGTAACATTTTAGATGAAAATTGTTTTTGGAAACAGAAGTGATTCAATATAGAGTATTTATTATTTAAATTTTTGTACAATTTATTATGCCAATGAGAAACAATTGAAAAGTTACAAGCAAATTGCATTAAAAAAATGATTATTGCCATTATGAATTACTTTTGTATAACTCATTTATAATTGAGGGCAATTGTACTAGCTTGTGCTATTTTTAACAATACTCATAATGTCAATTTAGACTTGAGTTGGGTTTTTATCTTCAAATTGTCTAACGTATTTTACTGATGTTAAGCGATGAGAGTTACTTAGTTAATTGCAGAATAGAGCAGTAGGATATTTTGAAATGATGTATCAGTTTCTTGTGAAGTATTCTCAAAAAATGATTAATTTTACAGGAGGCTATGGAAGTGATCAAGGCAGTGACAACATGGTAACCCAAGAAGATACTATTTTTGTTTCTGGAATGGACTCCCAAATCACCGAAGAAGAGATTTGCCAACACTTTGGTGCCATTGGACTGATTAAGGTATGTAACATTTAAAAATCGAATGCCAATTTTATTGGAAGAATCAAAGTCTTAAACATAATGAAATTTTGTCAATCACAGTAGAACGGTCAATCATTTGCATGGAGTAAAATTAAAATAATACTAACGACATGAAAACATTTTTTGTAACAGAGTGACAAACGCACAGGCAAACCAAAAATCTGGATGTACAAAGATAAAAGTACTGGAAAAAGTAAAGGCGAGGCCACAGTTACCTACGATGATCAAAATGCCGCACGATCAGCTATAGACTGGTTTAATGGAAAAGAATTCAAAGGAAACACTATCAAAGTCCAATTAGCTCAGCATCAAAGCAAATGGCAAGGCAGTCGGGGCAGCGCTCCTCGCGGAGGAGGTGGTGGTCGTGGAGGAGGCGGTGGCGGTGGTGGAGGCCGCGGTGGTGGTTTCGGTGGCGGTAGCGGTGGCGGTGGCAGCCGCGACAGAGATAGTCGAGGCAGCAGAGATGATTATCGCAGTGGCGGTGGTGGTGGCGGTGGTGATAGGCGAGGAGGAAGTGGTGGAGCTGGATCTCGAGGTGGTGACTGGACGTAAGTATCCATCGATAATCCGTATTTATTTCAATTTATAGAACCAACCGATTTTTCAAAAATATCAGCTTCTCCGATCTTGAAAGATTGATCTCTATTTTAAAATGTTGCTTTGTAGGTGTCCCAATCCAGGCTGTGGCAATAAGAATTTCGCCTGGCGTAACGAGTGCAATCTTTGCAAAAGTGAAAAGCCCGAAGGTATGGGTGGAGGCGGTGGTGGTGGCGGAGGCGGAGGTGGATTCAGAGGTGGCCGAGATGGCGGCAGCCGAGGCGGTGGTGGATTCAGAGGTGGCCGAGACGGTGGTGGACGAGGTGGAGGCATGGATCGCCGTGGTGGCGGAGGTGGAGGAGGATTCCGCGGTGACAGAGGAGGACGAGGTGATAGAGGTGGTGGACGTGGAGGCCCCATGCGTGGAGGTGGAGGGTAAGATTATATTTCCAAGATCAAACTTATTTTTAAAAATTGACTCAATGCTAAAGGAACTTATGATTTTAGCCGAGGAGATAGAGATCGCGATCGTCAACGGCCATATTAAAAAGGATCGTTATAGTATTGTAACAAAAACATTACATTCAATGTGATGTTTATACACAACGTATGAACATGTAAATTTTTCAGAATCTAAGTAATACATTACGTAGTTCCGCTACCACTTCACCCCTTTTTTCTTCGTTTTTTATACTATGATGATATGAAAAATAATTTGCGTGAATGTCTTGAACTTGAGTACATTCAAATCTTTGATTTATAGAATGTATGAAATGTAATTTACTTGAATCTAAGCAAAAATGTCCCAAGTCAATTGAAATGTCTAGGCAGATCAATTAAACAATTTATATTAAATGATCTTTGAGGTAATTCTCAATACTAATGGACATATTGTATTTAGGTCTTGACATAAATAATTGTAAAACTAGATTTATTCATAAAAATTAATAAAAACTTCTGTTTTTAATTAAGTATTTAATATCATTTTTATTTCACGAAAATATCCTAATTATTGACCGTACTTCTACATAAAGTAATCAATGTTACATTCTATCTACCGCTTTTACGCATGGTTTCTTTTTATAAATGTTGGACTAAAAGATTTACTTTTTATGTTTATTATACAATGTCAATGTTTTATTTTTATTTACAATGATTTTGTTGAGTTGTGCTTGCGAATTACGCGAGCGATTATGCTGTTTACACACTTAATACATACTGTACGGGTACAACTACACTACATTGTACTATTTATTTACAGTATTTTGCCAAAGCAATATGAATAAATAAAAATTAGTAGATAACTGAGTTTTCTAATAAAGTAATTTCAACAATGTTATTAATTAATTATATAAAAGTCATGATATAATTCAAGTTTGGATCTATTTCTGGTAATGTAATTGAAAGTTAGTTAAGGCCAAGAGGAAGACTCATCACAAACAATATTTGAATTAAAACTACAATGTTCAATTGAAGATCACGAATTCGAATGTTGCGATGGCGTTAGACCTCCCGAATGTTCGGGACTATGTTTTTGCTTTTTTCTTTTCTTCTCCTTTTTGCGCTTTTTTCTAGCTTCCTTTTCTTCATCGTGTCTTTTCTGCTTTTTATGTTTCTTTTCGTGGGTATCGGCTCCACCAATATCAATTATTGTACTTTCTAAACCTGTAGGAGTTTCTCCTTTATTCTTGTTCTTATGCTTATTTTTCTTGTGATGTTTTTTCTGAGGAGCCTGGTTGATATAACGATATTGTTCAGGCAGCTGTAACAAGCATGGATAATCATTATTTTGAGATACAGAGGGAAAATTGACTTCTATCATTGATTATTAATAAAATCATGCAAACATTTTTTTAAACGATTTTTTGCACAAAAATGTTAATTATATAATAAGGACATTTTAGATTTTTCTCAAACAAGTAATACTTACTGGACCAGGGTGAAGTCTAAACCCAGACAATTGTAAACTTGTTAATGGAAGAAGTTCTTTACCACCAATTGGAGGTTTATCAATCAATGATCTAAGAGAGCTGAAATAAATAAAATAAAAATCAAAAACTATTGTTACAACTTTATTGAAAAAAAAAAAGTTTTTCAATAAATACCTGTTATCTTGATCTCCTGGTGTATCAATAACACCGGGTAAATTTGGTAAAAAAGATGATAATTGTTCCTTAAGTTTTTTTCCACTGAACTTACTATAGGAGTGTTCTAGGCCATAATAGGCCATCAAGTTTCTGGCGCCAGTCAATTCACTTTCTCCTAAAATAGATTTCATAGTAAAGAATTTTACTGAAGTGAGAATAATTTAAATAATAGCTTAATCACTTACCAGGTGGTTCTTTCATTAAATAAAATGGTCCACTGTGAACAATGGATGGATTTTTTCCCAACGAAATGGTTGTTTTCAGGGTGCCTGTTGAGTCTTGTCGAGAAACGACAGGTGAACGAGCACCCCTCGGTGATGATTTTGGTGAGTATTGCTCCACTTTACCACGAAATTGATCACTCATCATTTTGAATGATTATTTTTATTTCATTTCATAACAAATAAATGAAAATTGACTCTGTAAGTTTCTGCTACAGTAGATTTCTGCACAAAAAAATTAGTCAAAATTATTTTTCAATTGTTCAAAGCTGTGAAAGCTTTTCTATGTTAACTATAGTACATTTGTGCGATAAACTGAGTCAGTGAATGACAGACTACTCATAAGTTTGTAAATATTTTGATATAAGTGATAAGGGATTTAGAATGGAAAAAAATATTGATTTCAGGACCTTCACTCGGGTAACTTTAATTGAAGAAACGCATCTACATCATACGAAATTCTGAGAAGCTGTAGAAAAGTGTACAGCAGCAGTACTAGCATCGTTGTTTGTGTCGATGAAATTGCGTTACAACGCAAAGTAACCTCGAAACTTACCAAGTACGCGTTGCATGTAAGCTAATGAGAGTCGAGTGCGAGCTGGGGCTGTTGATCAACGGCTTCCCTCTTGCATCTTCGTCTCATAACAAGAGCTAGGTCGAGCAGAGAAGCGTAGGTGGCTTGTTTGTTGTTAAAACAGCTCGACGATACTGTCCGACTGTACTGCTGCTACTGCTGCTGAGCGACGCGCGGCTGACATATTGCAACGATTCGATCCTATGAACGGTCTGCGTTGTACGGATCCAAGGTGTACTACTACCACAGCAGTAAGCCTCCTACGCTGCAGCTCGCCGCGCGCACAGCAACACTGCCGGGGATCGGGCAAAACACAAATATGACTGATCACACGCTCCAGCATCGCAAACGCGAGTGTGAACGATTCCCGGCAGTGGGGGTCACGTCCCGGGCTCTCGCTAACCCGCCGCTAATTCGAATTCGCGCTCATCTTTTGAGCTATTATCATCTTTTGATTTTTACCACTCTCACCATTGATATCGGGAAAATAAAACGAGGCTTTTATGCGGATACTCAATGTTTTTATTTAATTATAGTATGCGTTCAAACGGGTAAATTTCGTAATATGTATGTTTTGACAAAATAAAAACCATAAGTGATACATGTCGATGTCATTCGAATAGTTTAGCTATCGTTGATTATTTTGTTGACAAATAATTAAGTTTTCGCTACACGATGCTCAAGTTTCCTTGTTGTATTTGATAAATGTATTTATCGAGTAAAATGTGCATATCAAGTTTGAATGATTATCGGACTTTTATTTATTATTATATAATTTTTAATTGATTCAAATTTTAGTGCCAATTCTTAATGCTTCTTGTCAAAGAAACGAATGAGGCTGAAATGCAATAGCGATGAGTAATTGGGTGGATTTTCAACTCTTACGGAAACAAAAACCACAGTACTTTGCATAAAAAAACAATAGTTGCTATACAATAATTAACATGTAAATGAAATGTTACGATACACAGCAATACATATCAACTTCGTGTTAAATTGATTTACGATTAGACAATGGAATACATGAATCGAAAGAAAAAAGTGTGTAATTACTTGATTATTTTTAAAACTAATAAAAAACTGTAAAAATTTAATATTCATATTTGTATAATATATTCTATATAATATATGTATATATCTAATAATACAATAATAACAGCACAATTATTATAATCATTGCTTGAACTTTATATAGATTTATAATAATTTTTTAATCATTAAAATCCTTACCACAGCCGAAGATGTCGTTATTCGTGGCGGTGACTCATTTATAAGATATCTCGAAGAGACGATGTTAATATCATAAGTGTCGAAGTTCAGTATAATTGAATAATAAGGTCCCTCGTGTTTCTAGTTTAATTTTAATATTATTATAATTATTATTTTTGCATCGTACGCGTATGCCATACTTTTATTAGAATGAATTAGTTTTGTTTTGTATTATTAAAAAACATTCATATTCATGTGGCTTTTGTATAGAAGAGATTGAAGAGTTAGATAAAGTACGGTTTTACTTTGTTAGTTATTTGTGTGTATAAGCTCACTGTAAAAAATGTCGATATATCGAATCGTCGGTAGGTGTCGGTGGCGATGCAGCAAGACAGTTTTCACAAAGTTCGATAACGCGCAATGGTCTCGCGGTTTTAAGGGAAAATTAGACAAACGGCTTGGTGACAAGCGGCCAATTATCGCAAGCTCGCGTGTTTATTTCGGTATAATTGGTAAAATGTCGGAAAAGGGTCGAAGCGCGCCAAAAGAAGGGTGGGAAAAGCGTGATCGAGTCGCTCGAGGATTACATGCGTTTCAGCGGGAACGAAAGCCGAATAAAAAGGCGAACAAAGTATAGGAGGCGTTTACGATCGCGGCTTGCGCGGCTGCCGTTGATTATCTCGATTGTGATGCTGCTGATTGCCAGTGTAATCTCGCGGAGTACCCCCGTCCTGCGGATGATGTCCGTTCTCTCGACGCGGCGGCTTCGGTCCGCGATACTTTCGACTATTTCCGCTACGATTTTGCTGCTGAGCTTGCGGCTGATCACAGTTGTTGTCCTTGTAGTAGGAGTGGCGAGGCCTGAAGAAGGGAGGATAACTGCCGCCGCTCGTGTCGACGCGGACGCCGCCGTTTCGCAGCTGCGGCAGTAGCGAGTTCGAGGCAGCCGACGACGACGACGACGAAGACGACTTGGCTTGGCCGTCTTTCGATTGCTGCTGCTGCACCAGAGCTTGATGGCGATTGTGATGGTGCTGATGACGCGACTCTTGATTCAGTTGTTGATGATGTTGGTACTGCTGTTGCTGCTGTTGCTGAGCCGGCTGATGATGGCTCTGATGATGGCTCTGATGATGATGATTGTGATGCCTCGCGTTGCGCTGGTAGCTGTGCAGCTGAGGCCCGGAATCGTAGCCGCTGCAACAACGAAACGACGCACGTCGATACAGCCGTCCGATTATAGGCAATTAGGCTGAATAAAAGGAATACCCGTGATTGGTCCGCGAGGCCCGATGCCAGTAGCTCTGAGTCTGCAGCGGTGGAAATTTGGGAAAGGCCCGCTGGTGCTGCTGCTCGTCCGACAGCTGGGGCTGCTGAGGATCGATGGCCACGGCGGCGACGATCGGCGCTGCGCTGCTCGGGTAGTAGCTGCTCGGCGGGCCTGGGACGACTCGATGCGTCGCGGCCGCCGATCGACCGTTTCGACTCGACGACGACGACGAGGTGGAGGAGGAGCAGGAGGAGACCTGTTGCTTCAGCTGGCCGAGCTCTTTGCGCTGCTCGACGTTCTCCTGGCGGAGCCGCTTGACCAGTGCCTCGGCGTCCACGAGACGGGCCTGCATCTCGACCTGTTGGCACTCCATCGTCGTGTCGACCTGTACGGCCTTGTCCGAGGCGCTCCGCGTAGCTGCCCGAGCCAACGCGTCCAACGCTCTGCAACGAACAGTTTCGACTTATTCGATATCTGGATAAAAACAAAAAACGCCATAGTAAAAACATCACTCACTGTTGTTGCTTGTCTATCGTGGCCGACAAGCTGGCGTTGAGCTTTCTCTCCTCGTCCAAGCAGACCTTCAGCTCCTGCGCGTCCTTCTCCAACAGCTCCATTTGCAACGGCATGACGTTCGTCGGGCTTTCCTGTAAACGAACGACGAGTCTTCTCAACTGGCCACAAACGGACGAAGCGAAATCGAACGAAATAATAAATCGAGACTCGAAGAGCTTTTCCCGATTCGATCGTCGATTTATTATAGGACGTTGTATTTCGGTTTCGAATCTTATACTCACTGTGAGTTTGTTGGATGCGCTGCCGCAGGTGGCTGCATCTTCGGGCGAGGATATACCGCAAGGCGATATTTTTGGACCTTTGCTCGAGAAAACCAACTGGAACTGTAATTCTGTGAAAAAATCCCAAGCTCAGCTGTCGAACGGAGGGGCTTAAATCAAGGAGGCGTTATCTCGGCTCGGCAATTACGTTCCCAGTGCAACAAAGTCAGGCTATAGCTGGGCAACTCGAGCTTTTTTCATGATCCAGATCTAGGAGGATAAATTGCACTCACCCCGATTCCTCTGCCTGAGCTGGTCGATCTCCTTGTGGAGGGCCACGAGCATCGTCCGATGCTGCTCCTGCAGAAACTCGAGGTTCTGCTCGAGCTGGGCCACCTTGTCCTCGTGGGAGTGCTCGTGGGGTCGGGCGGCATCGCTCGACTCGGCGCCGGTCGGCTGCGAGTCGGAGGCGTTGCTGCTGGCGCTGTTACTGGCTGGGGGCTGCTTTTTGGGCCGCTGCAACACGTCGTCGCACGAGCTGCCCTTCTACACGGGCATAATAAGCAGCGATCAGACGATGGCTTCGTGTAAATGTGCAGTGCAGACGCGACTTACTTGGGAGAAAGGAACCACGGGTAGCTTGACGAGGACTTTGGAAGTCATGGCAGCTGTGCTTTTCGTCGGACGATCAGCGATAAGTGAGTTAGATTGTTGGACTCGCCGCCGGTCGCGCAGGGCAGCTCCTAGAGCTCGTTGGCTAGTCAAGCTGCTGCTGCTGCCCCGAGCATGTAAATATTATCTAGGGCTGCAATGTAACACGACACACGCATAGGAGAGAAGCCGACTGCGCAGCGCCGCCGACGATGCGCGATCCCTTGTCCAGCCGAGGAGCGACTGCTGCCGTTGCGCCGCGACTATTGATCCGAACTGTTTACTGTATAGGGTTCGTCGGGCGGTGCATGCGCCCACCCGATCCGCGCATTCTTATCGTTCTTATTCTTCTAGCCATGCTTACCTATGCGCGCTTACCTATGTGCCTTCGAGTATTACTACCAATTACCGAAGCGGCGATCTGTCCCAACGATGAATGTCGATACGAAATTGTGCATCGTCTCTTCGGTATATGAATATAAGATCCTAATTGGTCGTAAAAGGTCGATCGCGAAAGCTCCAAGCTCTCGTTTCATCGGGTCCTCGCTCGTAGCGCGGCAAATTCGTGCGCCTAAAATACACCTACCGACTTTCTCTTCCTGCCCCCGGATGAATGGCTCTTATTTGCGCTCCGACTAGTACATATAGTAGTAGTATATAGTGCCACGAATCAACGCTAGATATCCTTTCGAAATACTCCAATGTGAATTTTTCAACTTTTACCCATAACTAGCAAATTCCTATTATCGATTCGACATATTGTGACTAAAATTTTTTTCTCATCCTCGCTTACGTGTATATATGGGACTTTGACGTCGTTGATTTATTTTTACAACAGAGCTTTATTATTTGGCTATATATTTAAAAAGTATATGTATAATTTGTTGTAATTATTTACAAAAGTTAATTGCAGTCGGCTCATTGAACAGCCAATCTAACAATGTCCAGTGTGATGCCCGGCTTGTCCAAGGAGCGACGGCAAACCTCGCAGATCAGATGAGCCGCTTCTGGATCCCAGTTTTCCTGATGGCAGTAGTTCTGTCGTGCGGGACAAAATAAAACTAGACTATTATTCGGACTTTATTACATTCTCTGAATTATATACTCACGATGTGATGCTCCTCTAGACGCTGGTTCACTCGTTCCTCTTCGATCCATCGCACGTATTCGAGGATCTCGCCGTCGTCCTCGTCGTCCGGATTCTCGAGGAAATTCGGCATATTATCCTGGGTAATGGACAAAAAAAAAATATTTCCTTTTAATATAGTACGCTACGAGTTTACCGGCTGCCATCGCAGTACCACGTCAATTTCCTCCATCTCTTCGATCTCATCGAATTCGAATTGCAGGACTGGGATAGCGAGCATCATGTCGTCGAAGCAATTCTCTATGGGCTCTCTGACGACTTGAGGAATACACATTTTGTCTTCGAGTCTTCCCTAAGAGAAAAAAAAATCAAACAAATCGGAAACTGTATTTATAACTTTATTGCATATGCGGACTGCACTAACAGCACCGGTTTTGGTGCAGCTATCACACGTTGTTTGCAAAGATTCAGCTGGTAAAGATTCGGAACGAATGTGGTAAAGAAATTCACCAGGCACTCACCGTTTTACTTTTTGTCCTCCCTTTTTATTCGTCCCTCTAGTATTTTTCATTCACATTTTACTTTTTCAAAAAAACTCACGCGCTTTGGAATTTTTCATATTATTGCTTGAATATCCATCAGAATTTTGATAAACGAACAGCTGTATAGATATAGAGGCGCGCGATCGTACAGGTGCTACAGTACTATACGCCGCTTTGGCCGCAGTGAATGAACGCGGAGGTGCAGTTTGCCAACGAATATGCAGTAGTAATTCTTGCAGTAGTAGTTGTTGCTCGAGTATAATACACCGTCCCGATCGACTGGCAGCGAGCCCCTTGCGATCCAACCAGGCTGTCTTCGGATTTCCAACTTATCGGGGCCTATCGCTGGAGTAATTGGCTCGTGCAGCACAGGCCGGTCGCGGCCTAAAGGCACCAGCTCTGGCTAGGCCCTGTAGGCTTTTCTCTACCGCCGAACGCGTCGATTTTTTTATAGCATTCTCGGTATAGGCTCGCTGTTGCTCGTCTGTGCTCTTTATAAACGCGACTGACTACTGCACTTTTGGCATCGAATCGCACAAAATCGCGATGCGACTATATACTATATCGCGAGCATATATAGTGTAGGCTGCTTCTACATAAGAATTTTTCATGCTTGCGTCCAATTTACGTGGGAGTCGAATCCCACCGCGGCCAAAGTATTTCGCTATGTGTATAATTTGCTCGTGCGATCGACGATACAAACACCCCATTCAATTTCCTGAGTATAATTAAATATTCCAACAGTTATCCAATCATTTTTTTCACATTGTTCATTTTTTAGGACTACATTGTCTTTTCATTTTATCTCCAGTCATGTTCTTTACACAAACTTCCAAGTATACTTTTGAGGGATGAAAATAATATCAAAACGGCCAATTCGGTGTATTACCAAGGGCTAAAATAATATACTTTTTGCAAATTTTCATTCATTGTAACTGTTTTATTTTTATGTACAAAATTGGTCTACGTAAAAAATATTTACATTTAGAGAGTACCTGTTTGGGGCGTCTTAAATTAAATTATTTACAACATCAAATTTCCTACGATGAATAGGAAAAAAAATTTTTTTTGTAAAAACATAGATTAAAGCAAGTATGACAATTATTCAGCTAAACCCATATCTTCTGGGTTCAAAGTAGATTTTTTACTTCTTTTTGCTGAAGGATCTTCTTCGTGGAAATGCTTCGCGGTTCGTTTACGCAAATCTTCGACGTTTTCTTCGGTTTGAGCCCATTCCAAAACCAATCTTCTGCCGTACAAGTGAGTACTCTGGCAAAGTGCCTTGAAAGCTCGCTAAAAGAAATATAAATCATTATGGAAACCATTTTTAAGAAAAATAATTATTGATAACAGAATGATTGGGACTAAATCTTACTTTTGCTTCTTTTTTCGTATAAAACTCAACAAAACCGAAACCTCGATGTCTAGTGTCGGTTGCCAATTTTTTTGGTAATCTGACGGCTTTCAACTCACCAAACACCCTAAAATAAAATTCAAATATTTCAGTAAATATTCATTCATTTGTAAAATAAGACTAAAAAGCAATTATAATACAATTCTTACTTGAATAAATCTTTGACTTCATCTGCATTGGCCTGGAATGGTAGATTCTTAACCATTATTTTTGTTCCCGTTTGTTCCGTAACTTTTGTTGTTTTCTTAATAACTGGTTTTGCTTCAGATCTGAATGTATGAGTAAATTATGAATTATTTAAAAAATAAAGGACATTAAACACTTTGAAATGAAAAAAGTTAGATACTTACGACAATGTTCTTTCTGACAATTTCAATTCAAGTGTCTTTCCATCTAACAGTGAAAATTGAAGCTCTTTCAAAGCTCTATCAGCATCAGATTTTAGCTTGTACCTGACAAATCCATATCCTAACGACAACTTATTCGCTGGATCATTTGGATCTTTTTTTTCAGAAACAGTGGCATAATCTATCTTGCCACATTTAATAAAGTGCTGTAATATAAGAAAATAATGTATTAGCATGATCATGATACGCTTTAAAATGAATTAAAACTAAACACCAATATTTTACTTTTTTCAACGATTCATCAGTGGTATTAAAGTTCAAATTTTTAACAAACAAAGTCGTATCTGGTTCCGGCTGCTGATTGTCTTCCTCGTCGTCTTCTTCTTCGCTCTCTTCCTTTTCTGCTACCATTTTTTCTGCTTCTTTCTTTTTCTCTGCTTCATTTATTTTAACATTATTCTCCATTTTCCTAGGTGTATTATCAACAAAACTTTCGTTAGGCGCCCATTCCAAATACAATGGCATGTGTTTAAATTTAGAATATGCTAATTTTTTGAAAGCTTTTCTAGCTTCATAGGGTTCGAAAAATTCTACCAAAGCTGTTATGCCTGATGGTGGTAAGATAACACGACCAAGCTCTCCGTATTGGGCAAAAAGTCTTTCGATTTCTTGTACCTGAGTCCCAGCTGGTAAATTTTTTACCAAAATTACTGTTGTAGATCGTTCTTTTGGAGCCTACAAAAAATGAGGAATTAATGATTATGACTCTTTACAGATACATTAAAATTTTTGAAAGTCTGCATGAGAAAAAATATTTTTACCTGATTAAAAGCAGTCAATTTTACACCATTCTGCTCCAGAAATTTTTGAGTTTCCTGGACAAGTTGGGTTTCTCCAAGAGCAAGGCGTACAGCCATGCTAGTACCACTGTTATCATCCAAGACTTTTTCTTTAGTTGTACCATATGCTTTAGCTACTGCATCTGCTACTGCATTTTGACCCAGAAATAGGGTATTCCAATTGTGGGATGAATTGGCTTGCGCTTTTTGTTGTAACTCTTTCTTTTGTTTGAATGTCAGGCCATCTAAAAATTAACACAAAATCATGAATTTGTTGTTTCTACATCCGCTTCCTTGTTAAGAACAACTCAACGTTTAAGAAACAATCAACGCTGCTTACGAAAACTAGCACTTCTCCATTTGAATTAACATTATGCAAGCACTTTTCTGTTAATTCAAATGGAGAAGTGCTATTTTTTGTAAGCAGCGTCAAAATGAACTACATGAAAGATATTTTCTGTAGCATCTAATAAATACTATAGCTCAAGACTAATTTTATTTCACAGAAATTAAAAAACAAGAAAAACTGGTTCTCTGACTATAGCTTTGATATATTTTTAAACTATACCTTGATCCAATAAATCTAAAACGGTAGTAGCAGATTTTGCTGGAAGAAGATGCAACAGACGACCACAATGTACTGTACCATCCAATTCTGAAAATGCTTTTACAGCATGTTCAGGTAACAAAAATGTTACAGTGCCAAAACCTTTAATTTTTCTAGTGGTGGTGTCAACAGGAAGATTGACTTCAGTCAACTGGCCATATTTTTCAAATATTTGCCTGATTTCATCTTCTGTTGTAGTATAGGATAGATTTCTCAAGAAAATTCTTCCTGATTCTCCTATACTTTCTTCATCTTTTAATGTATCTTCTTGTTTTTTCCATCTGGGATTTGACTTCTGATCTTCTGATTTATCTTCTTCATTTTTTTTTGTATACACTGTAACAGTTATTTGTTTCCCATCCAAAAAACTCCTATTTTTATTGAGAGCGTTCTTCATTAATCTTTCAGTTTTAAATCCTGCATAAGCAATGCCTTTAATTTTTTGAGGCACTCTGATTGACTTAACTGGTATGCCTTTGAAAAAATTTTTTATATCTTTTTTTTTGTGATTGTAAGCCAGGCCTTTGAGTTTCACTGTAAAGAACTCTTTTTTATGTTTTTTCTGTACATTTTCTTTTACTACCACTGTTTCTCCTTTTGCTTTTTTTTTAAGCAATTCCATATAATCCTTGTCTGAAATTGCTTTAGTGGCAAGGTCATCTTCTTTTTGTACATCATCAGCATCTTGATGAGCATCACTGTTTTCATTTTCATCATCTTTACTGTCACTTTCCTCATCTGTTCCTTCACTATTTAATTTCTGCAATAATTCATTGTTTTGCTTATCTCCTTTTAAATGACCTTCCAAATATTCTTTGAAAAGAGGATCATTCTTATGCTGAAAGGAATAAGATAACATAAATCAATATTATATAAATCAATAATTATTTGAAAAAACATTAAATGCAACAAACCTTTTGAATGATTTCTTTTATCTCATTTGTTTGTTTAGTTTCATTTTCCTTCTTAACAGAAGGAGTATTTTTTTTGATTTTATTTTTAGCATCCTGCAATCCTTTTGTTGAATCTGGAGCATATTTACTCCACGATTTTGGTTTTGATGGGTCACCTATTCAGTAAACAAAAAATTATTTTTATGATCATCAAAGATTTTATACCTCTATACTATAGATTGATAAACTTACCCAAATTGGCACACAATTCAACACTAATTCTATTATTGTTTATAAAAATTTTTTGCAGAGCCTTATGAGCAGCAGCGGCTTCTTCTTCTGATTTATATCCAACAAACCCAAATCTTCGGAATTTACCCTCTTTGGTGTATTTTAATTGGATGTCAGTAATCGTCCCTTGTTCTCCAAATATACTTTTAATTTTGTCTTCAGTAACCTATAATTAAAACATTAGAATGATCATGTGTTGTTTTTAATTCGCAAAAGTCGCAAAATCTATGAAAAAAATTATAACTCACGCCTTCAGGCAAGTTTTTAATCACTAAACGAGACATTTTAGTTGTTGTTAAATTGTCGAAACAAAATTACAAAAAAATCCGAAGCGGCAGTGCAACAGCATGTGGTTTTCGTTTTCTTTATTTTGAAGATTGTAAGGTTGAGAGCGCTCGAACTGCCACCACCACGTGGTCAGTAATGCAGGCCGCTTGATAATTGATGAAGTCGCCTCTCGTAATTTGAATAGATGTAAAAAAATATTTTTTGCATCTTACTCGATTACAAATTATATATCATCTCTGATAATTAAATAATTCTCTTTTGTTAGTTTGTTATTAATAAAATATCATCTTAGAGATTTTTCTTCCTCAAAATTCAAAAATGCTTTCACAGAGCTTCAAATGTCATACTTTTGAGAACGAAAACTGTTCACCTAATATGCCGGAGTAGAGAGGATACTAAAGATGATGTCATTGTAGAATAACCTTTAAAAAAAGTAAATAAGCAGACGTACTTAAACGTAAACTCGAGTTTGGTGGCAAGTGTCATTCTGTCGTTTCCAATTTGTGTGTGCATAGAAAATAAAAATGAATGGTGATAGCAAAATAACTGTGCATCATTCTTCTTTACTCGGTTTAAAAGCTGAGCTGTTACGAAAACAAGCTGAAGTCAAGGAAGCCAAGCAAAGATTACACAATTTTCCAAGGCCCAAAGAAAAAATCGTCAAGCCCAAAGAAGAGATAAAAATTGAAACAAAGGCCAAGAAAAGAAAAGTGGACGAAACTGACGATGTAGAAACTTTAAAAGCAATGCAAAAGTCTAAACTAATGTTGGAAGCTAAATCTCAACTCTATGAAAAGCTCACTAGAAAACATTGCAATATGAATCCAAACTTTTTGGTGGACTTTGAAAATAAAGTTGATGATCACATTGATGAAAGAGTATCCGAGGATGATGTGAAGAGCGATGATTATGACTCTGATGATGGATGGGTTGAATATACTGATTGTTTTGGTCGTACTAGAAAATGTTTGAGAGAAGATTTGCCAAAAATGAAAGATAAAGATAAACACTTGCGAAGTGAAATAGGAGTAAATTCACCTCCACGCGAGGAAGAAAAGAAAAAACTATACTATGAAGATAAGACTCCTAATAGGGAGCCAGAAATAGAAATTATGAGAAGAAAGTGGGAAGAACAAACAGCGAAGCTTGCGGATAAAACTGATATACATTACCAAGATGTACTGTTTGATGAAGCTCGTAATCATGGTGTTGGCTACTATGCTTTTTCAGCAGATGAAGAGGAAAGAAAAAAGCAACAAGAAAATTTATTCAAGTTACGAAAGGAAACTGAGAAACAACAGGAAGAAAATAAAAGAATAAAGGAAATGAAGAAGCAAATTGTAGAAAATAGATTGAAAGTTGCTAGAGCTCGAGCAAGAATGAGAAAGGGTTTACCTGCGGAAGAAACAGAAGAAGAAAAATCTGCCAATCAAACAACAGAAGAATCAAAGCCAGAGGAAAATGAAGAAAACAACGAAAGTAGTGTATCAAAAGATGGAGATAAAGATAAAGAAGAACCTGTAAATAAGCTTGTAGAAATCGAAAATAAAGTAAAAGCTTATGGGGAGTTATTGACTAAAGGCAACAAATGGTATGTGATGACACAAGAAGAGTGGGTTAAAAAGAAAAGACAAGAGCGTCCAAATGAATTTGCTCCTGTTTATGAAAACTTTCATGGAGGAGGCACTTTACACTTTGGATTTGAATTTGGACCAGATCGCAATGAAACTTGTGATCCAACAGAATATCCTGCACATCCATCAAAACCTGCAGAGCATACTGAAACTGAAATACCATCCAATGATCTACCTCTAGAAGAAGATCCTGATTTAATAGGGCCACTCCCACCGCCAACAATGCTACATACTGGTTAGTAAAATACTTTATATACTCAATTCATATAAAATTTGAATAAAATTAATTTTGTCCATTATTGATTTATTTAGATACAGCTGCAGTTGACGAAAACATAGAGGATAAGGTAGAAGCTGGATTAAAATTCTTGAGGCAGCAATTCGAAAGCAACAGGAGTGCAACTAGATAGTAATGCAAAAAAATAAAAATAATATTAAATTTGTACAGTATTATAATATTAAATTAGTAATTAAATAAAAAAATTATATATTTATTATAATAATTTTTTGCCTAAAAAATTATTCATAGCATAATGAGTTAAATGTACCTACACGTTCAAAAAAATTTAGTTCTCGAAAAGGTCATTCAATTTTCTTGAGTCTAAGTTCAAAGCTGTGTAAAAACTAGTCATGTAGAGTTTAAGAGTGACTTATACTGTGACAGTCACTTACAATCTTGGCCTATCTTTTTTACACAGTCCAACCCTGACTGCAACGAATAGTTTCTATATTATTACAGTAGGTGGCGATTGTTTGCATTTTAAACTTTATTGTTTCCAAATTGTCAATGCTCTACGGATGCGGGATGTCCCTTAGTGCGTTATCTAGGTTATGCGGCTTAATGTAAAAAATTCCAAATACGTTCTCCATTTACATATGTGAAAAGCTTATTTTGTGTTAAATTTGTTGAAATTACTCAAGAATTTATTTGTGAAGGTTTAATACAATTAATATATAATCGTGCTGAATTTGCAGCAAGTCATTTAGCAGTTTACTGGCTAAGTAATCTTTTTTGGGGCTGTTTACAAACATCATTTCAAAGTGTTCAACAAAAAAGTATTTATTAAAGTTTAGGATATTATATTGAACCGGCACGATGGTACGTTTAATATATTTTTATGAAATTAAACAACACATTTTTCATGCTTTCTATTCAATCTTTTTGTCTCAGTATTCCATGGTACATAAAACTGAAAATGCTCATGAAGATAGCATTTGGACGTGTGCATGGGGTTGTCCTAAAAAGAAGAAGAGTACACTCAATGAAAATGAAGATTCTCGGTTAGTTTATCATAATGTTACAACAACAAAGTTTTTCAAAATATACAATCTGACGTTTATGATTTTTTTTTAGTGATTCTATGCAGTCAAACAATGATGATTCTCAGTATGTTATTACTGGATCTGTCGATGATACAGTCAAAGTGTGGGATTACAAAGATGGAGGATTGCATCTTAAACACAAACTAACTGGACATTCGTTAGGAGTAGTATCTGTAGCTACAAACTCTGATGGCACAAGTATGTTTTGTTTTTTGTTCCATTGCAGTATATGTTAATTTCAGTTTAATATTTTGGAATTAATACTTAATCAATTTTAGAGTGTGCATCAAGTTCGCTAGATTCAAGTTTACGAGTATGGGATTTAGAATCTGGAGAAAAAATGTACAGTATAGAAGTAGGTCCAGTAGATATATGGACTGTGTGTTTTTCACCTGACGACAAGTACATTATATCTGGAAGCCATGCTGGAAAAATCAATATGTTTAATGCAGATACAGGAAAACAAGAACAGGTATTAGATACAAGAGGCGGTAAATTTACTCTCAGTGTTGCGTATGTAAGTATACTATTTTAATTATTAAACTTTAAAATTTTGATTGTAATAATGATGTGATATATCAATTTTTTTTTTCAGAGTCCAGATGGAAAATATATAGCAAGTGGAGCTATTGATGGCATTATAAACATTTTTGATGTTGCATATGGAAAAGTACTGCAAACATTAGAAGGTAAATATTGGTGAAATATCAAAATGAAGTAATTTTTTTCCATACCAATCCAAGTATTTTTTCAGGACATGCTATGCCAATTCGATCTTTATGCTTTTCTCCTGACTCACAGCTGTTACTTACTGCTAGTGATGATAGTCACATGAAATTATATGATATGTAAGTAATTGATCTGTGTGTTGAATTCTATGTTTTTGCATTCATTTTTTTTATTTTCTACTTTTACTGTTTGGCTTATTTAATATTTGATGAATATTTTATTATACAAAAATTTTATGTCCTTATTATTATTTGCGATGTAGAAAAGATGCCAATGTAGCAGGAACTATGTCTGGACATTCTTCATGGGTTCTAGGAGTAACATTTGCACCAAATGGATCGAAATTTGCTTCAAGCAGTTCAGATCATACTGTCAAAGTATGGGAGTTATCGCAAAGACAATGTTTACACACATTTCATGATCATACTGATCAAGTATGGGGAGTAAAATACCATCCAACAAAGAATAATTTCCTTATGTCTGTTGCTGAAGATAAAGCAATCAACATGTATGAATATCCAGAATAAATTGATTATTGTAAATATGTAAATTAATACTATAATAAAATTAATATGATATTTTTTTCAAACATTTCATTGTAATTTTTGAAATAAAAAACAAAACATGTTATTAACTATGAATATATTTGACTCAACCTTTAAGCAGACTTACAAAACTTTCATAAAAACTAGGTTTACAATACATAATCATTACCAATAGTGAGTGTAAATAGAATTTAAGCAATTACTCAGACCAAATTTACTAGCAGTTTGAAAAATACACTTTCTGCAAAGCTATAATAACTCGTTTTATTGGATTTATTAATTTGAATAGAATAAACACATATCAAGAATAATAATAATATACTAGCATGAAGTACTTATCCCACCTCAAGTTAAATAATTATAAGTAAAGAGTATAATTAAACTTATATAATTAACTCAATATTTCAATCAAATGTAATTTTTATACACTTATATTAGACTAGAAATCAAAATATATTCAGAAGTATACAATTAAGCTTTGGGCATTTAATCACAAAATTAAGAATTACAAATTATAAAAACAGAATCACCATAAAATGTTCTTTCTAAATGACGTTTGTGTTTTACAATGTCATGTCAATGCTACAACATATAAAAAATCGTAAGCTCCAAGAATTCAGAACGGAAACTTTTTCAAATACATACATTAATCTTTAAATATAAAAAATAAAGAAACAAGGTAGTGAATTCCAGAGGCGTAAATTACATACACTTAAAAGATATGAAATAAATACTATCTTGAACCATATATTCTATTGATATATTTGAAAAATTCAAAATATATGTTGTTATCATATGCTGACTGCAAAATTGATATGCAATTGCATTTCTACAAATTTTACAATCCTTCCATTTGTATCTTTCACCTTGAATTTATATACATTTTTTTGATAACATAAACTATTAGTTTTTGTTTTTAATGTATTAAGCAAACATCTTGATTAAATAATTTAATCAATATTTTACTCACTCTTAATAGTATAATTTTACTTAACTATTCACTATCTATATTCTATCTTAATATAAAATTTTTGGTTATTTTGTTTCTTATCTAAAAGCCAATCAAAGACAATTTTTTTATATAGCTATTTTTCAGACGTATAATCATGACATGAATAAACTAATCCAAAAATAAATGGAGCCACATTTATGTAATATTGTCAAATGCATAGAGAATGTTAATCATATAAAAAGTGTGCATTAGTATTTTTAACAACTTTATTACCTTTACAATAAAGCGTGAAACCTGTTAAAAGTTTATGCAATCAGAGATCAAGAAGCATTTGAATTTTAGATATTCATATTGAATAAATACTTTATAAATAATGAGTAATAATAGAGCTTCTCAATGTAACAATTTCTGCTATTATCATAGTTATGTAACAAATGATGTATAATGAATAAAATAATCCATTTATTTTTCGAAAAAATTATTGGTAAACCAAACAGTCCAGTATAATGAAATAGTAACATGTTACTCAATAAATGATGAACTATTTACATAAAAATAATATTGTAACAAAAACTACAATTCGTACTTAAAAAAATAATTAATACCATAGGAAAACACGTTTTTCATAGAGACGTAGATCTCAAGTTATTCTCAAGTTGATTAAAACTTGAAAATATTATATATATTATACCAGCAGACCACCGAGGTTCCTATGTATCGCGTAGGGACGGTCCGAGACAATGGGATTATATACACTTTCAGGGCGTCACTTATTTATCAATTTAATTTTATAACGTGGAAAAGTTGGACATCAATGTATTATTTCATAATTATTAAAATAGATCAGAAAGGAATAAGAAAAAAGTGAATTTTTAATAACAAAAAAGTTACAACAAATATAAGTGAGAACATTTATAGAAATTTTTGAAATGGAAATGAAAATCACAAAGAATAATTATATTTTTCTTTGATTTCACTTTTAACCACTCTGTAGAACAGCACATTTTTAAGATTCTTATAGAGTATAGAAAGTAAACTCAACATATTTATCTTATTAATTTGAAGAGAGATTTTTATGAAAAAGATAAATATGTATCCCCTAATTGTGTATGTCTAAAAAATCGAATGGATTTTTAAGTAAGTTTTTATTTTGTAAAATGATGCGCAGGTATTCAGAAGTAAAAAAAAATTGAGCTGATAAATGTAAAGAGTAGATCCTACTATAACAACTTCATTTTCCTCTTAATTCACAAATCCTAATACGTATTGTAGAATTATAGAATTATAAAAATTCGAAGTCTTTTTACTTGATCTTACATTATAAGAATAATAAATACATTTGAAAGTAAATTACTCATGAAACATGGGTAAATAAAAACAGAAAACCGATAGCAAAATAATTAGGCCTATGAACATTTTTTGAGTAATACTATATCTAATACGGTGGACTTACTAAAAGTTATTCTGAATAAAACCAATTTTTACCGTTTCAGACGAAAAATAAAGCGTTTTTCTTCTCATTGAAATGATTCCATTAGAGAGCGTTCAACTATTTCAATCAGTTATATGGCAAATCGAAATCATTTTGAAGAGAATTAATCAGAAAATTTAAACACTTGTGACCTTGGTCGTACTCGAATATGGAAGCTTTTTATGTGCATCATTAGATTTTTCCATTGTATCTCCATAATGGGTCGCTCCTTTATTTCCAGTAATCCATTGACGTGTGTCTGGTTTATTTTGTTGTTGCTTGTTCCTATTTTGTTCTACTTTTTTCCAGAGGCTGGCTATTTTACTAGTAGTTTCTTTTACACTTGCTTTATTGCGAGTCACAGAATCCGAAGCTATGCTGATACTACTACTTGAGCGAGACCCAACCGTTTGATTGCGCAAAGCAGTATTTTGTAAAGACGTGGGCTGACCAGCCGTCGAATACTTTAAAGTAGATTTAGCACTGAGGTTGCTCGACGAACGTTTAACAATAGACGGAATACCCGTAGGCGTAGACGGTGTGCTGTTGCTGCTTGTTATAGCGCCCAACGATTTTTGAGGGGTATCTCTTAATCCGGTGTTTTTCAACTTGGCACTGTGAAACGGTGACGTGCGAGGCGATACTTGGCTGAAGGATCGACCGGAATTGCCTAGGCTACCTGGTCTAGTTATTGCTGTGGGAATAAATCGTAGCGGCGAGCAGGGCACGATAGTCGGCGTATTCTCCATTTGAGGTTCATCTTTCGTAAAAGTGCCCTGACGCTCTAGGGGACGCAATTTGGAAGATTGCTGCCTTGTAGGAGTAGACGGGGTTCGCGGTTGATTATTAATTTTCTTAACCGGTTGTCCGATTTTGGACGCACTCTGAGATTTTTCAATGCTGTTGTGCTGACGAAGTTGAAGAGTGCGAGTTGGCCGCACGAGTGGCGAACTACTGCTTCGAACAACTCCATGGTGTGGACTTGACGGACTTTGCAGCTGTTGAAAAGTGCATTGTTGAACCGTTGACTTACGTTGACTTGAATACAAGGGTTTGCGACGACCACGAATGCCCTTCGCCTCAGCCTCGTCAACTTGTTCTGTAATCAACGAGGGCCGCGTCGGACTCGGTTTTACAATACGAGGTTTCCTAGATGCATTTTCAACTTCCACTTGATTTTCCATAGATGAAGACGAGTCATCGCTTTCATATTGGCAGTTTTGGAGTTTCGTATCGTCAGCTTCTGAGACTCGTTCATTATCGACGTCATAAGCAACTGTTTGATTACGAACTTTATCTAATCTCCTATACATTGGAATGCCTATTCTCGATTTGATAAGCTTTTGTTGAGACACTTGTTCTTTAGTTTCTTCAACGTTGGATGTCTCGATTAGTTCGGTACAGGCGTTACTTAAAACTTTTGTTTCAAATCTGGATCTATCTTCCTTACGGCGTTGTTTTGGTGTGAGTTTTGAAAAAGGAGAAAGCTTTCCATTGGTATTGGCAGGCTTAATTTCAATTTCTGTTGAATCCAAAGAATCGTTAGTGCTTTCTGTTTTCGTTATTTCATCTCCTATGGTATAAGTTTTATAACGTTCTTTAATCAAATGACGCTTTTGCTTTGGAGTAAGTTGTTTTCCTACAAAAGAGTTGCGTGGTTTATGATGCAATTTTTCGCTTATATTGATTGTCTAGAGGAGAAAGAATTATTGCTTGTCTCAATTAGTATTAAGTTATTTTACCTGAATCTGGTTGATGTGTTTGTTGAGAGACAGTTGATCCTTGAGAATCGCCAAATTCACCAGAGAAAGCGCCGCCATCGATTTCTGACGAGTCTGTAGCACAGTCATCAACGTGTTCGTCGATTGCACACTGGGTCACGTCGTCAGTATTGAACTCACTGTCGAAGCAAAGCGTATCTTGACGACTATTTGTATCATCCTCAATAGTCATATCTTCTATACGCGTAATTTCATTCATTAGTGAGGGTGGATTTATGCGGTCCAAACACTCCGTCAAACTGTTGTTGCTTCCCATTTGGTTTGTATATGAATATCTGAAAAACAGTATCAGCTATTAAAATGTTCGACAACTGTAATCAATGCAATTTAAGTTCGAAAATAAAAATGTTGCAAAATAAATTATGAAGATAAAACGATAACAGCGACAGATGTATGCACTCACTTTGCCATCGATGTATTGCTGAAAGGTTTGGAAAGATCAAAATTTACGGGGCCAGCAAAGCTCGCGTTTGAGATATCTGCAATATCAGAAGTAATGCTGGCAACGTTGACTAGACTATTTTCCAATTCATTAATATCCAAAATCTCGTCCATGAGCGAAGGAGGTTTGATATTTTCTAATTGTGATCCGTTTTTGCATTCACTTGAAAAATTTTCCAAGCTGTTGGCACGGTTTTGTGCGTTACACATTGCGCGATGAGCTACTACTCCTATTGGTAGAGACTTTTTCCTGTTGAATTGCGGCAGCTGCGTAATTCGGTTTTTATCTATAAAACAGTGGAAATTTAAATTTTGTACCACAGCCGTGTTTGATATTTCGCAATGATATAAAAAAACTGCTTACCAATGTTATCGATATCCGAAGATGGTCCATAGCTTGCCGTGAGAGATAATAAGCTATCCATAACTGAGGGCGGCTTGATATCATCAATTTGGTTTAGGGATACACTCTCTTTACCGGCAATCATAGCCTCGGATCTTTTGGGAGATTTTTGCTCAGTTTTAGAGTCACTCGTATGCATACCTGCTTCCGATGCGCTAAAATCGTCACTGCGGAAGGAAGCTACCAAAGGTGCACTCACGCTCAAGCTGGGAAAAGATGCGTCACTGGGGGAATCCTCGTTCCACGTATCAGTGCTCAAAATGCTCGATTTCATCCCGTTATTTGTTTCCCGGTCAAAGCGCATTGCTTCGCTTTGTTTTACCAGCGTTGCTGTAAGTCGATCGAGTGATGCGATCATTGCTTCCGGATCATGCTCGCGACGATATTTATCCTCAAACTTGTTTGTTATTTCATGCTGTATCGAAATATGCAAAAAAACGATTAATATATTTGTTTGCGATAAAATAATATGGTGAAATTTATTATTACTTCTCGTAAATTGAGCATGGTTTTATCCTTGTTACAAGATTTCCAGGGGTTAAAAGTACCACTTTCAGCAGTGTTCAAGTGAGAGGTATTTTTTACTCCTTCAGAAGTATTTTCTTGCAAAGTATACGTTTCATCACTAAAGCAGCAATCATTACATTTGTTTTTGTCTCCATTTGTTTGTTCTTGATTATAAGCGAAATGAGGTTTAGACTGAAAAATAATTATTTATAATAGTGATTTTTTCTCTGAGAATTAGCAATTTTAAAATTAATAACTCACATCTTTAGTTGGAGCAACATCATTAGAATCAAAATTAACTTCAATGTCATTTAAGCTTGCATTGGTTTTATACCTGACAAGATTACTTTCTAAACAAGAGTCGACTTCGTAATTTTTATTTTTTGATGACCTTTGAAAAAGTTTTACATTTATCATTATTATAGTTCTTACAAAATAACAGAAGAGCGCGTTCTTTGCGTCATCTAACAAGTACAACAGGGCGTCATCGAATGCTTTACCGATGATAGGCTAACTTTTAATTTCAAATTATTAATAGATTTAAAAAAAAAGCTTTACGTACCTCGTTTTATGTGATTGGTGGTCATCATGTTCATTTGAAGATTTAGGATGAGTTTTAATACCCAATAGATCTAAATTGCCATCTCCTTTTGAACAATTGGGCGTTTCTAACTTATTTTCTACCAATAAGTTATTATCATATACTGCTGAAGCAAATGCATTGACATCATGTTTTGCGTTGCGAGTAGAATTTTGTTTATAGGTACTTTTGATAACAGGAATACCACGTGGTTTAGCAACTTCTACATTTTGCACAGTTTGCACTCTGCTTGTATCTTGTCTTTGCTCTTTTTTGACAGAATAACCTGAATTTAATTCATCTTCATCGGAGATCCGGTTGTGATGTTTGAAATTGTAATTGGAATTTCCAGTAAATCCTCTCTGATAAGTTTTTAGTGAAAGATTAATTGGTATTGACTTATTTTTCGATGCGCTGGGAATTCGAGAAACTGATTCTGATTTTTTATTTTTCTTCAAGCTAGGAGATTCGCAAGTAGTTGCCAGCATGCTTGCATTGTCTTTACTACGGTTGTTTGGTAAATTTGATGTACTATTTGCACCTTGATTAAATGCAGGAGTCCATAATATGGCTGAAGAATCTCGTGTGATATTTCGTAAATCCGGTAAGGGCTCTCCGGGTTTCATACGCTCTGGCATTACATTCATGTATCGCAAAGTATATTTTTTTTCAGATCGGTCTATGGTAAAATAATCTAATTGAAGTTTTTATAAAAAAAATTTAAATGGTATATTATTTATAACAGTATTTTTACTTACTTATTGAACGCCCAATAGTGGATGTAGAAGAATCAGAATTGGCACAAGAGAACATTGAAGTTGATTGTCGATTAGAATTCAAATCTAAGAAAGTTGCTCCATCATTTGTTTGGCGATTAACTTTTTCAGAAACAGTATCAGATTGTGTGCTTGAAACGGATCGCATTAGTTCCTGATTCTCACTTGGAAAATTATTCAAAATTTGTAATCCAAGAGAACTTTGTTGATCATGAGCAAAACTTTGTAATTCATTCTTCTTTTGATCCTGTAAAAAACTTTCATCAATTTGTAGAGGTGCATTTTCTTCCTTGTGAACAGGTGAACTGCTTGGCTCTATGTTGTCATAAGTTTCTGATAGATTTTGATCGATTTCTTGAGCTAAAGCTTTTTGTCTGAAAAAAAATGCATCCATAAGTGTGAAGAAAATCATTTTATTATAATTTTGAAAATTGCTACGAAAAATTACCTTCTTGCCACAAGAGTTGGAAGAGTTTGTAGACCCAAACCACGAACAGTAGAATCCATTCGCAAAAAATTATTCCCATTTGGGGATGCACTCAACAAATTTTTCAAAGCAGCACTTGATCCCATTGAAATCATTTTATGCTTAGAATGAATAAGATTTCGTAACATAGGCACTGCTCCAAGATCCCATAAGAGAAGTTGGTCTTGAGGATTACGAGCAGATAGATTCCAAAGCGTACCGCAAGCATTGCTAACAACAGTTAAACTTTGTGATCGAAGTTGTCTCAATAGCACTTGAAGACAACCTCTTTCTCTAACAATTGCTCTGTAATCATTTCGTATGGCTATGTGACTTGATACATTTCGTAATATACCACCAGCATTTTCAACAATGGTCAAATTTTTAGAAGGAGCATTGTAGCTCAACATGTCTACAAGAAACGCCAAAGCACCGTCAACAGCACATATATCAATTTTATTTGTAGTACAATGAGCCGATAAATTCCATAATGCTGATAAAATTGATTTCAAGGTAGCTTCTTTCCGAGCTTCCATTGCAGCTTTCATTAATCCTACAACAGCTCCAACTTCTCTCAGTACTTGCTTACTACTGCTGTCAGCTCTCCAAGAAAGGTTGCGTAAAACACTTGCTGTCACTTGCCTTAAATCATCACTTGGACTTTTAAGTTGTGATACCTATAAATAAAAATAATTTTACGCCATGAAAAATTATTTTTTTAAATTATTTTCAATCATAATAAATACCAATGCTTTCATAAATTGTTGAAAAGAACATAAAAGGGCTTTGTTATTGCTGTCACCAAATGTTAAATTTGTCAAAGCCATGCCTGAGTAACGTCTCAATGTAATACAGTTCTGATCATCACTATTTGTACCATGAGCATCATGATCTGTCTCAACAAGTTCAGCTACTGCATGCAATCCACCAAGTTGACACATAGCAAAACGATGAGCTTCATCAAACGATAGCTTCATCAATGCAGCAATAGTAGTTGATGGATGTTCAAGCTCACTCATAGAAGAAGGCACAGAACTTAATGAGATCCTTACAGTTTGACAATAATCTCTCAATTGTTCTAGAAGTCGAAGAACTCGAGCTTCTCGCTTATTTGATCGTTCATCACCTTTAGCATGAACTATATTGAATAGAGCTTTGCAAGCTTGTTCTCTAGTTTTTGGATTCTGGCCTGGGGCATGAATCAGTTGTATGAGTAACGGTAAGCAACCAGATTGCCTCATTACATTACAACTTTCAGTTGAATTACTCATAGTTAATAAGGTTGCACTCATATCTTCTCGCCCTTCTGTGCTACCCAGCATACTCAACAAATTATAGATAACATCCATTTTAGAATTCAGTCTTTTATGGCCATGTGCATTGGAGACAGGCGTTGATTCTCCTCCAGTTGAAAAACTCATCATGCTTACAAGTTCCTAAATGAAATGATAAAATTTTATTTAAAATGATCTATTTCTACAATTTAATGTTTAAAATGAATTAATCATTTATACATTGTGTGCTGGTGAATTGAGCTGCGAGAGCTGACTAGATGTTGGTGATTGCGTCGAAGTCCACATGCTTGAGCTCAGAATAAAATCAGCACCGACAGTCAAAAAGTCTTCAGTTTGAGATGAGAAATTCGAACAGTCATTCTCTTCTGCACTATTGGTTTTAATCCCAAAACTTGTAGAACTCTTGGCACATGACTGTAACAAAAACAAAGATATAATTAAATGAAATCCCAGCAAATTGATAAATATCATGATATCAGAAAAAATATAAATATTTATAGATCATTATAAGTTAAATTGATGAAAAAATTTAATTTAACAAATGAATCATGTATTGTCCATTTCAAATCAGAAAATGAAGAAAAATGTATAGCACCTCTAGTATTCAAATGTACAAAACAACTGATATTATAACTTTAAACTCTTGATGTACATATTTTAATACAGATTAAGTCATACTTTTAACCACGTTACGAAACAAGTAATAAACTCAATGCGGAATTAATTATAAACGCTCGAAAATAAAAACGAGTCAGGACGTCAGAATAAACACAAAGTTATGTTACTAAGTATATATTATGCCAATTTCGTCAAGTGAATATAGCCCTGAGGCCTAAAAAAATCGAGTTAATCTTAGTACCTTCAAACAATAATGAAATTCTAGCTAGCTGAAGTAAGAGAACTTACGGTAATAGAGATTAAAAATTACATTCTATTTGGCAGATCATTTGTGTTGTCTCATTGGATACGGAGTGGATGTTCAAGACAGTTAACTCATGCATACAGTATAATACACATGCAGTGAAATGCGAAAGCTTCGCGTTCTTACGTAGTCTGGTATTGTGTGCGTGTGTGTGCGTGTATCCTCCTACCTATTCCATCTATATATATGTATGGAGAGTCATATTATACTTAATATATAGTGAATGCTTAGGCGCATATATTGCGTGTGTTAGTAATAAAAGTATAAATTGGAGTATATCTTATTGTATATAAAGGGCTGCGATACGTAAATGTCATGTACTAAAGCGGTAAGACCGGGATTTGGGATACATCCGCGCACAAACTAAAACATGTTTTATGTTTATTCATGTTAATTATGCATCAGTGGTGAACTTACAAACTACATCGACACTGATTCTTTTTTGATATAAAAAAATGATGAAATGAAAGGTGTACATGAATTTAATTTTAAATAATTAATTGCTTTAATAACACTGACAATAAATACGTTAATTAGGTCGAATTCCATTTCTATGAGAAAAATCATATGATCGTAAATCCTTGTGTTGAAGAAGTAGCAAAAATCGCGAAAATTTGAACGTTATCACGTACACATTCACTGAGATTCGAACGAAAAAGTTGGCACTTTCTATAGAAATCCCAGAAAACACGTCCGAATACTTTCATTTTGCGCTGTTTCACTAAAAAAAGTACATTATTTTCGAATACATCTCGCAAAAAAATAATATAGCTTGATAAGTGAATAAAAAATAATGGAAACGAATAAAAATAGTACTGCTTGCAGATTTTGCAAGATGATAAAAGTACAGAAATGGAGTATATGAAAACTTTTGTCACGATCCAATAACTTTGTTCAAATACTTGATCGAAAAACGATTTTTATAAAAATAAATGTTATTTAAAAGCCGTTTATATGCATATATACATGCTAAAAATTTAAAAGTAATTTGCTTAATTGATATGATAACTTCGAGTATATGAATTGATTACCGCCCAACGAGCAATTGGCCTCGTTATTTAATTATTTATTTGAAAAATTAGTTACACTTCTACATGCTTTGAATTAAGTGCAAATATTTTAGCGAACTTTATGTAGATATATAGTGTACCTTCAAGAAAGAAAAATCAATTGGTTGCGGTGTTTGCTCTCTCTTCTCGACATTTTCATCAACATTTCTTGCAGCAAAATGATCAATTTGAAGGTGCCCTTCAACGTCCAATAACATCTCGCCCTCGACATAGCTTGCCTGCGGACGTTGTTGCTGCTGCATTATAAGCTTGAATTGGTTTTCTTGCGTTTTCGCAACCTTTGTATCACTTAACGTTGATGTTGAATCGTAATTATTATTATTGTTTGAGTTAATTTTTTGCATTCGAGAGACTGATTTTTCTTGTCCAGTAAGGGAGTTACTGCAGAGTTGCTGCTGATCAGCTTCTCCCGGCATTTTCTTCTTCAAGAACACTCGATAATGTTTCTGAAATCACACGCTCAACTGTATAATTTTCGTTTATTTTCAACAAATGAAACGCAAAATATAAAGTGGACTGCAACCTACCGATTGCTCATCTTCACATGTTCAGTTCGACGAAAACTGCGCAGAGTCGGCTGATATTGATTATATTTCTACGTAGCATTTCATCCAAGTTTTATGTGTAACGATACGAAAAATTTGAAAAAAATCTTGTCCAGACTTTGTAAAAAAAGTACACTCTTTGCGTGAATAGAAGGCGTGTATCGAGATTACTTTTTTACATCTTTACAAACAAATTGCGTGGTTTTTTGTTACAAAAATTTTACAAATTCATCAAAATGAAGATATTGTGCTTGAGCATACGTGCAGCACGCATAGGATACAATATATTTCTATATACATGCACAGTGCAGTTCACTCGTTAAAGTATAAATGTAGAGTACATGTGCGCCGGCGCCCATATCAAGTTAAGCTAACACAAAAGGTTTTCATGTAATCTTCAAATATTCGCAGTACCCACGGTGGTAAAAACTAGTTAATAAACTTTTCTAAGATATTTTCTATTTTTCCAAGTAGATTTCCGTAATATTCTTCAACTACTATTACAATTTTTCAATAACTCCAAATTATATGCAAGATCATTCATCTACAAAATATATTATATTTTTACCACGAAAAAAACTATGATAACAAACAAAATCGATTTTAAAAACAAATTTTCACTTTGATTTCTACATGTTCTAATGTAAGGATGAAGCCGGGCCTGTGGGCTTTCGTGAGTCACTTTACTCGCAAGGATATATGAATGTGATTGAAGCGCAACTTATGTACTTTTCACATTTTAGATGACTCGAGCTGGTGACTGCAATTTTTGCCAAACTCTAAATATATTTTTACAAGCTTGATAGTAAAATATTCTTGGAATATTTACTCTCTAAGAATTTCAAGTAGGGGCCGGTATCGTTATAATGCTGTAGCCTAGCGACGTTACTGAATTTTTTGGATACTTTTTGGAACTTACTGCTCTCCTGTTACTCGATGTTGGAGCAGAGTCGACACGTGCTTCATATAGAGCTGTTTGTGACATGACGTTCTAAGACCAAATTTATACTATTATTATTATGTACTTTAATACAGCGCGAACTGTATTTACATAGAATATACAGAATTAAACGCCTCATAAGTTTACACTATGAAAACAGAACAGCTACTGAGTTAAAACGCCGAGACCGATTTTAGCTATTTCTCTGAACATTTTTGACGGACCGGCGAGTCATCGCATGGAATGTTTATTAGTGATCGACGCTGTAATAAACAGGAAGTTCAAAGACCTTTTAATAGAGACTCCGAACGTAACCAAAAGTATGAGGAAAACAGAAACTCTGAAAAAGTTATTATTTTGAAATTAAAAATCCAATAACAAAAATGAACGCAATCACAAATGATAAGTTTAATGAGCTTTATTTACAGGAAGATAGATCGGTAATTTGGCCTTTAAACGCGCGCACAGAGCATTAAGAAAACAAAAACTCTAAAGAAGTTAATATTTTGAAATTGTAAGCGTTGTATCACGAACAAGCCATTGTGACAAAAAGTCAGCTCTGTATGAAGCAAATTAAGTAACAGGAGCGCAACAAACCCCAGGAAGTATCCAAATTAATTCAGTTTCTGTCACATAACTGTTTTAGGCAATGACATTAACGATACATCATCCTCGTAATACCATGAATTCTATAAAAGAGTGTAAATACTTCAATAGTCGGAAGTATCTTGTTTCAAACAAAATCGATGGGACAGAATAACTTCAATAATGTAAACCAAGCAGATCGACTCTGGTACTACGATTTTTTGGTTTGTCTGAGTGCCATTACAATGCTCACGAACAAATGAAAATAAGTTGACATTTTATTGTCACGAAATTCAGTTCTTTTAGGCTTTTTAATAAATATTCCGTTTGAATCAAATCCTTGTTGATGCCATAGTTTCGGTTTTTATTTCCACATTCACACAATTGTGACGCCTCTAATGAAAGCGCACAGAGCCAGCTGAAACTCATCCTGCCCCGTTCCCACCGTCCTGGAAACTGTTTGCTGTATACAAATTACCACTCAACTTTTTTACTTTTGATTAAAAAAAACCTTGAAATTTTTACGTTTCCGTTTTAAATATAATTTTCGAAAATATTTTTTTCGACTTTCTACATCTCGAATATCTATAGTATTTCACGATTTCAACAGATATTTTAAATGCAATAATGCATAATTTAATTATATATTTTAATTCTAATTTATCATTTAACTGAAAACTATTAAAAATTTCATATAATTTATTTTAATGTTTACCATAAAATAAAAAATGCTATATTATGTTGGGTATCAATTTATTTTTTTAAATATTTACAAAATAATATTCAAATTAAAACTTGTTTGGCCTCTGAGGCAGACACATATTATAAAATGCATCTTTTTTCCAAAAATCACTTTTTTTCCACCCACACCATCCTTTATTAACAATTGTGTTCACCTGTTCAGGACCAGTGTAATGTGGATCCAAAATTAAAAATTGAATATTTTTGAATGATTCGTCATAAGAAACACCAAGGATTGTATGAGCCAAAACACCCCCACCTATAAAAATTTAATGATCACATTTCAAATTTTTTAATACTTACAAACATTTTTGTACTAACCAATCATAACAGGTGTTCCTTGAGTTCGAAAATGACGATCTAAATCTGGAGCTAATGTTGCCATTTCTTCTCCACTTGAAGCACTCAGGACTCTTATAGGAATATCTTCAAGAGTTTCAAGAACATATCCGACTTCAGTTGATCCAATCCACTGCTTACTTCCTATGAAACTCGAAGGTTTGTCACCAATATCTACTAAACATTTCTGTATTTCTCTATGAGTTGGTATTGGTTTATTTGTGTAACCTTGAAGTCTAAAGAAAAAAGAATAAAAATTCATAAAAAATGTCATTGTTTTTCTTATTTTTTAGAAAATTTTGCTTTACCTATACCATGAAACAATTGTTTGAAGAGACCTATAGGCACAACCCCAACCACTATCATCAATGCCATCTTGCATATAATGATGGTAAGCATACTGACCTTGCACAATGCTAATGTTCTGGTCTAGATTAAGTTATCATAAGTTAAGTTTAATATGTCAATAATCAGAAGGGACTTTACCTAATTTTTAAAAAAACTATTAAGATATCCTACTTGGGTGTGTTATTATTTCATGAGGATTAATAAGTTGAACCATTTTTTCTTTATCATTTTTGAATCTTAGTGCATTTTCTTTTTTAAAATAAGGTTTTTTCAAATCTAGAGCAAATCTTCTGTGCAAATTTCGTCTATAAATTTCTGAAATACAAAAATAACAAAATTATACTTAGCTCCTCACTCATCCCTAATTAACTTACGATTTTCTGCTTCTGTCGGGCCAACAGGGTATACTGCTGTAAGTAAATGACCAAAATCAAGTGGTTTCACATGGATGGGCTCTGGTAATTGTAATTGCATATTTTCTGTTTTTAATTGATTTTCAAATGAAAAACTAATGAGGCGCAAGTTCCTACAAAGAGATTCCACCAAAATTTCATACAATTGAGCCATATTGATATTGTAACCAACCAATGCTAAAGTATCAATTTTTAAAGACATTTCACAATATTTAATGGATTCTGAAATTTTTAATATAAAGTTAAGATAAAATAATTATTCATATTATCAAAAAAATTTTAATTCATAATTTATACTTTTAATATGTTGAACTACGGGTGCAAAATGGTGCACAGGTTCATCATCTAGATTGTTTTCACTTGACATTTTTAGAAACATTTTTGCATCAATTGTATCCTATTTTTATTATGAATTATAAATTCATTTATTATAAATTTATTTTTTAATGCTTTGAACTAGTCAAATTAAGTATTTAAATTTATTGGTACACTTACAACAAAGCATGAAGGTATATACTTGGAGTTTTTAGAATTATTTTGACTTTTTGATGCATTCACAAGTTCTTTGGTTGTCATATTTCTTGTATCTTTTTTAATGTCATTTCCAAGCAGATACGTTTCACTTTCATTGAAATAAAATCCAACCTTTCCAGCTGCCAACTACAAAGAATATGAATTATTATTATCAAAAATTAAAACAAAAATTATTTGATTTACATATTTTCTGGTATCTTGAAGTGAATCCATAATATTCATTTCTTCTGATAAAAAAGGAATATTAGCTCGTAGTCTTATGTAACAAAAATTTTGTAGTAAACTGCTCTCATTGATAACTTCATAATTTATTGGCTCAAGTTTTTGATGAATATAATAGAATGCATTCACTTCCGTTGCATCCAAAGAATACTTTATCAGTAAAGGATTATCTGTAACATCTATTTCCTGCAATAAAAATGTTTCTATTAATGGCATTCTTTAATTGATCAAAATGAAATTGTGCAGTTCAAATAAAAATTATTTATTTTGAGTAAAATACTCATTTAAAATTCACGTATATTCAATACCTTGAATGCATCTGGAATATCTTGTCTATATTGATCAACGTACAATATTCCAAGCAAATCAACTTCAGCTGGCAGAGAAAGTTGAAGATCAATTGGCAAGATTGGATCATCAGAATCATCAACTGGATTTATGCTAAAAGTTAAAACTGTTAAGGTTTCTTCATACACAATTCCATATAAATATCCAGTGACCGCTGCATTTAACTTTGCAAATCGCTAAAAAAAATCATTATCATCAAAAATTATATGAATATTTTTTTAAAATTTCAATGAACCTACGTACATCGATAACGTTGGATAAGATTTTGAGTCGAGGAGCCATTGGTAGTTTTAACAAGTCTGAATAAAGTAACAGAATTTTGAAGATATCTTATTTTTGAACTGATTGCTGCAACAAATTAGAAAATAGATCTAATGATAGTAGAATGTTTATTGTCAAGGTATATAAAAAAGTTAAACCTAGTCAAATCCATACATCTTAGATACTATTAAAAGTTTGGAATTAAACTAATGGAATGGATATATGGATGGACGAAATGGATAGAAATACTAAATTTCACTTTGAAAGCTACTTCATAACATGAAGTTCTTCACAGTTTCTGATTCATGAATATTTTTCTAACAATAGAAATTTTAACTTATTTGCAGAAAATTGAAAGAAACGTTGAATCCTCAGCTGGTTTAGATAAAATTAAATAAAGCAGATTTTTAGTTCAAAAGAGGACAATAAATTTATATAGTGATGACTAAATTAAGTTATTTAGTTGATAAGAATACTTCTCTAACAATTACATTTGGTTCTTATAAAAAAGTTTGCGTAACCTCACTTAAGTTTTTTGAGATTAACTTATAATTCAATAAGTCACAATTTATTATTATTTTAAAACAATTCTTAAAAACCAATCAAGTGAGTTGTTTTCGTTGTTATTTTCCACGTTTAGAAGCGACGTATTAGATATTTTTCACTTTGGTGCACATATTGGACTTATAACTAATAAACGATTCAGTTAAATAAACGAGTAAAAAGTAATTTAGTTATTCTTAGAAATCATTTACACTTGATCGAAAAAGAAGAAAATTAAAGCTATATGTTTTCCCTTGAAATGATCTCACTGACTTTCGACGGCATTTACATACAAAGCCACAGCTAAATTCGTCCAGAACGCGCAGAAGACAGTGCGATATGTTTACGATCTATGATGCTGAAATTTAAATGACAATGTCCACAGCTACGGTAACGAACAGTTAACACTACAGTCGCAATGCACTACGTGTTCTAAATTTTAATCAGAACTGTTAGAGCTGATATGTAGTTCAGTTTTTGAAACATTATTCTTGTTATAGTAAAGTAACTAAAAATTGTTATTCATTTTAGCGAGCTGAAAAAATGTACCGCGATTTCTACGATGTTTTGAAGCAATAGCAGGAACCACGAGGAAATCGACCGCGGTTCATCCTGTGTAAATCCAGCTACTTATTTAAACATATTAAAAAATTATATTCATTTTAAAATATTATATAAAATTTTATTTTATAATATTATAATATAATTTTTATAATATAAATTTATGTAAAGGTCTATGCTGGAACTATAATACTTATTGTTTACATCATATAGAAATAGTAATTCAGAGTTCAGATTTCAGAGTGGGTACCACTTAAACCTTTAGATACCGCGGATGAAAAATGAAAGTTATTTTGAACTGAAATAAGTAATAGAAAATTGCAATAGCAGAAAAGCCTATTGGAGTATCGGCAAAGTTGCAATTTTTGGATTAAAGTTTCGATACAAAAAAGGTACATGAGTTTTTCCGCGTCAAAATTTATTTCAATTTTATTTGACTTGATAATCAATTTCGAATACAAGCCCATTTATCCAACATTCCCTATGTATACATGTAAACTATAAGTAAAACGATTTGTTTTTCGAACATAAACTCAGCGTAGTGAGGGCCAGTTTTATGTGTAACATCGTGACGATAATAATAATAGTATACAGGCTAACATGGGCAGAGCCCCTAATTCGCTCTGTATACGTTTTTGTCGGACAATTTGATTTGCAATGCCACCAATTTTCTCCTGCATTTAAAAATTATTAGGAGAAATTGTAAATAAACTTGTAAGATAAGAACAATTTTGCATCATAGTCATTTCTTTCTTATTTATTAGCTTTTCATTATAAAATGTAAAATTTATTGCCACGATGACAAAAACCATCTGTTTACTATAATATTCACGTTAGTCCCTATATTCGGCCTCTGTCAAGTTTTGCCGTGAAAGAGACTTTACATCGTGTAGTTTTTGCATAACCTGTATTTAAACACACTGGTTTTAGTAGTATATAGAAGCAGATGTTGTGATTGATCCTATCTTCTAACTTTGCTTATACTTATACTTGATATTTAATAAAATTAGGTGTTGCTCTGTGATAATAATTATGCATTCGTTTCTAACAAGAGCTAATGCCATTTTGGCTTATACACTAAGTGTTTGTGCTTGCCTAACGTTTTTATGTTTTTTATCAACAGCATTTTCTCACTATGACACCGACGTTAGATTGAGAACGTTTAAAACTGTAGTGTAAGCATTACTTATAAATAATTATTTTCAAAAAATAACCCATATAATTTGTTTCTAATTTCCAATGTCGACATTTTCAATATTTTTTAATGTGTCATTGTACTTTACCATAAACTCATCAAGTTTTTCAAGTACTTCAATTCATCATTAGAAACTAAAAACAGGTTGATTTTCTTTACTTATTCATTTAATTTTATATAAGAGAGCAAAATTTTTTATAAATGTGATTAGTATTGTTTTCAGAGTTTCTTTCTCTATTATCAATTTGCTAATTTTTAGAAGTAACAAATTACTTTTTTTTAAGGAAGTCATTGTGTACATTTTCATATGAAATTTTTCTAGACTAATTCTTAATTATATTAATGTTAGACAATCCATTATATAGGAATTGATAATAATATATACCTTAAAAGTAAAAACAAGTTGGCTTACCTATAAGTTCAATATTAATAAGTTTTTGAATCTGAGTTATCATGATAAGAAATCAATATTTTGACTATTTTCAAGCTGATTCTTATTAGATAATAGATACATGTATTCAGTTTTTAGATTATTTAAATTTATCACAATTATTTATAAAATGGAAACAATTACATCCAAATAAATCACTTAAATTTTTCATCAAAATAACAATGAACTTGATAAAAGAGGTCTGTTAATAGAGTTACTCAGTTTTATTGACCATAGTAATCTCTCACTTTCATCCTTACAAGATTGTTAATATAAGGATAAAATTTCTATTTAATCTTGAAAACTAAATTTGCATTCAAAATATTTATACTTATTTCAAGTTTGTGAATTGTGAAAAGTTCGCAATTCAAATAGACCTTCATGTACAAATAAATTTCTGATAAATTAAAAATTTTTAAAAAGTATTGATATAAATTTCTGAAAAATTTTAAAATTTAAAAAAGTGTTGATGTAAATTTCAAATGTTTTATGTTTATGAGAGAGTTGATACAAAAACAACACTTGTTAATACAAATCAACACACTTTTCGTCACACTCTGGAGCAGCAGATTTGGTATTCAAGAAAATATTATTCTTAAATTAACAATAAAAAATTATAATTAATTAGATAGTGAAATCAAAATGTGTACATAATGTACTGGCCATGTTTAGTATGATTAAATCAATTAAGATATTATTTATAAACAAAAAAACTGAAAATTAATATTTTGGACTTAACTGGTTGTTGGTTATTACTGTGAGAAATTAAATATTAATTTTCAATGAAACTCGATGACGCATTATGAATTTTATTTTGAATTTTTTATTTTTTTCTTAACAGCGTAAAATCTTGAAATTGTAACAATGAAATTATTTTATTTCAGAAAAAATGTACCCGATTACAGCGCTTCGAGAGAAAAGAATGATCTAGGGTTCTTAACGTTTGACATCAAGACTGATATCCTTTTAATAAAATATTTCAATAAAATATTGTTTATTATAGTACGTGCTTAAGTAAAATAATTCGCTAACTTTTACAAAGAAAATATAACATAAATTCGTGTAACTTAACTCATTAACGTCCAAAGTGGCAACATATTTTTGTTCGCGATCGATGCTATTTTTTCCCATATTTTGGGGATATTTTACATGGAATTTTGTATGTGCAAAGTCTTTTCAAGAGACAAAAGATAGGAAAAAATCGCATCGATCGCGAACAAAAAATGTTATCACCTTGGAAGTTAATGGATTAAACTGCATTTTTGCTATTTTGCGTGTACGGATATCACTTTTTGCTTATCTTTCAAATAAATCTCAAGTAAAAAATCTGGTCGATCATAAGCTGTCATAATTTTGAGGAGGTTCTTACTAGTGTCCCTGATATCGAATGCCATTCTTACTTCGAATCTTTATCTCTTCTTTCTCAATTCCTAATTCAAATCCCAAATTTCAAATTTTAAAATTGTGATTTCTCACAGAAATGTAGCCGTTTAAATGCGTTTTTTCATATTCTACGCGTGTAAAAAATTGACTGATCTTACTAGAAATAAGATATTTAAAATGTTATAATATAATTTCCATTTTTTCCAAAGTTATGAGTTGCCATATTTAAAAAAATCTTTAATTTTTGAATTATGAAAAAGATTTGTATAAGAGAGTTCTAAGGTAATAAATATTAGCAAACATCTACATTCAGTTTTTTTTCCAAAGAAAAATGAGTAATCGACCGTTTGAGCTATAGGAGAAGGTTTAGTAGGTTGAGTTGAAAGTTCCTCTATATAGGGTAGGAATAATTGTCTTGATTTCGAGTCAATTAAAATTATGGTTTTTCTTTTCGACTCTAATAATTTCAATCCAAAATGAAGTAAAAAAGACCCTTACCTGAAAAAAGTCACGAAGACACCTTCGTTTGAGCGCCCTGTAAAGTTTTTCGAATAATACCATGTATGCACCATGTATGTTGCTGTGACTACAGTTGGGTCTTGAGAGTTCAAAGGAGGCTTAAAATAGAAAGCCAAATATTCAATTTTTTAAAAGTATTTTTCATCCCCTCTCCATAGCATTTTTTAACATTTCAAAATGTTTATTTTTTACTGAGATACAGCTATTTCCGTGAGCCTTTTTTGTATACTTGGCGCGATGAATGTTTTTTTCTTATACCTTTTCACCCGAGGTAGTGACCGTAATCATTCATGTTCTAAAGAAGTTTACGCGATTCTGGTATTGTAGCTTTAGTATCTCGCTCTGAAAGTTATGAGAAGTGAGGTGAGGTGTATTTTTCTAAAACGTGAAACGCCAGAAAAATGAACTTTTTGCAGTTTTAAATAATGCTACAGAAATAGTTAAATACATTTTACTCAAAATACCATAAAATTCTTTTCAATTTTAAGATAATACTGAGCCCTTAGAAAATAAATTCGAAAACAGACGCTACTGAAACTAAAAATCTCATTCTAACAGTGAGAACGTAACTACTTTGTGATTAAGTGCATGAGTTTACGTTAAAGCTACCTTGCCTTTTGAAACTTGCATGTACCAAATTTCGAGATATGAAAGATGCTTTTTTTCGAGTATAACTACAAATTTTAAGATGCTATTTACCAATATTCATGTATCCTTAATAAAACTTACATTTAACTAGTATTTTTAACTGGAATGTAAAGCAGTTATTTGTTTATCTTGTTGCGGAATATCAAACTAAAATGAACTCGCTGAATCAGGTGTGTACTTCTTTAGTTACATATAAATAATTTACATTAATACTATATACAACCGAATGAATATAACAAAATGCTTTTTTTAATATTGTCTTTATTGCTAACAACTAATGTAATTTCTTTAATTTAACAAAAAATGTTTAATAGTATTTTTTTTCTAAACATTCTACTCAGTTTTAATCCATATATGTATGTTTTTAATTTTTTTTATTATCAGATCATACTCTGGGATAAGATAATTATCCGCGAAGACAATGCTATGCTAGAACTGAAAAACATGAATACCAAGTATTATTTTTGGGATGATGGAAACGGCTTGAGGTAAAATTAATTTCGACTAATAATTTTTAGTGTTTCATGTATGCACAATGAATTATTTTATTTTCTGATATACTTCGTTCAACAATCAAACGTACCCATCAGGAATGGAAAAATTACATAAATTCCAAATATATTTTTCTCAATATTTTCTCATATTTGATTAAACATAAAAAAGTTTATTGTTGCATTTTGCAAGTATATTTAAACATACGATGATTGATAATTTTTTGAATGATAGTTAAAATTGCCTCATTTCATTACTATTAATTGTTCGAAAGGAAACACCGTAATCAGCGTGCAAACTCATTTTCTTTATAATTTATTTAGTTCTATATAATAACGTAGATAATAGGTGTAAAATATGAAATGAAATTGATGTTTCTATTTACAGAGGTAACAACAATATTACTCTTCACTTATCTTGGAATGTTGTGCCAAATGCCGGACTCCTGCCCAGTATTTCAGCCAAAAATGTTCATAGTTTTGCTTTTCCATCTGAGTACACTACGTCGCGTCTTTAATTTTGTACTATGTTTGTGATATTCATAAAGAATGATGAAATATAAAAATATAAAACTTGTTTCTTAAATGTTTTCTATAATTATTTTATGATTTTTCACATATACCTAAAAAAAATGATTACTTTGAATAACTATTAAAATCAATTTCCTTCTGCCTTGGGAAAAAATATATTATTGTGACATTTTATTTGTTCAACAATACTATTTATTTTGTGCTAAAAGCATGATAAATCATGACAATGAGTTTTTTGTTTTATTTTATTTTATAAAATTTGTAAATTAAAATTTCATCTAATTTTTTCGAACTTTTCGTTTGAACTTACTTGCTTATTATCAGATTTGACAATGGTGCAATTATTCCACACGTCTGTGTACGTCTATTCATTATCCACTATCCCCATTCATACGACAACGTCGCACAAGTGTTCTTTCTGACGCGACACTTATATTTCTTTGCTGCTTGTTGTTTTGATGGTAGGATTAAAATTTGAGAGACTTTATAGCGTGTGCTCGTATTCGTAACTTGTTCGGTTACATGTTTTAAAGGGTTATATTTCTTTTTTCTTTAGCTTCGTTTTCTTTTTCAAAAATTACATCCAGATACAGATCTTTCTATTGGAATAAAATAAATGTGTATCAATTTAAATTTAAGTCAAACAATTACAAAAGTTTTCATAGTTCAATGAAAATAAAATGATGATTAAATTTATCATTCATTAATCCAAAATTTCGTATGAATTATAAATTGAGATTGATTTTTTCGTAATTTAGTATTTTGGCTATTGCGATTCTCAACGTGAGAACTTTGACAGGAAATGTTTTCTAACTCTCATTACTTGCGACTTTTTTCAAATCTCTACTAGTAATGTCCGTGAATGCAGCCGTAGACAGCACATAAATATAGAAACTTCTATATGAAACTAGAATATACATCAAATTAATTGTATTGTGTTTGACATAAAAATTACAAAAAGTATTGAGTGTAAACGCAATAATTTGAATTAGTTAAAAATGTACGCATTTCTATTTCTCTAACTTTTTGATATTTGTAATTAAATTTTGAATCATGCATAGCCTTTTAAAAATGTTTGCGGTCTTATAAAAATATTAAATAACTGTGAAATATTATAATATCTTTAGTGCATTTTCAGTACTAGATTATCTAATATAAATTATTTGGGGTAAAATTATCTTGAAATTTATGCTATATTTATTTTTCCAAAGCTACCTAGCATAGAAAAAAATATTCCATCCGAGTCTAGGAAAACGCATGTAAAACTTGAATTTATTCTATTTTTAAAGTTTCTATGAAAGTGATAAAATTTCCATGCAATACAAATCGATTTTTTCATGATTTATAATACTATTTCACATTATATTATATACAATAAATTTTATTCCCGATGTAGTTTGGACAACTGTTTTTCTATTACGTTTCTCATTGTATTTGAAAATTCATACAATTACATCATGCTTCTGTCGAACTGTATTATTCGGTCCACTTGTTCATCACCCTCGTTGTACAACTGTAATCCCCTCGTAACATTTCTATATGATTGTGACCACCCTTTTCTAATCCTATTATGTGATTCAAACTTTCTGCTGTGTGTGCATACATGTATATATCTACACTCATATGTAAATATACTTTTTCCGGACGAATTAAGTATAGTCTATATTTGGCGAGAAGAATTGACAAAAACGATAAAGGAGCGGGTCATAATGATGATTGAATCATGACTTTATTTACAAATAATTTTTTATATTAACAAAGTTTGAGCAATAACTTTATATAAATACACGTAAAAAATATCGTAATGTACACTAAAAATGTCTTGTAGTTGGTACAATAAAACAGCATTTTTATAGCGTCGAATAAAATATTGTTTTACCTCCAGAATTTTTTAGTGTACCCTAGGAAATTTTTTTCCTTGCATTCAAGAGTGTATTCTGAAATACATTTTTAATCAATCGTAGTCGTAATTGGTATATTATATCTTACAAAAATACACTCACTATGTATAAAATATAATGAAAACTTAATTTTGACATTAAAAATACTCAGTATATAATGAATAAAAGATAAAAATTTCATTTTTCAACATATAATAACTCTAAAATATGTACAAAAACCCAATTCATGGATACTTTTTGATGGCTTTATTAAATGATACAATTTTTTGAAATTGTTCAAAGTAGAATTGATTATGTGAAACCATAATAAATGTTTAGTAATGCCCAATTAAGCATTAGAATTAATGTCTCTGTAAACTCAAATTTGAAAATAATTTAAAAACAATACCGGAGCTATTTTTACTTTAATAAACAATTGTGGTAAAGCATACTTCCCGTTTCCCTGGTCTATTTAGAATTACCCCTGATGCCAAACGCGAAATAGATGTTTCACATCAATTATTTACGAATGAATTTACAAAATAAGATTTATTGTTCATTAGTGCCAGAATCAATTTTTCTCACTCCCGATTAAAGAATTTTCAATGCGATATTAATTTTTATCTTATATCAGTACAAAGTTCTGAATGATAGCTTTGAAATACTTGACAAAAGTGTAATAGATGTTCAAGATTTTACTTCAATAGTAATGAAAATACTGTATATATAGTGTAAACGACGGGGACGAGATTGTATAGGACATACAACTGAAGTTTATTGAACGAGGAAAAAGATCAATAGACGACATAATAGTTTCAAAACGATAAATAATGGAACTTAGAGTTAAATAAAATAGTCGTCAAACATTTTATTCATTGCTAAAATCATTTTTTCTTATACATTTCAGAACGTTATTCAATCAAAAGAAATTTAATTATCAATTATTTATGACACGTGTAAGCATTTCTGCAGTAGTTATACTGCCACATTTACCGTTAAGGTCTATGCATCTTTTTTGTTTTTTATGAAATTTGTGTCATGAAAACGATTATTATTAACTTTTTTTAAATTATGATGGTAAATTACAATTGTTTATTTACTTTTTACTCACAAGATTATATTTATTTTCGAACATTACACATTGATTTTATGAACGATGACGATTAATACGTATGATATTTGAATCTTGAGTATATTTCCTTGTAATAGTTTAATTCTAAGATGGTAAATCTCTTATTATAAAAGTGAGGGCTGAAAAAATGCATAACTTGTTATCGACTCTTAGATTTAGTAAAAATAATGAATATTACTTGACAATATAAAGACGAAAGAAAATGTAAATAACCATTTACTTCGAGCCGAATAAATACTCGATTATTAAACCGTACGTATAAATAAAGTAAATAAGTAACACAATGTATATAACAAGTGTTTGTAAGCGCATCCGTTTTATTTATTACAAAGTTTAATTATTATAGAAACATCGATGAAAGAAGAAAATACAAAAGAGGTGTAAAATTGTTTTTATCATTAAATTAAATTTTAAAACCGTTGAATTTAAAATTGAACTGAAAAAAAACCATTGTCAAATCGATTACCTTGAAAAAATAATATTTTATTACTAAAAAAAGGAATGCAGGACACTCACGCATGCGCTATTCTTATGACAACAAGATAAGGGGCGTTCACTAAGGCGGAGCCAAATGTTTTTAAAGGAATATAGTCCCTCCCATAAAAACCGCCTTATCTGAGGTGCAACCCTCTGCTTTTCATGTGAATTTAAATGCCCTCGGGGTAGCGAGTCCGAGAGCTGAGGTGTTATAGGGATAAACTCATTTGAGATCAATGTGTGTTCAGAGATTTTTCGTCTAGATGCAGTTGTTGATACGTTAAAAGTATTTTACGTAAGAAATACTGAAAACTATTATCCAGTTTTGAAGTGAATAAAAATTCCTAAAGCTCGTATATAAAACAGTAACGAATAAAGCAATTATGCCAAGGTAAATATTTCTATCGATCGTTTTCCTATTTCTGTTAGCATGCACAGTGTTTATTATCATTAAGTACTAGTTAAACTTTATGCGTTCAAAGAAATTACGATAAACTTATATCAAAATTTCGAATGCTTGGTGCTTGTTGCCTTTATCATCACCGACTTATGATTATAACGCAGTATTAATCTACTGTAATAATTATTTATTTGTTCCAATCGTATTATGGTTGATCTGGTTATTTTTAAATAAGAGAGTTAATCATGTCCAGTGTTTACATTTATCTTAACTATCCAAATCTGATCGCGTAGTGATTGATTTCTTTATCTGAATAGGTGCGTATAATTTGTAAAAACAATGAAAACTTTTAACATTCGTTTGCATAACTTTTTTGGAAAAGTAAGACAATGTAAAACTTATCATTGAAGACTATATGATTTTATTATTTTTTCTATAATTTCAACATTTGAACAGTTGAGAATTTTATAAGATTCATAATTAACCGTTCGTACAAAAACAATTTTAATATTAAATTATTCATTACTCTTAATATTTAAAATTTGTGGTCCGTTTATTCAAAGCACCGTAGTTTAAAATGTCAATTAGAAAAAAATTCAATCGCATTAACATTTTATAAAACATCCATTACTTCTAACACAGTACACTTCATAAAATAAATAATGCGCGAGAGGAAATATTCAAAGAAACATCTAGAAGTTCAATTGGAATCAAGTTTCTTTGGAATTTTGTAAATTGATATAACTTTCTTGAGGTTTTCTCTATAATAAGGTAAAATGAAATATTTTATTTTTTATTTTAAGAGTACCTTGAACCTCCGACGGAAATCGAAAGCTTCTACATGGTTTTAGACGTTTTTATAAAGCGACGGATTTTTAATTCGTATAAAAGTGCACAAAAATTTATAAATATTTGTAAGCATTTCTAAAATTTGGTAAAATTCTAGAGTTTCGGTTTCATTGCATATTTTATGCGACATGAACACAACTACCTTTTTTTAATATGAAACCATCTAAAATTACGAATAGAAATTAATAATTTTTTTTGGACCTTTAAAATCCATGAAATTTTACAAAGGTAAATATAGTTTTTAAAGTTTATGTAAGCGTATAAACGCGATGAAACCTAATTAAAGAAAATCAATTTCCATACGGGAATATCAGAAAGAAGATAACGATACTTAACTTGAAAAGTTGTTCCTGTTTTTGAGTGTATTTGGTAAAATAAAGTATTGCGTCAAAAAGAAAATCGTAGAAAATTGATGCTGAAGCCAGCACAAAAAAATTAATTTTCAATATCGCTATCTGTATCTTCTACTGAATTTTTTTTTAACTTTAAGGCTATGTGGTTTCCTACAAAACATGAAAACGATGGTCATCGTAGAACTTTTTATAGAAATAAATGAATACTCAGTAGAGAATCCTTTACCCATAGGAAAAAATCACGAAATTCCTACGAGTAGAAAGAAATCTTTTACGTTCAGGCTTTTCATCTCCTCAAAAAAATACCTTTCATGAATATTAAAATTATAAATTGAAACTCAATAAAATTTTCATCATTTACCTTAATAATTTAACATGAATAGAATAAATCGCATTTTTTAACATTTGAAATACTTCCAAGTTAAAAAATTTCTTTCTTGTTTTTAATTTTTTAGCCAAGAAATAATAGATTTTGAAAAACAATTGTCTTTGCCAGAAAGTTTACAATCTTTGATTGAGTAACACATAAGCATGGAATGCTGCTCGAGTATCATCGATGCGTAGTCCGTCGCTGACTGTTGAATATCCGATAATATCAAAAAAGCTGCAAAATCTGTCTCGTAAAACTTTTAAAATTGCGAATACAATAATTTTTTACATATTTAACGTCGCTAAAAATGATATTTTAATATTCCATTTTTCTGATTCTCTCACCCAAATTTCCGTAAAAATTTTCTGAAATTTTAATCAAAAACTTTGTACAACCACATAACTTTTGAGTTATTCGGTAACAATTTTAGAAAACGATTTAAAAAAATACTGTAAACATATTTACATATTTGTTAATCCATTCAATTCACGTAGTAGTTTTTTGATTTAAGTGTGCAACAATCTTTTCTATGATAAAATGTATTAATTATATCCTTTATATTTTACAGATTTCTAACGAATTCCGTCATCTAATGTAAACCAAAAGTTAATGAAGTTTGTGTCGATCGACGATGACAGTCAGTGTTACAGAAATAATGCAAGTAAGTAGCATATTAAAGGTGTGTATTGGATCGCATTGAAATAACTTATCATGAAAAATTGTATGTATCATCATCTATAAAAAATATCGGAAGATCAAATAGTGGACAAATATCAGAAATAGATAAATTTTACTGTCTGAATTAAATAAATAAATAAAAATTGCATAACATATTTCCCGGGTATTTATTAATGTTTGTTGAAAAAAACAATTGAGTTAATCGAAACAAAATAGTGAAAAAATAATGCTTCATGGATTTTTCAAATCGGATAAATATTCTCCCCTTCTTACTCATTCGTTAACTTATTCATGGAGAAAATTAAAAATACTCGGAATGAAGTTTAGATTAATTTTATTTCCAAAATATGCCAATGAAAAGTTTTAAATTATGTTTTTAAATCATGATTAAAAGTTAATTCTTGTGGTTTCCAGGATAGCTTTGGAACGAAAAATTCACAGAAAGATTCTCAGACTGTGGCTCTAAAAAAACAAAAAAGTATTTTAGATAAATTTGAAAATTTGCAAGACGAAGATAATAAAAGATCACTTGAATGTAATGGATGCGGGGAAAATGTATTAGATCGTTCATTACTTTGTGTTGGAAATCGCACTTGGCATTCCAAATGCCTGAAATGTTCAGCGTGTTTTCAGTCTTTACACGATCAGCATTCTTGTTTCATTCGTGATACAAAAATTTACTGCAAACAAGATTATATAATGTAAGTAAATTATGAATACACTAGAATATAATCAGTTTTTCAAAAATCTTGCACGCATTTTAGAACATCTTCAGATTTTGAGAAACTTACAGAGCCGAACTCATTGTTTCTTTTTAAATTTTATTTAGTGACGGCTGTAGTGTAGTAGCTAAACTTTCTTCTCTTTTTTCCTTTCAGGGAAGTAAAAAAAAATACTGTTTTATTTTATTTACTTTTCATAGTTCTAAATTCACATCCAATGAAAATTTTTAGGTATATTTAATTATGTAAAGTATCAAAAATGTATTATTAACTAGAAATTTATTTTATCTTTCGAATACTACTTATTGTTCGTACAGAACTGTATCAATCAGATGTTTCTGTAACAGTGTTATTTCGGAATTCTGATAAATTCTCAAGACAAAGCATTTTTAATGTTACTTCATAAACATGAAGAAAATGACATTTCGTTTGATGTACAATAATTAAAAATAATGAAACTAATTAATCTTGCGATTTAGTTTGAAAATCATCGTTTAGATGCTCCAATTCAATCGTTTAATATAACGTCTCTTAGTAGCACGTTTTTTCGCGAGTCTTTCAAAGAGAACACATAGATATGTTCCTAACAATCGCGGTAAATAAAAAATGATCCTACATTCAGGCCTTGCCTACGCAAGTATCAATTTAAAGGGTATAGCGTCCACTACCGAATTGATCTTTATAAATTAATTAAAAAAGGACATGCTCTTAAATTAGTAGAACAGCCGTTTCATGTAACCAATAGCATATACCATCTACAAAATGGCACCTGACTTGCTTATCTGAATCTGAATTTAGTAAAATTTATATTTATTTCATATTTCTGGTCTCTTAATTTTGATGTTTTGCTTTTATCGTCGGTTTTTAACACTAGAAATTTTTTCAAAATGTGTGCCTTTGCTCCTCAAATATTGTATTCGCTGGAAATGCAATATATACATCGACGAATAAGGCAACATATGAGTAAAAACTGAAAATCTCACTCGAATAAAACTTCCTATACAAATATTAGAACTGATTGTTACAATTATGTCTGAATTAAAAGTCCCATGAATTATCGTACTTATGAAGTGTCATTATAGAATGGTTGAGTACATTAAATGAAAAATTCAGTTGCTGCACAATCTCGCACACATTAGGCGACCGAATTCAGATTTGGACAGGGTTTATTTCTTTCTAAATTGATTCGGGGACTTTGTAAAAAAGCTACGGAAGTATTTTTTTGGGTTGGCTCAAAGCTACCCAGTTCTGAATTTGTCTTATAGTGACCGATTAAAAAAGTTTATTCAATCTTTCAGAAACTTCGGAGCAAAGTGTTCAAAATGTGGTAGAAGTATTGGAACCGGAGACTGGGTACGACGTGCTCGAGAAAGAGTTTACCATTTAGCATGTTTTGCTTGCGATACTTGCTCTCGACAACTTTCAACCGGAGAACAATTTGCCTTAATCGACATGAAATTGTTGTGCAAAGCTCACTATCTTGATTTGATAGAAGGCAACAATACATCCTCTTCCGAAGACTACGATTCAGAATATAGTTGTAAAGGTAGTAAAACGAAACGCGTCAGAACTACTTTCACTGAAGAACAGTTATCAGTATTACAGGCAAATTTTCAATTAGATAGCAATCCAGATGGACAAGATTTAGAACGAATTGCACACGTCACTGGGCTTACAAAAAGAGTTACTCAAGTCTGGTTTCAAAACTCTAGAGCACGCCAAAAAAAGCATAATGTTAAAATTAAATCACAAAATGATTGGTAATGACTTAGTTTATATGTCTTGCATATGTACACTTTAATAAAGTATTGATTTGCAATCATATATGTACGATTTTAATTTGAATAATTTTAATCTCTCGATCAATTAGTTTATTTCGCTTAATTTTTTTAATATCATGCGTTTTAACAATCTATCAACGATAGTACTCAAATTATCACTACAATTTTACATGAAATTTTTGATTTATTCATTATTTACTAATTTTTGTTTGAAACCTGTTTTTAATATGTTAACTATTTCTCGTTCTTTTATTTCTAATGTTTACAAACTTAATCCGAACTTTGATCGTCGAGAAATTAAATGTTTATGAAACATCTAAAACTTGTATAACACTTTCATTCCAAATGTTTTTTCGATTTCTTCAACTAATAAACCAAATATGTTTATACAACTCCTAATTCAATTCTGAGGATTAGAGGATTTTTCCTCTTCTTATTATTTATTTTTTATTTTCATTTCTTTTTGAAGTATATAATTGTTGCGAATCGAAGTGTAAAAAAGTTAAAAAAGAAGTATTTCAAAAATAGCAGCTCAAAGAAAATGTGATAAGTAGAATTTAAAATTCTGTTTACAGCGATAGGATTATGCAAAGAGTGACACTGAACTAACACGTTCATCTTATGAAAAAAACGAGAAAGAGTGCATGTGATACCAAGTACAGCCCATTACAGTCTCCCGAAAAACTCCGAAGCTAATATTTTGTATCTGGACATATTGTTTTATATTTGCTGTTAATTTAGATTAAAGTTATATTTAAAATTTTCGGAAATAATTGTCATAAGTGTATAATTCGAAGAATTGTATCAAACACGATTTTCATTTTTTTTAACAATTAAACCTGCAAATAAAATCAGAATATATTCAAATATTTTTCAAAATTTTAAAAATCTTTGATGTTGAAAACAATGTGAAAATATTTTTTTATGGCTTATAGTGAGAAGGTATCTTGTATGTAATGAGTAGTTTTCCGGTAATGGTGATATTAATTTGTTGTAAGTTAAAAATAGGAAACTGAGTTGAACCAATCAATGCCTGTTTAATGGTACAAAACTATAATGAGCTAAATAAAGTAAGCTAAAGTAAAATCCCACACTATTTGCAGCTAATATTGGGTATAGTTGAATGTTACACTTTTAGAAACAATCAATTGACCTTTTAAAAGAGTCTCATTATATTAATGATTTTTTTAATAACAGTTAAAAGTAATGGGAAACTCATTTTCAACACATTTTGTATTTATTTATTATTTTAACAAACAAATAATGAAGGCTTTCATTAATTTTTTTAATTTCTTAACTTTCACTACAATGCATTTTTATCTTTATTTAAATAATTCATTTTTTTGGATTAGCCATATCATAAAATAATTTGAAGCACTGAGCAACACCAACAACTACAATTGCACATGTAGCTCCAAATAATATTTTATCAGGAGGTCCTCCCATTAAGAAAACTGGTTTCTCAACATTTGCCTGAAAAAGTTTGATGGTAAAAATATTGAAATGATTAAAATTTAACTAATAAACGTACCTGGAATTTTTTATATTTGGCAAGAAGTTTAGGATCAAGCGTTGAAAACGATGCTGCTGACAAAGGAGCAGTTTTTAATGTTTTAGTTTTGATGGAGTCCCAAATCATTTTTGGTGGATCTGCTTTATCAACTGGTAATAGCGACTGTAACATTGAAAAATAGATAAAATGAATAAAATCTTATATACATTGCTCTCAAGCTCACATGTAAGTGATCGATCAACTACGGTATATATTCTCTTATAGACAATACACAAATTTAAATTAATAACTTATGTAAATGCGTAGTAAGTAAGTGGTAAACATTACAAGTTAGTTTATGTGTTTGTCTGCAATTATGAAATTTTATCATCTTTAACTACCAAGCAGAAGATTTCTAATGTTAGTTGTTACATTTTTAATAATTTCATGTCAAAAGTTTTTTCCAATTTTGAAATTATTTAAAATAAAATATTATTATGTCATTCAAACATATTAATTATTTTTAAAAGACATCAAGCTTGTTTAAATAATAAAATCAAATAATTGATCAATAATTATGTCAGCTTTAATTTAAAATAATCTTTAGATTATTTATTTTCATCATGTGTTTGCTATGCTTTTTAAAATGAACTATTGGTTTTATGAAAATTTTTCATTAGTCAATTTAAAACTTGTGATAAGTATGTGTACTATTATTATTCAAATTGACAAGTGTAGCCTATACACTCACTATTTAAAGAGACTAGTTTTAATAACTTCACAAATGAGAAAACAAAATGATAAAACATTACTTCTCATTGTAACAATAAAAGATTAAAAGATAATAAAAACATACATATTACAAGCAAGTAATTTTTCACTAACGATATTCTTCTGAAAATACTAGAGCAATATAGATAGTAAACAATCATAACATATGAATGCTAGCTTCATACTAATGAATTTGTGCCTGATCTTACATAACATAGAATTTTACGTAGATCTTTATACTAAAACGAATTGCGTATGACATTTTATAGTCAATAAGGTATTTTAAGACAGCTTCTTACCGTTGGATGAAGTGGCTGTAAATGTGTCTGTGATGGTAGCAATCGACCAGCAAGTGAACTGTATTTATAATGGGGCATAATATTAATAATTTTGTTATAAGTACAGTATTGCTACTGAATGCTTTCGGACCAGACGTTAACTAATCTTTAAATTAAAGCGTATCCACAGTAAATAGAACCAAACTACGAATAAGTTCCTCGTTCCCTCTGGTGAAAGGAAATAATTCCACTCGTCGTGAAACTGCGTTTCACGATTGATATGCACTGTTTTATCACTGTGGCAGGCATTGCCAACTTATCTCCCTACCAATTTTCTTATATTTCGAGTATCTCAATTGATGTTCAATAATTATATGAAAAAATTTAAATGGGTAAGAAACATGTTTATAATCATATTATATATTTTTACATACACCGATACAATAATATACTACTGTTCGAGTCAAAAGTTGGCTACGCACTCTACATCTCGTTCCAACGCCATTGCATGTTGAATGATTTGAATTTTTAAATTTTTTTGTGGAAATTTTTAAATTTTTTGCTCTGGAGCCTGACAGCATCGAAAAAACTATAAATAATACTATTTATTAAATAAAATAAGACGCTTATTAATAACCAAATCAACGTCTAACAATTTGCAGTATTGGCATAATCAGGATAAAAACTTACCACCTCAAAGATACAAGAGCAGCCTACAAGGTTTAAAAGGAATAAGGTGGTTTCTGTACTAGCGCCCTCTTGAAGTTGTCATCGTTACTTTCTTAGTCGTTTACTTTTTCACACCCATGTCAGTATATACATCGAGATTAGACTTAGCAATTTTACATTGTATATTTCTATCTATAATACTTTTGATAATATAAGATTTATTACCGTTCATGTCTTGGCAATTTTTGCAGACAGCAGTGTTTTATTCGGGTGAATATATTAGTTTTAAGAGTGTTAAAAATGAAAAGTTTCCGAACATATACGTTCACTTTTATTAGACAGTTTACCAGTATTGGTAAGGTGATCAGACAGATATAAATGTTTTATGGCGTGAGTAAATAACGTTGATAAATAAATTTCATATTAGAATCAATTACAAAGAAATGTCACCTAATCGACGTTTTTTTCAATAGATTTGCAAGAATCTAGATCTCATTTTAACCAGACCATATGTAATCATATATCAATGAACATTCAACTTGGTTAGAATCTTTATTAATAAGAAAATGCTTATCATGTGCTAATAATGCTGGTGAATATTTCAGAAGTTACTAGGAAAATAAGTGAAATGGCTTTATTGACTTGTGAAAAGTGAAATTACTTATGTAATAAAGTGCAAAGTGATAATGACTATTCAATGTTGTCTTAAAACTTGCTTGAAACTATTAGATTCGCTAAAAATTTTCAAGTGCTGATATGCAACGCATGGTTTTTATCATCAGATGTCGAGGAGCTGCAGTTTTTACATGGCAGCTCTAGTGCTGCTAATGTTTCATAAATGCATGATCTCCAAATTTCCATGCTGCACATATAGAAATAGATGACAATTTTGAAGCTTCAATGAAAAAACAAAGAGGTAACCAAGTTTCTTTAACTTCTTTTCAAATAAGTTGAAATAGTATGTGCTATTTATCTTTTCCAATCTTATACTATATAGTATATACTATAATGTTTAAAAATGGCATGGATAATACTTAAGTTGATATGCTTAATGATGACTCTACAGTTATAATTAACCTAATTTTAAAAAAAGCATAATATAATATTGAACTTGGACTAAGTAGCAAGATTTTTTGTTTTAAATTTTACTGCATTAATTCAAAGAAGATATAATATACATACTGAAAAAAATATACATTTTCACACTAAATTCAACATTTTATTCAAAGAATTACAGACATAAATAAAAAAATATTTTTATTACCTATATAAACATTTGCTGTAAACATGAGTAATTTTATCCTTGATTTGAAATGTGATTTTATTGGATAAAAGATAAGCCAAATGGTTTATTTGAATTACAAGAGAGTGCCTACACAAACTTTGAAATACTTTTTAAATTCATTAGAAAAATAGAGTACTGCAATTAAAATGATTAAATCTGTAATAAGTCTCAACCAAGAATTTGAGAACTAGCATCTATGTTGAATGTGCTTTAAAAACTATTTTGTTTTGATGGGGTTTAAAAGTAAAATTTCTATATTTGCTTTTTCTCATAATTATTTTTTAATTTAATTGTCACAATGAGAATCATTTCAGGTCATTAAAGGCCCAGATTTTGCAAATCATTTTATAACAATGTAAATTATATTCAAAGTCCAGTTATTGATTAAAAACAATGTCATTTACATAATTTCATCGGTTAAATTTTCAATGGATTAATAACCATTTATGTTTAAATCAAGGCATTGATTTTTATGCTGTTGCTTAATTATTTATATGTAAATTTTTAAAATTTGAATTATAGTATTGTGATGCGTAAACCTTTTCAGAATTCACTTATTCAAAACTTGGAAACTTCAAAAATCTGGAATTAAACATTTGATACATTTTTCCTTGTGATTTGATGATATTTTGTAAACTTTTACTTTCTGATTCATATAAGTAAGAATTGGATTTTGACTTGCACTAAAATTTATAGAAATTTTCTCAATTATTTAGGTAGCTTATGACATGTTTATCCATACACAACACTCGAGTAGCGTGAACAGCAGCAGTAGTAGCAGTCGAGGAGGCTGTAACTTAGCTTATCAACATATAAGTAAAAAACGCAAATTGGAGTGCGATATCAGTCAGCCTTTCAACCAGCAATCAAATTTGAATTCTATTAGTGACCACGGTATCGAATCTCATCAACGCCTATCATGTAGCCGTAATGCTACAATTTACAGTAATATAAAAAATAATGTTGTACAAAAACATAGTCCAAATCAACAAGTTCTTATACGTGCGTCCACGATAAAATGTCTAGATGGTCATCATCGCTGTAGCCAGAAAGTAAGTTTTTACATAAATAGTTATTTAACAACGTTATTATATTAACGTTCCTTAATTAAACAAAAAAACGAATTAAATTAAACAGTCCTGAAAAAGATCAGCAATGTTCTCGAATTAATACGAAGAAACTTAATTTTCTATACATGATAATTTGTTGCCGGATAGAAATAATTACTATTGTTCAATCTCCACCAGTTGTCATATTCTATTAGTGGTGTTTGTGTAATATTATTGACATCACAATAATAACGTTCATTTTTTTCAGAGAAAGTCAATATCAAGAGAAAATCACAGCGAAATTGCAGAAATAAATTTGTCCGAAGCTACGCTACCTTCGGAAAACTTTATAAACTTGATACAAAACGAAAATTTTCAGAGTAAACAGAATTCACAGCGTGTCATCCAGAATTTATCACAATTGCAAATCAAAAGTAACGCCATGTCATCCTTGTCAAAACAACCCAGTAACAATGGAAATGGTAGCTCTAATCCCCAAGGAGATGGAGATTATCAACTCGTACAACATGAGGTTTTATACTCAATGACAAATCAGTACGAAGTTTTGGAGTTTCTTGGTCGGGGCACTTTTGGACAAGTAAATATCGTTTCAAATAACTTCATTAAGTTTATTAACGTATTTATAAATGTGGCCGTTCAAGTCAATGTTCCGAGCGCGACCACGCGTGTATTATTTAGTCTAATCACTCAATTTTTAACTAGCTGTAAAAGTATCTAAAAGCACCTGGAAGAAAAACGTAAATCATCATTTTCATAGGAAATTTACTCAACTTTCCAATGGTGAAATCAGATTTCCCGAAATGTTTCATTTTCCTCGGAAAAAACCCCAAAAACCAATTGAAGCTGCTTTTTCACCAAGTGGCTACTTTCCAGAGTGTGCAAAAAAATTTTCACGAGCTATAGCGAGAGAAAAAACGTGCTTTTCGCGCGTGGGCTGATATGCAAAAACCACGAAATAACAATATATGAATATTTTAAAATACGCAGACGTTAAATGAGAAGAAAAAATATATGAATACAAATATTAAATTACCGAAATTATTTTAAGAGTTTTATACTTATTATTAAGAATAAAGTCCATCTTAGAATCTTTGGAAATTAATGAGAATTGTTTTTAGGTTGTCAAATGTTGGAAAAAAGGAACTAATGAAATAGTAGCTATTAAGATTTTAAAAAATCATCCGTCATATGCTAGGCAAGGCCAAATTGAAGTAAGTAAAACTAGAGCGTAGTGTAGCATTTTGCTACGTTATGTTGTATAGATTATCGCATTATTAATTCACATAATTTTATAAATATTCTTATAATTCAATTTAGGTTTCAATATTATCTCGCCTTAGTCAAGAGAATGCGGATGAATTTAATTTTGTACGTGCCTTTGAGTGTTTTCAACATAAGTCTCATACTTGCTTGGTATTTGAAATGCTTGAGCAGAACTTGTACGATTTCTTAAAACAGAATAAATTTTCTCCGCTCCCTCTAAAATATATTAGACCTATATTGCAACAAGTTCTTACAGCTTTACTGAAACTAAAGGTACCATTTTTATTTTTCTCGTACTATAAATAGCGAAAATATTTCGAGCTAAATTTTTAATTCACCTTTATCGTTTTCAGCAATTGGGATTAATCCATGCCGACCTAAAACCAGAAAATATCATGTTAGTTGATCCAATGCGCCAACCTTATCGTGTGAAAGTCATCGATTTTGGATCAGCATCTCATGTTTCAAAAGCAGTCTGTAACACTTATTTACAATCTCGATATTACAGAGCGCCAGAAATAATTCTGGGGTTACCCTTTTGTGAAGCCATTGACATGTGGTCACTTGGCTGTGTAGTAGCTGAATTATTTCTCGGATGGCCACTTTATCCGGGAAGTTCAGAATATGATCAAATAAGATACATAAGTCAAACTCAAGGCTTACCTACAGAGCATATGCTCAATAATGCTAGCAAAACCACAAAATTCTTTTACAGAGACATTGACAGTAAGTGGTTTATTCAAAGTTTCCTCTAAAAAACATTGTAACTAAACAATTTTGTTTGTGCAGGTACCTACCCGTTCTGGAGATTAAAAACTCCGGAAGAACATGAAGCTGAAACAAATATAAAATCGAAAGAAGCTAGAAAATACATTTTTAATTGCATAGATGATATTGGACAGGTAAATGTGCCCACAGATTTGGAAGGTGGACAATTGCTAGCGGAAAAAGCCGATAGACGAGAATTTATTGATTTATTGAAGAGAATGTTGACAATGGATCAGGTAATAATTATGTAAAATTAATTTTTCGAAATTTCAACATCATCTAACTGTAGCTTGATATTTTATATCCTTTTTTTACCAACTTGATAATTCAACTTGAAATCTCACGTGTGTAACGGTTCTCATTACCGCTACAGAATTAAGACACAGGATCTTCTATGACCGTGTTCGTTCTTACACAAGTCATCGGCTGGTTCAGTACTCGGCGAAAATCTCGCACTGACCACCCAGAGATTACTCAAAAAAAAGTAATATTAATTTATTAGGGCTGTTTAATAAGATCGCACTCTGCGCGCGCGTGCACACACACACACACGGAAATGCCTTTCTATTTAAAAATGATTAGGTAGCTCTGGCCGTCATTGGCTTTCTGCCTACAATCAACCCTATTTCAAAATACCCCCAATTTACGGCTCTGGCTCCAAAAAAGATGAAGGATGAAAAATTCCTGCACACTTTGGACAGATATTACGCTCATACACATAATTATAAACGGGTATCGTTGTAACTACTGCGTAAATAAACATAGTATAATATTTTTTAAGTATTAGAAATCAAGCGAGATTTAGCGAGCGAGGTATATCGCATGTTTAAAGGTAAAGAGATCCGCGACGAGCGCGTGTAGGGGAGAGCGGGTGTGTTGACATGTGAGGTAAGTTGGCAAAATGTTATATTTCTCCTTATCAGTGACTTGAACCGAGATGGTGCCATTGCATACAAATACTGCCTATTATGGTGTTAGCACTACTGATAGTATCATATCTATACAACTTATGTTAGTGATATGGAGAAATATACATTTTTGCCAACTTACCTCACATGCCAACACACCCCGTTCTCCCCTCATAGAATAAAAAAATCGCATTAATTTCTCATGCAAAATGGACAATATTCTTGAAATCCCACTTCTAATATTTTTTGTGTTTATAAAGAAGACTATAAAAAAGTTTGTAGATTTATATGTAAAATAATTTTATCCCAGCCTATAGGGAAGCTTCTTCAAGAATAGAATAAAAACTATTCGTTCTGTATGTAATAGTTGGACGATTTTCTACTGACGATTTATTTTTTATAAATGATATTTTCATTTTTTCAGGAACGTCGCATAACACCAGGAGAAGCATTGAATCATGCCTTTGTTACTTTAGCTCATCTTGTTGATTATGCTCATTGTAATAACGTTAAAGCTTCAGTGCAAATGATGGAAGTTTGTAGACGAGCTGGCGATTTTTTGAGTGGTTCCAATCATCATCAATCTCAACCTGTACCACAACCAGCACCTTCAACATCAATCGTAGCTAATTTTGTTCCAACAACGAATGGGAATGCAGTGACTCTTACATTCAATAATCAAGTTCAACGTCTCGTTCGCGATCACAGATCATCACAATCAGGATATGATCATTTGGTAAGGGCTAAAAAGTTAAATGTGGTGGGCTGAAAAGTTTATATTGATTAAATTTTTTACAATTTTTATGGTCAAATTCTGTTTATAAAATTCAACCAACTTTCGATCTTATTATAGTATCAGTTGTATAGCAACAATGGCCGTCGAGTGAATCAATATGGTACTTCTTCAGTGTCTAGTAGCAATGGAAGAAATGGTGTGCATGATTTTTCTCACCAACTAGTATCAGGAATTTTATGTCCACCTCCTGGATATCAACCTCTTCCTAGTCCGGCCAAACACGTAGTAGTTGCACAGGTAAATATGTCATTTACTATTTGATAATGTCGTGTTTGCTTTTTATAATATAATTGTGTTTTATAGCCAACTCAAGCTCAACAATCTTCATTACAAATTCAGCCATCAATCATTACCCAACAAGCTGTTGCTGCCGCTCAGCAACAGTATTCTGTACCTGTTTCAATGATGGAAAGTGGACGTCAAATGTTGTTGACTGTAAGTTTCAATTATCCAAACAATGTAAATGTACTTTTTTCGTGCCTGATCATATTTAAATTATAATAACGAAGTTAACATGAAAAACTAATAAAGTTCGGTCTTAATGCCATAACTAATTACAATAAACGTTTAAATCACAATGAGCAAAATTTTAGAAGCCAATTTCATAATTTTATTTTGGTCAATAATACTTTTATTGGTTGTTCTGAACGCAATATTTGAAAGGTACAAGTAAATGAGCAAACGAGTTTCCAAAATGTTCTTTTTATTGATGTTTATTATGTAATCTATTTAGAATGCTGTACAAACATCTTGGCCTAGTGGAAGTCGACAAATGACAGCATTGGTTCCTTCGTGGCAACAGTTGTCGCATCAGCACCCTCCAATCCAACAATCGATCTTGAACGATAGTGGAGATTGGAGTCGACCATTACTCGTAAATAGCTCTACTATTTTACAAGTACGTAAATATATTTCTTGCCTCCAATACTTATTTATAATATATTGAAAAACTAAATCATTTTCAAATAGTTACTAAAAAGTGACAGTTTGTGTTTCGATAAATTTAAAAAAAAAAATTTGATATTGAGTCATTTTCAGTAAAATACTAAATGAAAAAACTGTTGCGAAAACTCGTGGCCAAATTTTCGAACTAAATCAATGAATTTTTCAAAATCCGTGAAAAGCTGTCAAAAAGGAATAATTTTCTAACATAAATAAATGTATGTTAATATTTTTTACAGGATCAGCGATCAGTTTATCCAGTAACCGAGATGTACAATGCAAATTCTATTGTTGAACATGCACAGTTTCCAAGCTATGGAAAACGCAGTGTTAATAAGCACCATCATTTGAGTATGCCTCATTCATCGCAATATCGAAGTCATGAGCTTAAGAAAGAGCAGCAACATCTTAGTCCCGTTAAGAAACGGGTTAAAGAAAGTACACCTCCAAGAAATTCACGAAGACAACAGCGCTCTCCTCTTCAAACTGTTTATGCAGCCCCGTCGCATGATACTGGTACCGCCCATCAGATACAGTTGCAATCTCAATTATCTTCAAATTGCTTTGTGCATAAAGCAAATCATATGAAGTATTCGGAAGATAGATTGCATAACAATGATGTGATGTCTCAAACTAAACAACAGACTATTACGATTCATGATACACCTTCTCCTGCTGTTTCAGTCATCACAATAAGCGATAGTGAGGATGAATCATCAGCAAAGAGGTCAGGTTTATTCATTTAAAAATATTATGTAGCTAGATGAAAACGAAAAAAAGGTTGCTACACTGAGTTTGAAGTTTGGCTTATATTAGCTCAGCATTCTGCAACGGGAGTTGCCACTAGTTATATACTATGATTTTTCTAAAAATCTTCGATGACCTGATGAAGAACAATGAAATACAGGTCAACGCTCAGATTTTTAGAATATTTTAAAATTAAAATATTAATAAATTTTATGAAAAATTTTTACAAGTACTGCGTCGTCTATGTCATCTTTTTAGTACTTTTTCTTGATAAATTTTGTCAAATGTTGGAATAATAAGAAATTTGATCCGCTTAAAACAAATAATACATACCATTTTCTTCTAATGATTTTTCATAACAATAATAATTTCTTAAAATAATTAAATAAAGATAATTTAATACAGTAGATGCCGCTTATAAGAATCACGATGGGACCAGACGTTTTGATTCGTATAAACGGCTGATTCATTTAAACGATGCAGTAAGAAATTGTAAATATTAATAAAAAAAAAAACGTTTATAGGTTTGTCAAATTTAACCGTTTTTCAAATTTTATTACGCGTCAATGGAATACTTGTTGCTTGGAGGAAGCTACTACAAAAAATTCATCAACTTTTGATTGTTTCTTATTAGTGCGGACTATTTTTTGAACGACTTTAAGAATTTTCTCAACATCTTCGTCTTTTCCACACCTTTTTCTTTTACGATTTAAACTTCCGTTTTCAATGTTAGCCGCTTCTAGGTCATGACGATTTTTCAAAATCCTATTGAGTTGCGTCTGTGAAACTTCTAATTTTGCTGCTGCTTCACGTTGACTGCACTTTTCGAGCAAGTCGTACTGTTTTAGTAACTCTTTCTTCTGGAGCAACGTTAAATCTTTTCTAGGCATGGTGAATTTCGAATTTTATATTTGTTTACTTGATGACGGTTCAATATCGTTTGATTCGTATAAACGGGTTTTGATTCCATTATACTGAAATCGGGACTTTTAATTAACATGTAAAAGTATAGAGGGAAATCGGGACCAAGCGTTTTGATTCGTATAAACGGCGGATTCGATTAAGCGAGATTCATATAAGCGGCATCTACTGTATATTGAACTGATTTTTCCACAGCTCGCAAACGCAAAAGAAAAGAATTTTGACGAAAGCACATTCAGAAGTAACTAATCAGAATGCATCTAAGTTGGATGATCATGAGAGTCATAATACAATAGCTCATGGCTACAGGACAGCAATTTCAAATGAAATTTCGGCTTACCAGGTAAAACATAATCTATTTACCTCTCCATGTTTGATATTTTCTAGTGTCTTGTTTTAAAATTGACGCATGTAACTGCTCTGTAAAGAGCTACGTATATTAAAGGAATTTTAGGTAGAATGCAACATTTTTCCTGACTTTGATTTCATTTGCTTGTGCACATACACATTAAGTCAAAGGAGTTTCATTTTTACGACTTTCTTCTGCCATAAAAATGTATTAAAAAAAATAAATATCAAGTCTTTATTCTATTTTGAGTTTTTTCATTTATTCGTAGGAACCAATGCTCAAAGTTTCTGAAACGCATATTCCCGATCAGAGATTGATTGGAACAGCAGTATCTAAGAGAGTTGACTGCAAGCATGACTTTCTACATCCTCCTACAGCTCATTCCAGAGATCATGCCAAATGGGCTGTTGTCGGTGCCGCTCATCAATACAGGTATTTTAGAAACTTACCAATTTTTAATAATCTCTTCAATTTTCAATTTACCACTTTTCAATAATCTCTTTAATAACCTAAAATACGCAACTTTGCTGCTAATTGTAGGCTCTCGTAGGAAAAACTGGTCTTATCAACTGGTGTAGGTATGGTTTTTCAGCAAAACGAGGAATTATAGCACGAGCCGTAGGCGAGTGCTGTAACGAGTTTTTTTAAAAAACCATACACTCGTTACAGCACTCGCCTTCGGAGCGTGCTGTAATTCCTCGGATTGCTATAAAACCATAGCTGCACCCGTTGAGAAATATACTATTTCAATAAAATAACAATTATAATCGAATTTCACGCGCTTCGCGCCGGTTAGTCTAGGAGCCACACAGGTGCCCGCTTAAAAATGAATCCTGAGAGCTAAACCAAGGTGTTTTCCTCGTATTTTTTCCCGCTGAACACGAATTTCGGAGGTGGACATCGATCCGAGTGGTCGTTTTTTTGTTATAAACAATTTAATTGTTTAAACGGCCACAACTCGAAAACTATCGAAGATAAATTAGAAATATTTCCGTCATTCTATTCTAGATGAAAAAACGAAGAGATTGAGTTTTTAAACGTCAAAATCGGTTCATTAGAAAAAAAGTTATGGACAATTTTGTGTTTTTTTGCCAAGTCGACCCAAATCTGCTACATTCGAGTTTTCAACGATTTTTAATTCGTTACATATGCATCGGACGAAAAAATGACAAGAGGAACTTTTTGTTTAGAATTGTCCACGGAGTCGAAAAATATTTTTATTTTGCAAAATTAACACTTTTTTTGCAATAACAATTATTTGTTAATTTTGTTTATGTAAAAAAATAATCTTTTCCTAGTATTTTTTATGCTGGTTACGAATGAAGGAAAAGTAAAAAATAACAAACTTTTCCTTCATTGAATTTTTCATAAATTGTCAATAACAACTGAACGGCGACTCAGATCGATTGCCAACCTCTCAATTCGTGTCCAGCAGAAAAAATACTAGGAAAAGATTATTTTTTTACATAAACAAAATTAACAAATAATTTTCATTGCAAAAAAAGTGTTAATTTTGAAAAATAAAAATATTTTTCGACTCCGTGGACAATTCTAAACAAAAAGTTCCTCTTGTCATTTATTCGTCCGATGCATATGTAACGAATTAAAAATCGTTGAAAACTCGAATGTAGCAGATTTGGGTCGACTTGGCAAAAAAACACAAAATTGTCCATAACTTTTTTTCTAATGAACCGATTTTGACGTTTAAAAACTCAATCTCTTCGTTTTTTCATCTAGAATAGAATGACGGAAATATTTCTAATTTATCTTCGATAGTTTTCGAGTTGTGGCCGTTTAAACAATTAAATTGTTTATAACAAAAAAACGACCACTCGGATCGATGTCCACCTCCGAAATTCGTGTTCAACGGGAAAAAATACGAGGAAAACACCTTGGTTTAGCTCTCGGGATTCATTTTTAAGCGGGCACCTGTGTGGCTTCTAGACTAGGTTAACTATCAAAAATAGTATATTTCTCAACGGATGCACACATGGTCTTTTAGCAAAACAATTTCTGCACCAGTTGATGATACTATTTTTTCCTATGAGAGCCTAAAATTAGCGTCAAATTAGAAACCTCCTTTGAACCCTTTATAAATTGATATAAATATATTTATTTTCTGATCGATTTTTATTTATTAATATGTATGTAACTTTTTCTAGACACAATCCTGTTCCAAATACGCTTGGAATTGCTTCAAATCAAGACACTCCCTTAGTTGCGTCGCAATTTATGCACCACCCTCAACAATTGAGTCCAGTAATTGCAGCAGCGTCTGGTACTGCATGTTCTCGAATTTTACCAAATATTGCGTCGTCCTCAACAGGATCTGGCTCGATCAGCTGTACCATGCGTAGTCCACAAGTATCTGTTCTAACCAGTGGTACTCAACATTTAAGTCAGGCTTTATATCAAGAGTATCCACACTCAATACGCCAAAGAAATCACCCTGTCGCATCTTCCGTGTACATTACAACTCAAACCAATAATCCTACTCAGCCACAACTACACAATTATCGTGGATTCACAACGAGGTAAGACAAATCCTTTATGGAGAAGCAAAACTTTTATTCCCCGGCATATAAAATTAATTTAAAAAAAATAACATCTTTATTCCGCGGAAAACTATGGAAATAACATAGTTATCATTTGCAAATTTAAATTATTCTACGTATAAGGAAAAATAATTTTGAATGAAGGTCTATAAATATTGCATTCCCAGTTGTATACTTGAATATATTTTTTTTTTTTGGGGAAAACACGTTACATGTATATTTGAATAGGAGATTATATTAAATAGAATTATATTAATGAATTTAATAATTTTTAAAGCTCGCCACCTTTGGCAGTGTACGACACAAACAGAACTTTGCCTCCACCAGCTCATCACAGTTCTGCAAGGCCTCTACTGAGCTCACACGCAACTCATCCGCTGCCGGCACACATACAGCCAAGCAATGTTTATGGTTTAAATCCTATATCACCAGTTAAGCATCAGTATCAGCCTGGTCTTTGGTTTACAGAATAAATGAAAATTATTTAAATATTAAAAAAAAATATTTTGAGTACATAATTTTATCATAAGTATAGCAGTAAATTTTATGTAAAAATAAATTCGACTTTTTAAATGTATATGAAAATATGAACATATATATATATACGCATATATAAATAATTATACAGTATCAAACTTAAGATTTTAAATATATATAAATATATAGTATATATATGATTTTTAGTTTATTGTATTTAAGAATCTTTTGAATTTCTTTAAAGAAATTTACAAATTAAAAGTAAATATTAAATACCTTTTAGCAAAAACGTGTATAGTAAACGTCTACGACATGTTTTATGAATTATATAAAATATGTTGCTATTTTTCAATTTTCTCAAAAATTTCCTGTAATAATCACTTGAATTAAATGAAGATATGATTTTCATAATAAAATATTTAAAATGATTACTTTATCTTCTTTACCAAAATTCGAACACGTTAATATAATAGCATGGGAGCCATTTATTGAACGAACCCTATGAAATTGTAAGGTATTAACAGAGACCACAGAATGATGCAGGTCTCGTCCATTGGCACTATGAAGGACTTGCAATGAGCTCAAAAGCATAAGATGAAAATCAATATTATTACGGATTTTTTCGCTGAATTTGGGTTAAATCTTGTTCTTCGAAATCTTAACGTAAAATGAACGATGTAATTTAAGTTTGAACAAAAACAATGAACAATCCAGCCGTGCACAACACTTCGGCTACTGCCTCGTTGAAGTGGCAACCATCGATGGACGAATGTACAACGCATTGCGTAGTTGACTCGCCACTTGCGCTTGAGCCAGCAAAGCGTGCAGGCTCTCCGAGACGATAATAATTCATTTATTCATGATAAAACACTTTTTTCGTATGAGTAACGCAGGCTCATACGAATTTTCAATCAAGTGTAGAATTCTTATTCTAATAGCTACAGAGTTCCAATTAAGCTAATTTTTTCGTATTTTCAAGCGCTTTTTTGGCATGCATAAAGATATAGAATAACAGAAGTACATTGTCAAAAATAGAAATATCTAGAGTAGGTACGCACTGAAAAACCATCTTAAAAATATCATATTCATAAGGTACAAGTCTGGGATCAAAATTTCTAGGAAGTAGGTGCAACATCCGAATTAAAAAATATTACATAGTTTTTAAATTAGGAGTTGGGTTGAAATAATAACACGTTGACAATTTTATATAATTTTTAAAATGACTTGCATTAATTTATTTAGCTCGACTTTAAAACACACACTAAAAAGGCTGGCTTCCTCTTGGCTCGATGATGTTCTTCTCGTACGCTGCCCCGAACGATGGAGAATCAAATCTTCAGAGGAGGAGCTGGAACCACTTGAGCACCTCACGTAGCAAAGATGTTTAATTCCCAAAAACTATTGTAATGACCCAGTCACAAGGGTCATAACATCCTTACGGCCACGAGTAGGTAAAACACCGGGGCGGCAAATCAGCCCGGTGCAACACCAAGTCCCGAACGGGCATGCTGGTGTGCGGCTGCACATGTACACTGCGGCACGTAATTGTGTGAGTGCGCACACAGATAAGAGCAACGAACGTCAGTGCGCGCCTGCACACGTACACCGCAGCGCGCACTGGTGTGAGTACGCACACGGACAGAGCCGTGAACGTTAGTGTGCGACTGCACACGTACACCGCAGCGCGTACTGGTGTGAGTGCGCACACGGATAGAGCAGCCAACGTTAGTGTGCGCCCACTCACGCACGCCGCGGTACGCACTGGTGTGAGTGCGCACACGCATGGAGCAGCGCGCGCGCGTGTGAAGCATGACTCGCGCTTGCAAGCTACAAGTCGAAATTTATGATGCCTTCGTTACCAGGAATGCGATAGGGTAACCGGCTCGGGCAATTCGCAGAATTTCGGATGTTGGCAAAAATCAGGTCACAACTTACGAGCGAAGAAACTAAGGGAACGGCTCAAGCATTCGCTAAGATTCCCAGAAACGACGGATGGGAAAAACGCGCAGCCCGCAAGCTCTAGAGGACACATAAAGTTTACGGCGACCCTCGCTCAGACAAAGAGGGTACGGCAGCAACAAACAGTATATAAACCGAGACTCAGAGAGTCTCGGGGTCACTCATAGTTTTCGGTTCGAGGCGTATACATCGACGCTCGTCGGCTCACTCACAGTTTTCGGTTCGAGGCGTACACATCGACGCTCGTCGGTTCGGTATTCACGTACATCTTTACTTCTCGACTCAAAGTTCGCAGTTTACTTGAAAACCAGCCTGTTGCTCGGCTCCGACCAGATAAAATCAGTGCGAGTTAGTTATTCGAAAAGTGCGCGAGCCCGTCCAGCAGCAACCACCGACGCCGGCCAGCACGCCGACGCCGTGCCGGCCTCATCGACGCCGAGATCACCCTTGCCGACCAGCCGAGATCTCCCTCGCCGACCAGCCGAGACCGCACCGACGCGGGGCCGCCCTCCAACTCATTCGCCGCTCAACGAACGACGCCGCCGAAGATAACTCATACCTTGTAAGCTCACTCTACTGTATATTAAATATAAGTTTGGTCAATAAACAGTCTCTTGTGAAAGTCTGTGTTATCCTTCCTTCATCTCACCTCACCCCCAGAGACAACCGCGAGTAGAGTCAAGCCTTCAGTCAGACGACACATATTATTATTATTAAAGTAATCGACGGGCAAGAAAACCCGTCGTTACACTATTTACACTTTAACTTTTAAAGATGATTCTAGTACTTCTGAATAACTTTTTAACTTGACTTAGATTTTAGTAAGACTCTGAGATTTTCGACACTTGCACGAGCTCTACACGGGTAGACTGTCTCTGGATAACAAGGCCGATTTCTTGGGAACGTGGCCTATTTAGTATTTATGTAGCAAGGCTCATCACCTTTCACCGTTCTAACTTCTTACTCGATTCTTTCTAATTCTAAATTTATCATAAGTCATGAGATAAATTTCGATCATTTGATCCCTCAGACTGCATATGGATCTTAACAGACAATGTGCGATCGTAAAGTCAGGTGCATGATAGCGTCGAGTGTTCTGGTCCATTTGAATGAAGTATGATAAAATGAGATATTTATTAGAATTTACGATCCGTTCCATTTGGTCAGCTTATTTGATCAGCTGGCCACATGGCCCCATATCAGTTAATATATTTAATTTAGTTGATTTTTATTTCAGTGCCATAAAATTATGCCCTAAGTCTTTAGACTACGTTTATGGTGCGGACTCAAGTTTCTTTGTTATCTGACTGAGTTTACAGAACGGCCACCATGCCTATTGTTTCTCACACCATTTTTTTATATTTCTAAAAACAGAGATTTATTGCAGTCTTATGGAATCTTTGGATCATAACAATATAAATTTGTCCCGAACATGTGTGCCACAGTAAATCGTTACATTACGCGGAAGTAATTTAAGGGCTATAACAGGGGGCTTAATTATTTTTCATTTTTTAATAACAGTACTAGGCTGTAAAAGTGAAAAAAAAATGTTTTTTTCAAGAACACACATGATAACCCTTTTCAAAACCCTATTTGAAAGTATTTTGTCCAGTTGGATACTTTCGATAGCCAATTGGCCATGGTCGTGTAACGACGGGTTTTCTTGCCCATCGATTACTTTAATAATAATATCAATAATAATATGTGTCGTCTGACTGAAGGCTTGACTCTACTCGCGGTTGTCTCTGGGGGTGAGGTGAGATGAAGGAAGGATAACACAGAATTCCACAAGAGACTGTTTATTGACCAAACTTATCTCTAAAATACAGTAGAGTGAGCTTACAAGTTACTGGGTTATCTTCGGCGGCGTCGTTCGTTGAGCGGCGAATGAGGTGGAGGGCGGCCCCGTGTCGGTGCGGTCTCGGCTGGTCGGCGAGGGAGATCTCGGCTGGTCGGCAAGGGTGATCTCGGCGTCGATGAGGCCGGCACGGCGTCGGCGTGCTGGGCGGCGTCGGTGGTTGCTGCTGGACGGGCTCGCGCACTTTTCGAATAACTGACTCGCACTGATTTTATCTGGTCGGAGCCGAGCAACAGACTAGTTTTCAAGTAAACTGCGAACTTGGAGTCGAGAAGTAAAGATGTACGTGAATACCGGACCGACGAGCGTCGATGTGTACGCCTAGAACCGAAAACTGTGAATGAGCCCCGAGACTCTCTGAGTCTCGGTTTATATACTGTTCGTTGCTGCCGTACCCTCTTTGTCTGGGTGAGGGTCGCCGTAAACTTATGTGTCCTCTAGAGCTTGCGGGCTGCGCGTTTTTCCCATCCGTCGTTTCTGGGAATTTTAGCGAACGCTCGAGCCGTTCCCTTAGTTGCTTTGCTCGTTTACCCGAGCGCAAGTTGTGACCTGATTTTTGCCAACATCCGAAATTCTGCGAATTGCCCGAGCCGGTTACCCTATCGCATACCCTGTAACGAAGGCATCATAAATTTCGACTCGTGGCTTGCAAGCGCAAGTCATGCTCTACACAAGCGCGCGCTGCTCCATGCGTGTGCGCACTCACACGAGTGCGCGCTGCGGTGTACGTGTGCAGTCGCGCCGAGCTGGCGTGCGGGACTTGGTGCCGCACCGGGCTGATTGTTGCCCTGTGTTTCACCTGCCTACGGCCGCAAAGATGATATGACTAAATCATTACAGTCGCAACCAAAAGCTAGCCATAAGATTAACTCCCCAATGAAAATATTTTATAAGTTCTTAGGCAAGATTTTAAAAAGATCTTGATAAAATTTTAAGACATCTGGTAGCAAGTTCTTATATAAGATCTTGATAAAACTGGAAGACTTAAGGTAGCAAATTCTTAGGAGAGTTTTTGATTTCATTACTAGACTTGAAATAACAAGTTCTTATATAATTTGAATTTCATAATTGTGATGAAGTTTTACCATTTTATCGAGATCTTATACAAGAACTTGCTACCAGATGTCTTACTATTTTATCAAGATCTTTTTAAAATCTTGCCTAAGAACTTATAAAATATTTTCATTAGGGCTGTAGCTACTGAATTTCTAAAATTTAGTATTCATTTTTTATAATTTT